TTTCAATGCAAAGGTATGCATGGTATGTTTTCTTAAAGCAGTATATCAGCTGTATAAATGATCATGCATGGTTAAATAGTGATATTTGAAGTTGTAAAATATAAGGACACCCTGAAACACATGTGTTATTAAAAATTCACAATTGTTTACTATTCCTGTTTACTATGAAATGTATTGTTTACTATTAATTCAATTGTTTACTACAATTTCCTGGTTTCACAAATGTCATGTTATCCCTAAGTCAAAGGTTAGTAAAGTAGAACATGTTTATATTATTTAAGAAAGTTGCCAAGCAACAGGACAGCGGAATAAAAACAATATTTCACCTCTAGCCTCTTATTCCAAACTTGCCATACATATGCATTATGCAAAGTTACATACAAGCAGCCATTAGAGCGATTCTTCAAATTGAATTCATTGTTAGGTAAGATAATTTTTCTGTATAAAATGTTCTTGCCTAAAGCATTGGCAGGAGATACTTTTAAAACAAATTAACATGAAATTCTTCCTTGACTTCACTATAGATCCTTGAGATCACTATAAAATTAACATTATTTGAAACAGATACAAACGCTTGAATTATATTCAGTTTAGGGATTTGTTACAGAACTTGACCAACTATGGTAAACTGAAAAACTGTCATGTCAAATTAATTGTACTGATAATGGTATTCATCAACTTTCATATTTTCTAAATGGTTCAGTACTAAATCATTTAGAATAGCCTTTAACCTCCCCCAATATATATACATTCAGATTTAAGTTCACTGTATATATAGCATCCACTGGCTAGAACAAATAGCATAGAATCATAACCACATAGAATTGGTCGTTGACCTTCAACAAAATACACAACGGCAATTAGAATCTCAATATCTTAAATCAGACCTAACTTGACTACAAAAAAATGAATTGAACAACCAGAAAGTAAATGCAATTTACCATGAAAATCAAATTTATCTCAAGGAATAAAATGCATCCAGTATTTTCACTCAGAAATGTGTGCACCCAATTCCATATGAAAAACACTGTAAAAACCCTATTCCAAGCCCCTAAATTCTCTCACTCATACATGTACTTTCAGTGAATAACCTTCTACCTGTATAGATTTCATGAAGTTAAATTAATTATTTTCACTGTAGTCAATCAGAGTCTGGTTGTCACTTCTTTCTTACAAGTTGTATTATTTTACAGTTTTCTTTGGGTGTGATTAGGCGTTGTCTCTAAACACAGGTATCCAATATGGTATAAACTAAAATGGAAAGGCCTCTATGGTCAGTATTTCAATAATCCATTCTTCTTCATCGCTCAAGCATAATCCATTATATATCCATAAGGCTTGTTTACATTTGCTATATCCAAGCATTGTATTTTGTCAACATCTTGCAGCAGCTGACATTTTAATATTCAAGCAATGTGATGCACAATTGGGTAATATGGTTTCTTGTATATCACATTCATTTCACTAAACTTGTATGGTTGCACTTTCTGGGCATCATGGTGACATCTGGGGAACGATACATCTGTTGCAACATTATCTTCGTATTAAAAGTACATCTTTTGGTTGAGACATGCACTGATACACTATCATGGGTAACATGGAACACGGGACGGCTACAACTGCACTCTGGCATTACGGGTTACTTCTCTGGGGCACGGGACATCTACGAATGCACTACCTGGCATTAAAATACTTCCCGGGGGTACGAACATCTACGAATGCACTACCTGGCATTAAAATACTTCCCGGGGATACGAACATCTACGAATGCACTACCTGGCATTAAAATACTTCCCGGGGATACGAACATCTACGAATGCACTACCTGGCATTAAAATACTTCCCAGGGAAACGACATCTACGAATGCACTACCTGGCATTACGATTACTTCTCTGGGGCACGGAACATCTACGAATGCACTACCTGGCATTACGATTACTTCTCTGGGGCACGGGACATCTACGAATGCACTACCTGGCATTAAAATACTTCCCGGGGGTACGAACATCAAAGAATGCACTCCCTGGCATTACAGTTAACATCTCCTGGGTATGGGGCGTCTACGAATATAAACTCTGGCATTATAGCTCTCCCATTTAGTGTATCAGCTCACGATAAGTATGAATGTGCGTCATCCTACATTTTTCATTATCATCACATGTGGCAATTGTTTATATAAGGTTATAATATTCCTTAAGAGCAGCTTACAAGCGTTTTAAACACTCAGTTTATATACATATTTACAGTGAGAAACAGTTTATATTCAATATCCAATTTCCATGTCCAAATAATTTACGTATAGTAATCCATCTTTAAAGATTACTGTCAACGGGCTAATGAGTGCAGCTGACCTAACTGCTGGTGCAAAATTGTCAGAATTTCTAACTCCAACTTGATGAATTTTATTTTCATATGCCATTTTCGTAAAAATCATTCTTATTGAAGGTTATGGTGACTTTTGACTTCTTTATAACACAATATCAAAGGGAAAACATCGTGACTAATATGCAATATCCATAAACGTTTTGAATGCCATCTTCCCGTAATTTTAAGTGGGGGAAGCATGACTAGATTTTTACTCCATGAACATTATGATTGTTAGGTGTCGGTAAACATTCCACTAATAATTTCTAATTCATATGTGATCCAACTATATGTGTGTGTTTTAGCCATAACAATAGTTTACAATTAAATGCATATAGTTACCTGATGTACTAATCGAACACTATTGATTATCTGATTTATATCCAACAATAATGATAATCCAATTCGAGATGATAATCCAAGTTAATTCCAATAGCAATGATAATCCAATATAAATCCAATAGTGATAGAAATCCCAAATTAGTTGAAGTTGAATCCAAATTTAAGTTATGGAAAACTTAATTATATCCAGGCAACGGCGCCAATGAAACAGTTTTTTAAGTTCGAATAAAGTAACATAAAATTCTTAAAGTTAAAGTCCTAAACGTTTATTATTTCATTATCAAAATCCAATCTTTACATTGAGTTTAGTTTAATCAGTATGTTGTGCCGTAGTAAAAACTGTTCTGATCATGATATTCTGAGATGATAATCAAGAAAAGACCGAAAGTATGGAAAGTTCCACAGAGAAGATTCCAAAAAGGAGGCAAATAATAATTTCCCATAATTACCAAATAAATGAACCAATAATGAACAAATTAAAGATAATGTCATATTAAATCTACTGGACTTCCTAAACTTCCTTTAAATGGAGGCAAATGTTGATTCCCATGAGGAACCAACATTTGGACCAATAGAAAGCCAAGTAGATTATGTAATACACTAGAATATCCTGAACTAAAAAATCCTCCTTTATGGGAATTGGAACTCTCCTGATAGAAAAGACATAACAATATGAAAAGAGCCAAGATTTTAATGTTATTTATGAATGATATCACGTATTGAGTGCAAGTGGACTTAAGGAGAATAAAGAATAGAAATGATGTACATCAAATGTATAGAACAATAACATATATCTTAAAACCTAAATCAATGTGATATAAAAATGAAGTTGTACCAAAATTTGATGTATATGAAAACCTAAACCCTGTTTCATTATACTCAAGTCATACGCACTAGTATTGTATCTATATAGAGGAAATGGAATGCAATGGAAATATATATGCAAGTCGTACACACTAGTATTGTACCTATATAGAGGTGCAATGGAAACATATATGCAACACAACCAAACATACAATAAGTATGTGCAAATGCAATTGGATTTGCCTACCGTGCCACGCAATAATATTATAATCAAGTTATACTCACTAGTATTGTACCTATATAGAGGAAATGGAATGCAATGGAAATATATATGCAAGTCGTACACACTAGTATTGTACCTATATAGAGGTGCAATGGAAATATATATGCAATACAACCAAACATACAATAAGTATGTGCAAATGCAATTGGATTTGCCTACCGTGCCATGCAATAATATTATACTCAAGTTATACTCACTAGTATTGTACCTATATAGAGGTGCAATGGAAACATATATGCAACACAACCAAACATACAATAAGTATGTGCAAATGCAATTGGATTTGCCTACCGTGCCACGCAATTATATTATAATCAAGTTATACTCACTAGTATTGTACCTATATAGAGGAAATGGAATGCAATGGAAATATATATGCAAGTCGTACACACTAGTATTATACCTCTGTAGAGGCACAATGGCAATATATATGCAATACAACCAAACATACAATAAGTACAGTGTATATGCAATGCTATTTGATTTGCCAACAATGCCACGCAATGATGTTATACTCAAGTCATACTCACTGGTATTATACCTATGTAAAGGCACATTGTCAATAAATATGCACTACACCTCCACACATACAATAAGTAAAGGCAATGCCAGTATATTGTCAACAATTGTATGCAATATTATTATACTCAAGATATACACACTAGAATTATACCCAAGTGGAAAGAAAAGATGGCAATATACACTACACTTCCACAAATACGTACACTAACTGTAAGCAACTGCTAGTTTATTTGTCAACAATGGTATGCGATATTATACTTCAGTTAGACCATATTGATATTATACCCATATGGGAACACGATGTTAATATATATGCAATACACCCCAAACCATACAATAGGTATATGCAATGTTAGTGTGTTTGTCAACAATGCAATGCACTGCATTGATTAAGCAATCGTATAATACTCAAGTTATACACACTGATAGTATATCAAGTGGAAGCATAATGTCAATATATTGTAGTACATCTCGAAACAGTACTCACGTTAAACAAACTAGTAATACACCCATAAAGGAGCATAACGGCAATATATATTCACTTTATCCCCATACTTACAACAAGTATGAAGTTAGATGATAATTATTTTAATCATTTATTAGGTGCATATATAATCTTCACACCAAATGGGCTACTTCTTTTCAATCCAACTTGTAATGGTTTTCAATTCTACTACTTTCCAGGGCCTGAAAACAGCTCCAAAGTTATGTTTCCTTGCCATTGGAGCAATCGCATTGGTGATTACTGCAACTGTTTATATTTACAAATATTCATCCTATCGAAAATCTGGCCAAAAAAGTGAGAGGAAGATATCGATGTTTTACCAACCCCTTACGAAAAGACCAGATGGCATAATACACGTCATTCAAAAGGCGATGGAAATTTCCAGCACCAGAGGGATTGTGGCAGTGACAGTCGTGAACGATGCATACATCCCGTTGACTTATAGTTGGCTTTGCAACACAGCTAAAATGTCGGTTCATGATAAGGTCCTCATCATAGCAACCGATGTCGCTGCATGGAAGAAACTTCAGAGTAGGTGGCCGACTGTTGAATCCGTTCTTATACACTTTGATGATGAACTGAACGCAAAACTGACTTATAACGAAGTGAGGTACTTAAGGTACATGCTAAAGAGGACAGAGTTATTGCTCCAACTCATCAACAGCGATGTCGAATTTCTTTTATTTGAGGTAGACGCTGTTTGGTTTTCGTCTCCTTTTCCGTTGCTGAAAAGTCTTCCCCAGTACGACCTCATAGCTGCTCAAATCGCAACAACGGATCACTTTGTTGCGGGTAATTTTCTCAATATGCGTCCTTCTGGTGCCATGAGAGCGTTGTACACGACTGTTACGCGTAAGCTTAAAGCAGTACTTGACGATGTACGGATCCTCCCTGGTTATTCTAAGCTAATTACCAACAAAGAAGTGAATGACCAGACACTTCTTACAGCTGAATTGGAGTCAACAAAAAATAGTAGTTTTCAGTTCAAATTATTGGAATTGACTGACGTAGCGGACGGAAAATGGTACGACGAAGACCACAAAAGAGACGTTAAGCCGCCATTGATCATAAATAACAACTGGATCATTGGAATTTCGGCAAAAATTGAAAGAGCCAAGAAGTTCGGGCATTGGTTCACGTTCAATAATAATACGTGTAACTGGAAGAGAGTTACTGCAATCGGACAGCATTAAACTCTGGGATCATTTCAGCACACAGAATTAATAATAATCGGGTGGTTATTTCGACAACTATAACCATGGTTAGTAAACGGTGCAATTATCCTATTCTAATAAAGACTTCGAAGATCCCAAAATTACTATCACAGTTCCTTAAAAGATTGCTATCAATAACAGAAAGTAAAACTAAACCAAAACTGATGGTAATGCAGCAAAAGTTAAATCATTAAATATTGTAAATGACAGAAAATGCCCTTTCAGTATACATTGTTATGTGATACAAGGTGGTACGCAAGCGTGTTTATTGTTGGGTCATCCCTGAATTCTGGAATTTTCCCTCCTCTTGAATGAAGACGAACAAATAAGCGGTCGTTATATGATCACAAGAAATAAAATATCATTTAAATTCCATGTTACGTATATCCAAAATTGAATTTTTAGAGCAACTTTATGACATGCTTCATTTATATTCAAAATTGAATTTCTAGAGCAATTTTGTGATATGATTTCGATCATATATTCAAAATTGAATTTCTAGAGCTATTGTAAGATATGATAATGATATATTCAAAATTGAATATCTAGAGCTATTTTTAAGATATGATGTTGCCCCTTATCATAACGTTACCTCCTCGGACCAGTGTTGTCAATGCTGCTTGCGATTAGCCACTCCATCCTTTCCAATTTTCTTAAAAGGATAGGTATCGATATGGTGAATTGAATTCAACAATGTTTTTCTCTTAAACCAATTATTGAAAACATTTTGTAAAAATCACAGTCCTTTATGTAATGTTTACTGATTGACAACAATTTAATGCGAAAATTATTTATTTGTATTTTATATAACTGTTTTTGTTAACATTTTTTGTTTTTAAGTGCAATTGTTTTTTTGTTCCTTTCTACCATGGCCAATTCTTGAGAATGAAATAAAATGTCAGCTTTCCGAATCCTGTTGGAACAAGATAGCATATACAACATTTTCTTAGACCTTTGATGTCCCTCTTTATATCTTTTTGAATGTATGCCGTTTTAGCTTAGAAATTAGATGTTGAAAATATTGTGGTCAGGCTTGATCCATGTTACAAGTATTGTTAAAAGAAAAATCATTAGAGTTGAAGACCTAACCCTAGAGTTCCTATAAGGGGGTGAGAGGGTAATAAATCCCCCCCCCCTTAAGTGTAACTGATACATATTATATAATTGACATCTCTAAAAATTCATTAATTCCAACAGAATATATACAAAATATCATACACTACTTAGGACAGCAAGGTGCATCAACATGGATTCCTTCCAGCTTTTGACAAGTATAACTAATTGCATGCATTTCAACTAAAACGATGATGTGGAAATTCATACCATAGTACTATCATATCATATCATATCACATTATGAAACTTAAATGAACTTAATTTATATTTTCCATACTTGTACATACATTGAACTCATTTGGATTTTATTTATTCCCTTGGTCCAGTGTTGTCGACATTTCCTCTCATCATCCACTCTTTACCAATCCGCATGAAGTTCATAATAAACCTAAGGGCATAAACTTCAACATCAAAATCCCTACACGCGAAAATAAGGGCACATGTATAATATTATGTTCGATCATATGATGTCACTCCTGTAAATCATTGAAAAATATTGAAAAAAAATCACAAAATTCAAGTTCTGGGGTACATATCGCCATTTTCGAACGAACTAGCCCATACAATGACTATAACTCTGGGTTCCCTCATACATAACCTTCATCTTGACACTATATTTAACATAGGGTTTGCGTCTCGATTTTTATATATCACTACGCCAACATAGGGACTCATTTTCAGGTAAAATCCCTGCTTCACCGATGAAAATTAACGAATAAAGTAGTTCCAGTTTACGGGACTATATTCTTGCGATTTTTTTCTTAAAATGACATATTTAGAAAGTACTTGGCCTCAGCTTTACATACATACCTCAAATGGCCACATTGCATACACTTAAACCTACTATACACACCATTGAGTTGGCATGGCTTCGTTTTTAAAGTATTAAAAAACACTGTCCTACCCGGAAGTGCTATTTACCGGAGTGACACCATATCTAATATACACGTTCCACCCAAGGAGGATTGGCTCCCAGAGTGCAACATCGATATTCTGTCCCATATATGGGCATGTCGTGCTACAAAATTTGAATTCCAACAGCCGCCATTTTGTTCACTTCAGCATTTGAATCGTGAATTTTGGTCTTATTTCCTAACGAAAAATTCCAAAACTCACAGGAAATGATCGAGATATTGGTTCGAATCTTTTGAACTGTTTATTTTGAATTTATAATCGGTTATAATTTCAGAAAATAACGACATCTCGGCGTTTTCATTGTTGGAAAATATCGACTTCGATTCTGGGAGCCAATCCTCCTTGCGTTCCACCGGAAGTCCCCTTTCGGACAAAGTAAAACCAGCTGATCGTTTATATCTGGCGATTTTAACAACTTTATCAAGGTAAAAACCTAACTCCCATGCAATGCATTGCATGTCTCGAAATAGATTAAAGTTATAATTTTATTATAACTTATCAAATATATATTCTTTTACGTTCCCCAATCATTATCTTATTGTAATAGTTCAAAAAAAGTGAAATATAAGAAGAAATATCCGCGTAAAGGATTTTGAGTTTAATACGGATGAATCCAACCAATTGAATTGTTTGAATTTTACAATCACGCGGCGCGAGCTCACAAATGCATATCAAGTATTTCAAGATATCTAACTAATTAACACGTGAAATTGCATTTAAGAAAATATAAATAACTGATGGGTATACCTAATGTGTATATAGAGAGAGCCATCGGGGTTAAAAATATCACATTCTCCAAACGCAGATAGGAAAGAGCCTCTGCCGAACACTGTGTGGGTGACTGAGACTATCCGGAGACCCTTCCCAGAAAAACCATCGTAGTATTTTGTGATTGCTGAAAATTTAATCTCGGCAGTTTATAAATGAATGCTAGAGTTCCCACCAATGCAAGCAGTTGGGTGTTTTTACCGATATATATCATACCCTTCTGTGTTTTTTCCGTGAATTATTTTTAATTGTTAAGCCTAATAATTGAGATTTGACTTTTTATTCCATGACATGACATTTAATGAAGGATATCACCATCCGGATCACCACATGCAGACGGATCGCCTAAAATTACATTATTATGATGCAAGACTCGACATTCAACAAGAAACTAGAAACATTTGTCACCAATGCTAGCAAATTATTTTTTGCTGCTTAATAAAATTAATGGTGAGTGACAGTCACATTAAGTTCTACAAGTATGAGAATAGCATGACGTTCTGATATTTCAAGATAACTCGTTTGAAAAGTGATGGCGGTGATTCAAATTACGATGTAAAGATAAAACTGCAATGAAATATTTGTAGATATCTTTGAAAAACTAAGAAATATATATATACATCACATATCGAATTTTTCAGAATAGAATATGTAGAAATAGTAAGGCTAGCTTGTGTACTTCAAGGTAAGAAAGTTACATTATACTTATGTCCGATCATAAGTTCGAATAATAGTTGTGCTTCAAATATTAATTGTATGACATACATGTCAGACCAATATTATTGCTACCAGGGGAATTGGACCTGCACGCCTTACTATACATATCTTTCTGTTTTTAAAAATTCGATATGTGATATATATTTCTTAGTTTTTCAAATATCTATGTCGAGTCATGCATCCTTGAGATAGACTTGCTTTCTTATTCGCTCGGTCGCTCGCTCACTATTTGATATGCTCACATTTAAATTACATCTAAATTTAAATCTATTTTTTAGTATTTAACGTATAAATTATACAAAAACATTTTCAATTAAGATGCATGGTACCTGCTTTTCCGATGGTAATGTTGCCATCATTGGGAAGTAAGATCCCATCGTCCGTCCACATTTCAACAATGTCATCAAATTTGCCAGCATTGAAGTAATCATCGAACTGAATGAGTCTATTGACTATTGCCTTTACCCCTATATTATTAATTTGAATACATGTTTTACAAAATACAGGTAAGAGTATGGCCATATTAGGTCCGAGGGGACAAGCTAATCATTTATAATTAATAAACTAATTTTCTATCATTAATTTAAAAACAACTTCAGACTTACTTTTATCTTTTACTGCGTCACCAAAGAATGGCATTTTTGATATTAATATGACAAAAATGACTAGTTTAAATCCTGCCATGTTTTAATTTTTCTTCCTTTTAAACTATTGAATGTCGTTGCATGAATAAAATTGGTCCTCGCGTATGTTACATAATATTTAAAGATATACCTATTTAAACATCAGATCGATTATGAAATGATATAATGATCGTTACAAAACAATATATAACTAGTTATGTCTAAACGGTGTCACGCTTGGATTCATCCGCATCGAAAGCAACAAAACTATTTTGAACCACGCCATATTCACTTACTGCCTTTACCCCTATCAATCAAAAATTGAAATAATGCATTTTTAATTATTTACATGATACGCTCATTACTGATATCCATTGGGTTGGTTATTGTTGTAAACTAGTAGGGATATGTATGATTAGTATAAGAACTTGATATGGAAAAAACAAACAAATGTTTCTACTGATTCGATAATATATTTTAAGATATCTTATGCCCGTTCAACATATAAGAGTTATGCACTGAGAGGTTTTGGATACAGGGTTTATCCCAAGGGATCCCGATTGATCGATATTTTCGATGAAATTTGAAAATACATTTCAGGTTTCCAAAATCTCGATATTTTCGAACACTTCTATGATAATTTCAAACTTGGCAAAATTGATGCCATTCAATATTTTCGGTATTATACACGGTATAGCTTGCAAAATGTTTGGGGTTTGGAGTTGGGGTTCAGGGTTAGGATTTGGGTTTAAGGTTAAGGTTTATGGTTAGGGGTTATGGTCAAAGTTAGGATTTAGTTTAAAGGCTTGGATTTAAGGTTAGGGTTAAGGGTTAAAGTTAGGGTTAGGTTGAGGGCTTAAGGTTACCGTAAGGGTTAGGGTTTAGGATTTAGGGTGAGGTTGGGGTTAAGGTTAAGGCCTAAAGTTAGGGTTAGGGCTGAGGATTAAGGGTTGGGGGTTGGGGCTTATGATTTGGGATTTAGGTGATATTTAGACTCGAACTTATCGAAATAATCGAAAAACATTTTGCGTTTTATGTTGAATTAGTCCATGACTTATATCTCATATTGATTAATAAATAAATTACAATATGGTATGCATCATACATAACATGTCTCTCTTACTATATGTATAAAATGTCGATCTGGAATTATTTTTTGAGGATTATATATATAATCAATGCATTTTCTAAAAAAGATCGAAATATATAATGTGGACGTATTTTTGCCCACCCTGTGCTTGAAGAAAGGTTATTCAAACGTGTCATTCATACAAATATACTGTACTTCTTAATACCTCATTCATATTTCAAGTAGTTATTTGTACTATTTTATTGTTGCAATTTATATCATATTGACTATCAATTTATATCTTGTCATTTACATCCATTTAATACGTTAAATCAACATTATTTTGACTTCATGGACAACAATCTAAAATACATATATGATGGCTTGAACTTTTCCTCAAGCACAAGGCGGCCAAAACTTCCTTAGGATGATATTGTAACTGAGTAGCGCCAAGGCATTGGTCAGATGACCCTTCATTCCCATATACCCCAAACTTGAATACACCTGATTTGTTTTTGTGGGGCTATTTGAAAGTCAGTCTGTACCAAAACAATACCCAGAATTGCTGACCTAGAGAAGATAATCATTGCTAAATGTAATGCCAACAACGGCTGAATATGTAAGGGTATTTTGCCATATGAATCTAGCTCTACCTTGGTGTCAATTGTGGCAAATTGGGGCATGTAATATAAATGATAATAGCTCGTGAACCAGTTGACTGGTTGTATTGGAACCTTCAGGGGCAATTTTCATAGAACTGTTCTGTTCTGTTTAGGGGATACATTGCCTTCTTCCCGGTCACCCAGTAGAAAACAATTAACATGGATTTCTTCAAGATTTTGACAGGCATAACTAATTGCATGTATATTTCGAAAATGATAAAACAAGATGATGTGGAAATGCATATCATATCATGTTACTTAATTAAATGTACTTAATTTACATTTTCCATCACATATATACATTAAATTCATTTGGCTTTTGCTTTATTCTCTTGGTCCAGTGTTGTCGACATTTCCTACAATCATCCACTCTTTACCAATTCGCATAAAGTTCATAATAAACCTAAACGATATAAAGGGCACCCACTACCCACATTACAATTGTCATACCTAATACACATTCTTCATTTCAACTACATCACTGTAAACTACAGTACATCACAACAAATTGTAAAAGTCTTTTATGTTTGGCGATGCTACGGGGTTTCCAAAACAGGAGCGAAGAAAAGCTCCAAATGGACACCTCTCTTCTCCATGCGCAATTGAATATAGAGAGGAGGGGTGCTCACTTGGAGCATGTTTTGGAAGGTATTGTAGTTTTTCACTCAATGAACATATTGACTAATATGAATACCTAAGGTGCACAAAAAGGGAGCCATCAGCCTTGTTGATATCACATTCTCCGAACGCAGATAGGAAAGAGCCTCTACCGAACACTGTGTGTGTGACTGAGACTAACTGGAAGCCCTTCCCAGAAAAACCATTGTAGAATTTTTTGATGGCTGAAAGTAAGATAAGGCATAATCCATAGCTGGCCGAATTTGGTAAATCTAATCTATTTTTGAGATTCCATATATGCAACCTAGATAATGAGGTCTATTCAAACAGCCAATAATGATTCGTAAAAACAGTCCATAATGATGAGTAAAAACAGCACATGATGATTAGTGAATACATAACTCCACATAACCTAGGTTAATCCAGTAGCCGACAGCCGAAAGTTGCATTCGCGAATACAAGCTTCCTCTTGAATTATCTAGATCTATTTTCAATATTTAATCCACATTAAATTGAGGTTGATTATGAATTTCAATTGAGTACATTACCTGCTTTTCCAATGGCAATGTTACCATCGTTTGGAACTAAGATCGCATCGTCGTCCACATTTCTGCAACCTCATCAAATTTGCCAGCATTGAATAAATCATCGTACTGAATCAATCTCTCCTCTATTGCTTTTACTCCTATCAATTTTAAATTACACGTTTTACAAGATGTAGGCCAATTATACAGCCTATAAGCTCCCAAAGAGGATAGCCTAATCGATATGATACAATATGCTGAAAGAATAAAGCTGTACTTTTACTTTGTGCTCTACATTTCAGAGAAAGTTGGTACCTGTGCCGCGTTGCCATACAAAATAATCGTTGCTGCCGACTCGTTGCCATATTGCAAAATATGACTGTGCCGCGTTTCCAGCGAGTACAATTTTGTAAGCAGATTGCGAGAAAAGTTTCAATCTTAATTTGTATGGTACATTCTGTATGCATCAGACCATTGAATGTCAACGTTAAATTTGCTCATAAGCGAAATACCACCCCTAAATTGGAAGTAGAAGACAGTTCAACAAAATAGGATCGGGAAATCATCATTTGTGTTGACTATTTCTTTACACTGGTCAATGCCTGATCAGGAATTCCTATGAATTTACATACCTTGAGAGATTGTCCACCGAATGTGAAGCATGAGTTTTCAAAAAATTACCTGTGTTTCGGGGAAATGGAGGACGAAAGTGGTTCCGATAATCGGAGTTGCCTCCATCATGGTCCGCAACGCGGTGCAGCCTCGTTTTGAACAGCTACGCGTGGCTGTGCCGCGTTACCTATATCCACCTTGATAACGATGTATTGTTAGTCCTATTTATTTTACAATAAGTAAATACAATTTATGAATCAATTATTTAAACTTACGTTTCTCTTTGATTGCGTCACAAAGATATTGCACTGCTGATATTATTGTCAATAAAATTACCGGTTTAAATCCTGTCATGTTTATAATATAAAATTGAATGCCTCTTTATAAATAAAGTTGATCTTGTGCGCGTATGAATCAAACAAGGCCTTGATATTCACACAGTAGGTTATTATTGAAAAATATTATATAGACCGCACATGACCAATAAATAGAAATCGAAAAATAATATTCTAATACATCCGAGTAAATATTTTAAACAAATGTATCATTAATCAACACAAGGTTTAAATATCTTGATTAAATCTAAAACTAAACGCAAGTGTAACAAAAAATGAGCCTACCAGGGATCACCCTGTAGATACTGGCATATCGCATGAGAACGTTTCTAGCTTTAGATGAAATATCACTGAAGAATACACTAAAGAGGGAGATTGGTTCTTGGATGCGCCATATTTCAAACACACTATGTGATTTCAGTCAATTGTATCAACAAGTAAAAATGTTTAAGACCTATCCACTCCAACTGAATTTCATGTGAAAATCGTATCCGCATATTCTGACAATAATCCAATACATTAGCTAATCACTGCTACCCACCTAATTACACAGACGTATCGTCGGTGTATCATGGCGGAACTTCCTCCGGGACTAGGTTTCGGTAAGATTTTTTTATTTCCCGATTTACACCTACTTATAAGTCACGTTGTGGATAATAATTTGGCTCGAAGTTAAGGAAGATGGTTTTAGGTTTAATATGTTAACAAAACACAATTCACGTATTTAGTCCCTCGATTTTCTTACACTGACGAACGACCAATATCAGTGTAATATTGGCAATATTAATGCCGATCGTCAGTGTAAGAAAAATTAATAACAGATCATTGAAACTTTGCATACTAATTAAGAATATCAACAACTTCCAGTAAAGTTATTGTGATGATCAAGGATCAACTGATAAAGTTATTCAAGGATAATAAAGTACCCCCTGTTATTTTCTATATTAGGGTCAAAACCCCACTTTGGTAACTTTCACCCCGGATACACGTCAGACAAAAAAATTCTGAAGTATCACATAAAAATACATAAGAAACAAGTAATTTCAATTTGCAATTGTTCACATGTAAAAACATTTTTGTGTCCTAGCTTACTACCTCTAATTATAAAATGATATAATGACAATGACAAAATAATATATGACGTGTTCATTAAAGGAAAAATCAAGAATCGGGAAGAATGAGGAGTGACACAATTGCAAGCAACATGTACTGTTGACCTACCAATATATTCCTCACAATTTAATTTGTAATTAATTGTAATTAGCCCAAAACACTCTAAAATTGGAACAATTTTTGTCAAGAGTTGCTATCAGTATCTTAATAGATCTGATTCTGCCCTGAAGAACATATCTTAACATTATCACGTTTTGATTCATCCGGATTGAAACCAACCAGAACTATTTTGAACGATTCCATCACTTATTCATTTGTACCAAAAGGAAAACTCCCTTGGGCAATAAAACAATAAAACACATTATATTACATGTAATATTTATTTTCTAGAAAGGACCTTATACACCCTCCATTGGGATCTCCCCATGGGAAAAAAATAATTCATCTGATTTTTCAAAACGAGTATTCTGCTTCAATTATTACATTTATATGCACACTACTATCTTGTTGACCTATATTCAGCACTGTATTGATGTATAGGCCACTTATTAGGGTCATAATTCAATCATGAAGTGTAGAGGCATAGATTCCAAACCAGGAAGTATTTTTGTGTCTGTCAAAATCCATTTACATCCTACGCATCCCTGCATCTTATCCAAATATGTTACTACATAATGAAATATAATAGTATAATCTTTGGTTTTACAAACTTGTTTGATATTTGATAAGTGTAAAAGTTGTTTTTGGAGCATTTTTCTATAGCCATTTTGTAGGGAAAAAATGATGAAAAAATGTACAATCTTTTAATTTTAAGTATGACCTGAATCGATTGCAAACTTCATATTTGCACATTTGATGAGATAAACAATTTGTGTCGTATTGTGAAATTATTGAGTTTGCAATCGATTCAGGTCATAATGTATTTTTGGTATTTCTGTGATAATCAATGGAAACCAATGACCTCTATTGGGATCTGCTGATATCCTCATGTTAAGTCAATGGTGCACAGCCCCATGTAAGTCAATACAACCTTACTGAACGAATGATCCCTATCTCAGCTTATGTGTGTCCGAGCACTTTAATATTTTCCAAAGTATTATATGACATTTTATTCTTCATGTTACACCTACGAATGATTCATTTTGACCATAGGGATATTTGCCAATAATTGCACCTTGTCCTTTACATGATGCGTTTATTAGTATATTGGTTTGATCATTGTTGCATAAACTATTAGGAATACGTATAGTTATCATTGGCATTTAAAGTACTTGATATTGAAAAACAAACATATTTTTCTAGATCTACTTTGATTCAACATCAAGATATTTTATGCCAGTTCGAATGGCATATATGGATATCGAGGCAAAACGAGAGATGAAGGCATCACAATGATTATCGCAAATCGCCTCATATTTCTAATCCACCTTCACGTGTAAATGAAACTAGGAAGTGTTTATACACAGTGTCGAGTAAATAATGAGGGTCTATATGTGCATGTCAGATAATAAAAAATGAGTGTACCAGGGAACCAATTCTTTTGATCACTCTGTATACTCACATATATCGCTAAGAATGGTTTTATTTTGCCAGCTCGTGGTTTAAACTCTTAAAGATTATGCCATAGGTTTCTCCCCTAGACAATCAATGATGTCCTATTGTTATTGCTCATATAATATCTCACATACCATGGATATATCTTGAGATTAACTTTTGGGTATATTATTGCCGAAATATCGGAAATAATCAACAGAACAACCAAACTCCAGAATTAAACACAATCGATTCCTCGGCTAGCGAGGGGAATCCCCATTGGGTCACACAAGCGCCCACAAGCGCCTTGAACCAGGCAGCCAGTCAGGTTTATGATAAACAAATTCAACGACCAATCAGATAACAGGAGGACCTTCCCGGTATATTCAAACTTCAGATTGAATTAATTTCTTCGAAAATAATTAGATTGGCCAGCACAATCGCAAAATTAACACTGAAAGAGGGGGATTTGGGACTTCTTCTTTGCTTAATAGATGGGTATATACTCGTATGTGGTGAAACTCATTATGCAAAAAAGTCCAGAGGGGTCTTGATTGTGTTATCCTATGGACTAGAGCCTCTTTAAATATTCTCCAAAGTATAATTTGACATTGAAATAATTATTGTAAACCCAAAATATTGCCATTATGGAATTAAATTTCATAAAATTAATAAATGACCCCATTCACTAAAAATTCGAATTGAGGTGAGATGCACTCTGGTTGCATTTGTATTTGAGATGATTTTTATCAAAATTATCGCATACAATGACTGTCAATATTGACATGGGTTTTCACAATTCAGGACATCTGAAATTATCTATAAAGTTACTAAATGGTGTAATTGTGACAACTCAAAAAAACCTATTATTAACGTTTTAAAAGTAACTTTGAAGCCGTTTTCTTTAGGTTTGCAGACAAGGATTTTATTTACTTTACATGTTCCATCACACCTGTATATTAATTTCATATGGTTTATTTCTTATTCTCTTGGTCCAGTGTTCTCAACATTTCCTGCAATCATCCACTCTTCACCAATACGCTTAAAGTTGGCAATAAACCTAAGGGAAGTAGGGGCATTTGTTATGATGGTCGATCATATCTAATATACATTTTCACTGGGGGTCAACTGGAAACGAAGACATGATGTCTCCGTTTCAGCATGGCCGGTTGATAATTTTTGTTTTCTCGATTTTATCACCTTTATCTTTTACATTTCAACTCAATATTTGGCCGTATGTAGTGCGTAGGTTCCTGTTTCGAAATAGGGGTATACATTAAAGGGGACCACCACCATGGTCACATGATCAGTCGTGTGGAGGTAAGCTCCCAGTTGAAATAAAAGCACTGTCCTCCTTTGGTTTATGTGAAAAGTAGCTAATACCCTCATGTATTGGTCAGTTTGTGCGTCACACGACTTATCCACACCATATGCTTCATTCAACATATTTTATGCTATTAAGCTGCATATAAAAACACTATTTTGCAGTAAAAACGTACTACTGGATGAACTAAGGTTAGGGTAATCAAATTAGTTGTTTCTCATTCTTGCCCGCGTGTGGCTCAATCCCCCTCCACCTTTTTCTGCCATTTCTGAGAAAAAAACACCGTACCTCGCGCGCATCCATGGCGTGTGAAACACTTTTTTTTACTTTTTATGGATCAGGATAATTGACAATATCGTGGTACTGATATCATCAAATGTACCAGTAAAGTTGGCTAAATTCAACATATAAATTCAACATAAACTCAGTTTATTTCCTTCAAAATTTGTTTTTACAGTTATTTTAAAGAAAAAAATCATCCCGTCCCTCATCAGCATTTTAGATAGACAAAAAAGGTAATATAAAAACCGTCATTCCCGCATCAATTTTTAAAAATAGAAGAAAGAGAAACAACTAATTTAATAACCCTGGCCTAACATAAAATACAAAGCCACTAGCTAGCTCATACAGTATACTTACCCCTTGCAAATTGTAATTCATTGAATTCACAGTAAACCCATCAATTTAAAAAAAAACAAAGAATATTGTTCTCATGGATCTATTATTCATGTTAAACTAACTATGAAAATATAAATATAAAATAATATGTTAGCTTGAAGACAGAATTGTTCAATGGTCACTTTTTCTTTAATAACTTTTTTAATTTTCAGTATTATCAAAATCTGATTACATATTTGAAAACTAGAGTAAAATTCTGACATACAAAAAAAATATTTAAATAACATCTCTTAATCTATTGATATTATAGGCGTTCATAGTATGAGTGACGCAAATACATAATTCACCATTTTGTCTCATATTTGTTTAAAAATGGCGGCATGTTTTGTGGTTTGAATGTTCAGTTGAAAGTTAATATTTAAGAAATGCCATAGGCCTATGAAATCATGTAGACTGCTGCCTTGGTATAAGATGATGACTGCATTTATAACCTTTTGTTTTAAATTGACTTGTATGTTTACCAGTACTTAAAAAGGTTTGTACATTGTATGTATAGTATATTGGTAAGGTCGCAGGACTTAAAGTTTTTTGGCCATTCCATTGTTACTCGTAGTGGATTAGCAACCCTAGTTTGTTTATCCTGTGCAACTATAGGGTCATACTGCCACAGTTTGTAATGTCTTTCCCAGTCACATGCCTCTTAACCCATCCTTGGCATACATGTGAATTGTTCTTCAGCTTTTCAATGGCCTCTGAGATGGCAGTTTGGAGCTCTTGAAAAGATTGAGGACTTCTCTCATCACGCCCCGCACATTGAGGCGCCACCTTTTCAAATCCTCTTGAACTCAACCCCGAACATTTCAATAGAGTTGATTTCATATACCCTCGGAGGGAGTTAATTTCTTGTATTTGATGAATGCTCAGTTGCTGCTGCATTACATCAGGATTGTAACCGTGGCAGCATGGCCCTATAGTCCTATGACAATCTTTAAATATTAACTTTCAACTGAACATTCAAATTCACAAAATATGCCGCCATTTTGAACAAATATGAGGCAAAATGATGAATTATGTATTTGCGTCAGTCATACTTTGAACGCCTATAATATCAATACATTAAGAGATGTTCCTTAAATATTTTTTTTGTATGTCAGAATTTTACTCTGGTTTCCAAATATGTAATCAGATTTTGATAATACTGAAAATTAAAAAAGTTATTAAAGAGAAAGTGACCATTGAACAATTCTGTCCGGGCTACTATATAAGATGAAAATATATGTTCATGCATTTGCATTTTTCCAAAGGGAATATATTCCCATGTAAGTAAATACAGGTGCAATATATAATTTATATGTATACAGTATCTATGTCATCTGTCTATACATGCGTTTGGAAATACATTCCCATGAGATATGTATATATAGTCAAAAGTGATAACTATTTATTGAGTGTAATGAAACGTATCCTTCGCTAACTGCTTTTGTTTGAGATAATTATCATGAAATATTTTTTAATTAATTTTTATGTGTGTCATTGATCCTAATCCACCCTGTAGTCTGGTGTTTGTAGAGCATTGCACCTCGTACAACTTATTCTCACAAATATCAAACCTCATTTACTAATTAATTTTTTGTGTGAATATGAAGAGTCCAAGCATTGCTTTTTATGTTTACTGTATAGCTATATTTAGCCTTGATATCCATGATTTTTTAAAACAAAATCTCACCGTTAGATTTCGAGCGGTATATGGCATACATTCATGGTTGCGCGGTAATCGTGATACGGGTGAATATGCCATACCCACCTGCGGTATATGGCATATTCCGCAGGTGAGTATGCGATATTCCGCAGTGAATATGCGATACATTGATTTCAGTGAATACCCGATACTCACCTGCAGAATATGTCATACTCACTTGCGGAATATGCCATATACCGCAGGTGAATATGACATATACCGCAGGTGAAAACGTGATACAGAAAGCCTTGATTTGATTGGTTGCGAAAATCGACTCTAAATGTAAAACTACGCTGGATTACCAATATAGTCAGTGCGTCGAGTACTAATACATGAATCCTGGTTTGATTGAGAAAGTTTATTACGCGAGATTGGTGACTGATACTTCTGCTAAGTTAATATATTCGATACACAGTACTGTTGATTCAGTAATCATTATAATAATTTATAACGTTTTACTTGTTCGTTCAATCTATGTTATTGACAATTGCGTACTTCCGTATCGCGTTCTCATTGGTTAGTATGTATGCAATATACCGCAGGTGAATCTGTCATACACCGCAAGTGAATATGCCATATTCGTTGCGGAATATGACATATTTTTGTATCGTGTTTACCGCGTAACACTATTCATGTTTACTCATTTTTCTAATTGGAAAACAATGCAAATCTCATTTTTTCAAAGGAAAAAAATTGAAATTCTAAGACAGTGAAAAATCATTAAAAATACACAGATTCAGAATCCGACAAGCATTTTCCCTTATTCCTCTCCGTAAGAAGTTTTGTAAGGTGTGGGATCCCTTTAAGAACTACACACAGTAATTGTTTGGATATGACAATTACAAAACGCTTGGGAAACGAAGACAGTCCATAGGTTTCTGAAGCATGAAACGAAGACAGCATATTTCAATGTTATCTGAAGTACACTGGCGGATCTAGGGGGCTGGGGCCCCTTTGGGTGGACCCAGAAAAAAATGGCCCAAACAATTTGGACCAAAAAGGCCTTAAGGCCCCAAAAATAGGAATTTTTGGTCATTACTGGGCCTTTAGAGGCCTTGTTTTTTAATTTCAGGCCAAATTTTGAAGAAAATGGGCCTCAAATATTCAATATTTGGGCCACTTTGGGGTTTTAGGGCCCCACATTTTTCCAAGACATCTACAATGTGCTTTAAAGTGCAAATGCGACATCGAATATTACTGCATTAATGCACTAGTGAAAACGAATGTCTTCATTGCAAATGAAACATATAAAATATATACATATCGTCGTATCATATCTGTTACGGGGAATATGGCATATACTCATGGTTGTACGGCATTTGTGATACCTGCGGTATACTGTATGGTATATTCCGCAGGTGAGTATGGCATATTCCACAGTGAATATGCGATATATTGATTTCAGTGAATATCCGATACTCTCCTTTGGAATATGGCATGCTCGCCTGCGGAATATGCCATATACCGCAGGTGGAAACGCCATACAGAAAGGCTCTTCATTGCAAATGAAACATATAAAATATATACATATCTTCGTATCATATCTGTTACGCGGAATATGGCATATATTCATGGTTGTACGGTATTTGTGATACGAGTGAATATGCCATACTCACCCGCGGTATACTGTATGGTATATTCCGCAGGTGAGTATGGCATATTCCACAGTGAATATGCGATACATTGATTTCAGTGAATATCCGATACTCACCTCGGAATATGTCATACTCTCCTTTGGAATATGTCATACACCTGCGGTGTATTGTATGGTATATTCCGCAGTTGAGTTTGGCATATTACACAGTGAATATGCGATACATTGATTTCAGTGAATATCCGATACTGACCTCGGAATATGTCATACTCTCCTTTGGAATATGGCATACTCGCCTGCGGAATATGCCATATACCGCAGGTGGAAACGCCATACAGAAAGGCTCGATTTGATTGGTCAAAAGAATCTATACTAAATGTACAACTACGCTGGATTACAAATATAGTTAGCGCTTGGAGTACTAATATATGAATCCTGGATTGATTAACTACGTTTACTATGTTTAATTGCTGAATGATACTCCTGAATGTATCATAAATGTATAAATCATGATTCCCAATACAACTGTTATGCGGTATATGGCATACAGTCATGGTTGCGCGGTATTTGTGATACGGGTGAATATGCCATACTCACCTGCGGTATATGGCATATTCCGCAGGTGAGTATGCGATATCCGCAGTGAATACGCGATACATTGATTTCAGTGAATACCCGATACTCATCTGCGGAATATGTCATACTCACTTGCAGAATATGCCATATACCACAGGTGAATATGACATATACCGCAGGTGAAAACGTGATACAGAAAGCCTTGATTTGATTGGTTGCGAGAATCAACTCTAAATGTAAAACTACGCTGGATTACCAATACATTTAGTGCGTCGAGTACTAATATATGAGTCCTGGATTGATTAAGTTCATTACGCGAGATTGGTGACTGATACTACTGCTAATGCTAAGTTAATATATTCTATACACAGTACTGTTGATTCAGTAATCATTATAATAATTTACAATTTACATTGGTCATTGTGTATGCCATATACCGCAGGTGAATCTGTCATACATGGCAAGTGAATATGCCATATTCGTTGCGGAATATGACATATATTTGTATCGTGTTAACCGCGTAACAAAGGCTACAAAATACAAAACTCGTTTCCTAAGCCAGGGAACAAATTTGTAAATATCGGAATGATTACTTCATCTATTTCTAAGATGTAATAATTAATATTCAGAACCGGAATATACGCATTACATACTGGCCAAATATTAACTGTTAAAATTTGATGGATTAAGACGACAAAATCAAGAACACGTTTTACCAGAAGTTCAATGACCAAGATGCGAGTAGTGTTACGCGGTATATGGCATACATTCATGGTTGCGCGGTATTTGTGATACGGGTGAATATGCCATACTCACCTGCGGTATATGGCATATTCCGCAGGTGAGTATGCGATATTCCGCAGTGAATATGCGATACATTGATTTCAGGGAATACCCGATACTCACCTGCGGAATATGTCATACTCACTTGCGGAATATGCCATATACCGCAGGTGAATATGACATATACCGCAGGTGAAAACGTGATACATAAAGCCTTGATTTGATTGGTTGCGAGAATCGACTCTAAATGTAAAACTACGCTGTTTTACCATTATAGTTAGTGCGTCGAGTACTAATATATGAATCCTGGATTGATTGAGTAAGTTTATTACGCGAGATTGGTGACTGGTACTTCTGCTAAGTTAATATATTCGATACACAGTACTGTTGATTCAGTAATCATTACAATAATTAATAACGTTTTACTATTTCGTTCAATCGATGCAATTGACAATTGCGTACTTCCGTATCACGTTCTCATTGGTTAGTTTGTATGCCATATACCGCAGGTGAATCTGTCATACACCGCAAGTGAATATGCCATATTCGTTGCGGAATATGACATATTTTTGTATCGTGTTTACCGCGTAACAAGTAGGTAATTACCAGTTTCACCACCAGGTGGCTGAATCGGGGGAAATAACATGGCTGGTATATAGAATATTTCCCTTAATTTGAGTATACATCAGTTTTAGAGGTTCAATTTTCATATTACTCTGACTTATATATCCGATAGTTGTTCAAATCAAAACATGTCCAGTAAATGAAAATATCATCTGCCCAATAGAAAAAAATGTATTTCTATTTTGTGATTTACAACATGGGGCCTATGGGGAGTCTCCCCGACCTAGAAGCCCCATTTTAAAGAAAATTAAATTTTTAAAGTTGATTAACCCACTTTAAAATCACATTTCTAGATTTCATTTTACATGTAGATTTCAAATATGATATCACTTTGACTGAATATTGAACATTTAATGATGTAAATCAAGGTTATTTCTACTTGCATCTATGCCATTGTTCAAATATTTAAAGATATTTAACTGAGATAATATGACGATTGAAATTGCAAAATATATATTCTAGTAACTGATAAATATACCTAATGTGTATGATGAGGGAGCCATTGGGGTAGTAAATATCACATTCTCCAAACGCAGCAAGGAATGAGCCTCTGCCGAACACTTTGTTGGTATAAATGTCTAACCGGATATTCTTCCCAGAAAAACCATTATCATAGAATTCTGCGATAGCTGAAAATTTAAACTCGGCATAATACAATAATTAGATTGCAAATGTGTTTTTATAACACGAAACAAGAATACTCGAAAGAAATGGATGCTAGAATTCCCATCAAAAGAAAGCGAAGTGGGTTTTCCAGAAATGTATTGTCCTTGTTTATTTTCTAGAAAAATGTATAGTGGGTAAATTTAGCTGCATATTGGTATTGGTATTGAAATTCAAACTCATCAGCACACGATGAGCCTGAATCTTAATACCAATCTGGATTCATAATTCTGTTTAAATGTCAGTTTGAATCACAGAAGAATTCCAATATGGTTACTTATTTCATTATATAGCAAAGGGTGTTTATTTCGCTACATCAAATGTGTTGTTGATTTATTTGTATCAAATATGTTCGGATCTCAATACCAATACCAATATGATTTCATATTGGGATTCATAACTTCTGTGTGAATGTCAATATGAATCCCAATATGGTGGCGTACATCATTATAGCGAAGGATGTTTTTCTGCTTCAAATCTGTTCGAATCTCAACATAAGTACATGGTCGACATATTGGGATTCAAACCGATTTGTATCCCAATATAAATCCCAAATGGACATTTATATCATGATAGCAAAGTATGTTGATTTCTCTGCATCAAATGTGTTCGAATCTCAATACCAATACCAATATGATCTCATATTGGGATTTTTTAAGTCTGTTTGAATCCCTATTTGAATCACGATATGGACATTTATATCATAATAGCAAAGTATGTTGATTTCTCTGCATCAAATGTGTTCGAATCTCAATACCAATACCAATATAATCTCATATTGGGATTTTTTAAGTCTGTTTGAATCCCTATTTGAATCACGATATGGACATTTACATCATAATAGCGAAAGATAGTGATTTCCCTGAATCAAATACGTTTGAATCTCAATCAGCCTAACTTGCAATTTCTGCTTACTCGCCCAGTCGCTTGCTCACTATCTTTTATGCTCGCATTTGAATAAAAACAATCTACATCTACAGGGTTGGGCCAAAAAACAATACCCAAGTTTAAAGATGAATGATTCATGTGGTAAATGTTAAACCATTTCATGTATTATGTCTCATTTTAAAGAAATATCATTTCTTAACAAAATGACACCATCTAATTGAACAACCTTTGTTAGAGACTAGAATTGACAACAGGGGTGCAGCGAGCGACCAAAAATCAAAAAATGAAAATTCCCTTCCATATTGCAGTCACAGCTGCACTCAATATGCTTGACTGCATCATCATAAATTTATTAAAGAGTAATACACAATTGATAATTTATTAAAAACATATACGTATTATTGCTGAATTTTGCACCATAACTCTTGTAACTCTTTCGAAGGTGCCAAAGTTCAAATTTTCCTCCATTTTCCACAATTTGGAAATCCGCAGTGAATACTTTTTTGGTCAATCATGACACCCCTCCACAACTCCATAAGAAAACAATGGTTTTTCAATCAGATGGTGTCATATTGTTAGGAAATTAGTTATAATTATCTTTAAAATGATATACAATACATGGCATGGTTTAACATTACATCATATGATATTCATCCTTAAACTTGGGTATTGGTTTTTTTGGCCCACCCTGTATATTTTAAAAGTAAATATAAACAGGGTGACAAATAGGTCCCCTCCCCTGCTACAGCTAAAACCTGAATATATGGTACCTAGTGTTATATACTATTAGAAAGATCATCCAGTTACGTTAACTCACCAACTCTCAAGTATGTTGGGTGTTTACCTATATTTTCATGATGGCCTTTATAGCTAGTGTGCGCCCTCCCCTCCAATAGCTTTAATTGCGTCAAAATAAGAAGGATATGAAATTGGTTAAATTCACTTCCTTATACATATGCTGTCATCTTGAGCTCATTTGACTTTTCTGATGCCAGATTCCTGCCAAGTACGCCAAATTGCCATGTTTTTAGGTATATGGTCACCCAGATTGCTACAATTTCGCAATTTGTGACATTGATTGACAGGTATCAGATATATGCTGATCAACGTAACTTTGAACGATATATTACACTTGGTGCCATATATCTTGGTTTTGGCTGAAGAGGGGAGACACCCTGTCTATCATATTATATTTGAATATTTAAAAATGTTTTTATTTCATTTGATTATTTATGAATTTAAATTAATTAAGATAGTACCTGCTTTTCCAATGGTGATGTTGCCATCATTTGGGAGATAGATCGCATCTTCAGTATGCATTTCTCCAATCTCTTTAAATTTGCCAGCATTGAATAATTCACCGAATTGATTCACTCTCTCTTCGATCTCTTTCATCCCTATATTATTTACACGTTTTACAAAATATAGGTATGCCTATCCTCATCAGCTCTTAGACGACAAGCTTATTATCGATCAATTCTTAAAGTATGATTCAAAACGTACTTACTTTTCCCTTTGACTGCGTCACAAAGAAATGGCACTTTTGATATTAATATTACAAAAATAACTAGTTTAAATCTTGCCATTTTCCTCCTTTTAATCTGTTGAATACGCTGTACGTATGAATTAAATTGATCCCCGCGCATGTATATAACATATTTTTATAAAGGCTTATTTAAACATCAGATGAATAATAGAAAGATATAATGACAGTGACAAAACAAAACATGACGTTCGTCTGTCCCGGCAATAACTCAAATACCAGTTGACGGATTAAGTCCAAATTTCATAGACTGGTACGGATGCCTTATGAAGATGGGACCTCTGCTTGAAAAGACATTTAGAATATGGCACCTCAAATCAAGATCGCTGACAACTCAAATACTTGTCGAATTTGGTTCAAATTTGTATGCTGGTGCCTAGCGACAAAGGAGTTTTGCTTAAGAAGAGATTTTAAAGATGGCCGCTGTATTTCAAAAACGTAATCGTTGATAACTCAATTACCGGTGGATGAAATTGACTTCAAATTTTATATATTGATACCTAAGGAGACTGGAGCTCTGCTCTAGAATAACTTCTCAAGATGGCAGCTGAATTTCAAAATGGCCGCCATTTTTCTTAAAAGAAGTGAATCTTTGATAATTCAGATATCAGTTGACGGATTTTTTTTCAAATTTATATGCTGGTGCCTAGAGAGAAAGGAGCTCTGCTTTGGAGGAGATTTTCAAGATAACACTATCACACCAAACTAGGCCTAGATATATAGTTCTCAGTACGTTCTCGAAAACGGGCCTAAACTGTGTACTTAGAACCGTTTGGTGTCTCCTTGCAAACTTTATGAACGTACACGAACGAGTAGGTCCTCCACAAATAAGAATATTCTGAAATCAGAACCGGTGACTTAATTAATACGAGCTGGACGAACTGCGAATGGAACTGTGTCGTACTTTCCATCCTACTAGGGATGTTTTAGACCGAGTTGAACTGTCTTGGGACGTATTGAGAACACGGTAGAACTAAAAGAGGTGTGCGCAATAATTCAGAATGACAACAATATTCTCACCTCTCCTCTTGAAGAGCTCCAATTCCGGGGACAGATTTTTTACATCCGGGCTCTTTCCCCATTGAAATATTCTGAGTCCGATTTTGAATACATCATTTCAGCATTATTTGACATTCTTCGTCGCGGATATTTGCACAATCGATAAAAATATAGGTCCTTATGGCGGCAATCTGCAAAGCGTTTTCACAAATATTTTTCGAAACTGACGATAATCATGAAATGTTCTACGGTGAGACTCGATGACTCGATATGAAAAAGAAGCAAGTTCTCGTGTAAATAACGCGGGTTTGATGTCATGTTTATATATGTTTGACTTATGTCACCCTACTATCACACCAAACTAGTTCTCACTACGTTCTCGAAAACGGGTTTCAACTGTGTACGAACGGACTGGACGTACTTAGAACCGTTTGGGGTATATTTACAAATTACTTCATCAAACGTACTCGAACGGGTAGGTCCTCTAGAACTTAAAACATGCTCAAAATGTTCTCGACGACGACGAGCTGGACGTAATACGAACGGAACCGTCGTACTTCAATCAGTCCTACTAGGGACGTTTTTACAACGAGTTGAACTGTCTGAGGACGTATTGAGACCGAGGTAGAACTAATTGCAAACGGGTTTTAACTGATTAAGAACGTATTAAAGAGACTGCTTATGAACGATTTAGCAAAAATATAGCTATCACACCAAACAAGTTGCCACTGCGTTCTTCAAAACGTTTCCGAATCGGTTTTAAACTGTGTGCGAACTGAATGAACGTAGCTACAACGTTCTACGGTCTGTTTATGAACTTCATGGACTTTCCCGGACGGGGAATGTGATTTATAATTTTGAATCGATTCAAAATTCGATGGCGACCATACCGTTCTGTAATCAGGTCATGATGACCTTCTAGACTAAAACGCTTAAATCCTACTAGGAACGTATTCAATTACGACATGGTGCAGTCGGGCGTGACTGATGATGAATGATTACAGAAAGAGTCAGATACAGCCCGTTTTACGACTTTTTTGTAGGACTGGGAAGAACAGTTGAGAATTAGATTGGTGTGATAGGGGTTTTTAAACAGAACAATTTCCTTACTTTGAATGGCAATATCTCCATTTTGATGGAGACCTTAACAGCAATTGCAACTCCCTTGTCGCCATTCCGATAACATGCGCTCTTCGGATTTTATGTGTCCATGTGCATATTACATAAGTTAGCATTTAGCATGTTTGTTATACAAGCCTCTGGTTTTAGAACTAGATAGAGTAGTGAAAGGATCAAATACTCAATGCATGCATTTTCTACAAAATAAATACAAACAATACAAAAATAACGATATCGCATGAGAGGGGAGTACTCTAAAGCCATCCAAAGATAAGCCTACCTGCTAACATGTCTTAGACGCCAATGTACCGTTATTGACATGATAGCATTATCAGGCTTTGCCTAGTGTAGAGCGTGTGCAACTTTTGAATAACAAACATTTAAGTTTAACCTTGAATTCATGTCTCCTTAAACTTGTTGATTTTATAGGATTTATCTTAGCAACGAAAGCCGCAACTATGGGCCTCACTGGTAAGTTACATGTATCCAGGCAATAGTCTGGCATGCAGGTATAGATATATCTTTAAGTCAAACATTTTACCTTTCATTTTTAAACTTTCAAGTCTCTTACATTTCGGAGTAAGCAACGCCCGAGTCACTGCACTCTGTCGTCGCCGTCATTTGCCTGCGTCTTTCGGGTTTTGGCCTCCTCGATTCATTTGAAGTCCTCTCGTTTCTCTTAGAGTCAGACATTTATCATGTATTGTCTTAAATTGATTCGATTCTTGACAGGGTTTGGGTAAAAAGCGTTGGGCAAAGTGGTTATCCTCCATGCTGTGTTAAGATGTGTAAATATATTTAACATTACGTATCTAATGCAGGAATAATTTAATATACAGATCGCGAATATTATCGGATATTCACCGGGGATACAGTTGAAAGCTGATAACCATATCCACTTGTTATTGATTTCGAATTTGTGGCCTCGGTAGATTTAAAACTTTAATGTTAGCTTTTCAATTTCACGTGTATTTAGTTTTGAAATATGGGAAAATTTTCGTTTCCAAAGTTACTGTGTATTTTTTCTTATCATAATAAAAATGGGTGTCGACTTTTGGCAAGCAACCGAAGATACCTCAAGAAAAACCGGAGATTGCCGAAGATTGCCGAAGCTTTTCTTTGCAAACGAAGTTGGCCGAGGGTACCACGAATGTGAAGAGGACGTCTCTAATTGGTCAAAAATAGGGGCTCGGCATTCTCCGTCAGATTGAATCGGCAAAATTCGGTTGTATGGCTTACCTTCGGTTGTATGGCTTACCTTCGGCTGCATGGCCCAACCTCGATTGAATGGAAAAGATGCTGTCCCTAATAAAAATACCTTTGAATAATAAGACCGTCATGTTATAGGGAAACTACTGAAAAGTAATATTATAACGTAAAAATGCACGTTGCGTTCTTACGAGGATTTTACGTACTTTATTCGCCTACGGGGCCTCCGTAAGATTGCTTGCCATCTTTGACATCTAGTTCTACTTGCGTTTTGTCATGATTCAAAGTGACTAACCAAACGTAAGCACACTTAAAAGTTGTAAAGTTGTAATTATAATCGTTATGTGTTTTATGTCACCACCAAAAGTGGGGACGTTTTGTTATTTTGTTATGGTCTCAAACTTTTTGTGAACGATGTGTGACAGTCGGTGGTCGGCGTTCGGCGTCTGTAACAAATTCTTTCAACTACATAACAACTACTGTTTAGACTGAATTTTTACGATTAGACATATAAACACACATTTCTGCCAATATCTCTTACCATGGCAACAAATAAGTGGACTTGTAACATTTTGTAACCATGGCCGACGGTCGGTGTCCGGCGTCGTCTGTAACTTCCAATAAGTTAACATGTACTGTTTTGACTGACTTCAATTTTTTACTGTGAACATATGAAAAACACGTTATGCGTTCCATTACATTTCTTCTAATAGCTAATATATATAAGCTGTCACCATGGCAAAAAATAAGTGGACTGGTAACACAATTTGCAATAATTTATAAGACGCCCGCAGTGTTCACATGGACTTGCAATGTTTATTGTCAACACATATAGACATTAGTTACGACTTTTAACATATGATTTATAGAATGGTTACAAAATGTAGAAAGTCCACTTATTTGTTGCCATGGTAACAAATATTAGCAGAGGTGTTTTCGAACTCATGAAATGTTTATGTTTGCATACGGTAAAAAATTGAAGTGGAATTTGCATTAAGACTTTGCCAAGCAACCAGCCAGTAACGGCGTATGAATCGAATTAGTGAAAGTAAAAAATTGGGGTAGAGGGAAGAATAAGAAAATTATATTTAAAATTTGGATTAGAAAATCGTCATAATTCTGTTACCTTTTTCAGGAACATGCAACAAAAATTTCATAGCCATTCAACCAGTGCTTTTTTAAATAAACAGTTTTTCTCGTGAAGGAAACGGGATTCGCGAAACTTGCCAATTAATTGTATTTAACCTTTGAAAATTCCTGAAAATTTCAATAGTGCCTCGATCTTCAGGAAATAATGCATCCTTTCATTGGAAAGGAAATTCAATGTGGTGAATGGATATATATTTTCTACAGCATGTGTTAAGTTAGCTATCAATATTTTATGCTTTTGATTTTAATTGCCACCAACTTCCGACTATCATTACTTTGTCCATCTACAACCAAACACCTTGACTTTTACGCCAAAATGTAGGATTTATCTGTAACTCAAGCTAGAAAAATAACGCATACACAAAAATCTTGTCAAAAAGTACTGTTTAAAAATCGAGAGATGTCAATTTGACGCCCCCCCCCCATCCCCTTGCGTATACGTGAATTAATGTAAATGCACGCTTAACTCATCTGTTTCAGAATATACATATGATGATTCATTCACCATAACCCCAGGTGTGCTGAAAGTTTACAACAGGGACGGTGGTTTTCTGGTCAGGTAATTTATATTGTGACAACAATTTTATGAAGCTATAGCTAAGATATATAGACCAAAGAGCAGGGGTAATATTGTCGAATACACCCCGCAGGGCTAGGCACAAACGTTTGCTGTACCCCGGACGTTCGAAGGCGTTTGTGCCTAGCCCTAACGGGTGTGTTGGATGATATAACACCTGCTTTGAGGCCTACATTACGATTCGAACATGAAAACTCACCAAATTGTCTCGAATATTCATTTTATTCGCCATTACTAAGGACCGCCGTTGTGACGTCACACATTACTCGTATCCCAGAGGGGTCATTCATCAAGCTATCGCAATCACTGCGACGTCGCAGACACTGCGACCACCGTGCGACGTCGCAGTGACTGCGACTGCGACCTATTCATTAACAAATCGCAGTCTGCGATGTCCCTGCGACCAGTCGCAGTGATTACCACGTGCACGTGCTTGTACACGTGTTTGTTATCCTTTCGAGATCCTCTTGTATCATTTCGTAAAGTTTTATAATGGTTAACCTAGGCATGCGATATCGCAAAATAAGGTCCAGATCATCGTATAATTGCAGAGGATCTGTACGATCTCTAAATACGCGTTCTCGACGCAGAGTGTTGCGGTTGAAATCAACCATCAGTTGCGCCATTTTGAACGAATAAACGCTGCTAATAGACGATTAAACAGGTCATGCAAGATTGACAATATGATATTGAACAAATATTTCACTCTATTTTCGGTGAATACCTGTACATCTTTCACAAGTGATATTCCACGAAGCCCGAAGGGCGAGTGGAATATCACCTTGTGAAAGTGCTACAGGTATTCACCGAAAATAGAGTGAAATATTTGTTTTATTATATCACTGTCTAGCTAAACATCCCTAATATTCATTAAGTCATTAAGTCTTCAGATATTTTTACGAATCTACTCGGTTCGTCTGCCATTTTGACTTAAACTGAACTAAATTATTTACACTGAACGAAAACAAATGCTTTGAAAATTCCCGGGAGCGTGGGATATCGCTAGATATCTCACGGTTGTCTTATCTGATTAGCATTGCCATTGAATATCGCCAGATATCCAACGACATGTGACCCGGTTTTGACCAATCATACTGTCGCTAGCTAGATCGTGATATAATAATGTTGGATACTGATTGGGTACAGCCACGTGGGTTCAAACCACGTGTAACGCACAATCACTGCGACCGGTCGCACGGTGAAGTACTTAAAAATACAAGCCAAAAACTAGCTGTTTTTGATAGCATCACAAACATGTTAAACATAATGCATATGTTGTGCAATTTTAATATATCATGGATCGAATATCGAACTGTACGTCCTAGAATTTCCATATAATTTCATAAAGAAATTCAATTAATTTAAGACATTTTTCTTGAACTTAAATCACTGCGACTGGGTACCACAGCGGTCGCTTAAATTTGGGCCATTTTAGGGGTATTTCATTCTACCGATTGCAGTCGCATGAGAATGATGAATAGGACGTAATCGCTAAAAAGGGCCCTTGCGACATCGCAGGCTTGCGACGTGCTTGCGATAGCTTGATGAATGACCCCTCAGGGGTATTGTTCACGAATATAACCCGCGTGAAATGTTGTTCACAGTTTATAGAAGGCGTGAATACAGTCATGTTCGAACTACATGTACATGTTCGAACTATCGACATCTGATTAAAACTACTTTAATTTTCTAATTTCTGTTTTCAGAGGACTACTGGATAAAATTGAGCTGGAAATGATAACAAAAACATTGGAAAACAAAGAAATTGTAAACCATGGATTTGATGTAGGTTGATTCTATTATCGCTTTCATCCAACCAAACTATATATTATAGTGAAATATACTGAATAAAACGGAAATGATCTCCGTTCACCATTTAGGACAACGACAACTACTGTCGCCGTTATCAGGCTCCAAAGTATAATATGTCAATGAAAGGCTGGTTTAGATCGTGACCTCGTCAACTGTCAATGTGTATTGAATAAAATCACCAAAATCGAATTCTGTGCATCTTTCAAAATTAATATTCAAAAAAGATATTCACCTAAATATAATGAAATATTTGTATAATAATCACTGGTTGTCTGATTTGATAAGCATGACTGGTGAATACTAATATAGTATTTAATTTACATTATTTGTAGTTCAAATGTAGGCCAATGTGAATATTGATGAGTGATAAATGATCCTATGTGATTGAAAACTCATTTAGCTGTTTGTATCTTTTAAAAAATTCTGATGCATATTAAGAGTAATTTTTATGTATCCCGAGGGGCATAACTTTATGTTGTATATTCAAACGACACTAACGTGATTTACATGTTCCATGTTCTAAACAGAATATTCGTGGGTTAAGACATCCTAGTGGCCCCCTCATTGAAATAACATTTCTCTCATTTTACCCACTACTCTTAAGAATATAAATCTACGAATTGCAGCTTGCAGATGGGGATGGGAGGGCTAGTAAATTAGCACTCTGGAGTCATCCTGGTAGTGACGTCACGGGTATGATGGCGAGATCCGAAAAGGTGGCAGGAAGCTGTGCAAAGGTAAACAGTAACTGACCAAATCTAAAAATCCCTAGTATAGATATGTTCATATTGGAAAAAGACAATTTGATTGAATCGAACAACAAGAATGGAAGATTCCCAAACATCTTAATCAAATTATCTAACTAATTCTTACTTATTCTTTTAAAGGGGTTAACTGTGTCTTAAAACGTAACGTAATGATGCAAAAAATGAAAAAGCAGGGGTGGAAGGGGTTGAAAATCAGGACAACATTTCAGAAAAAACATGTGGATGGGTTGTTTGCATCTCCCCTCTTTAAAAATTGAAATTATTTTATCATCTCTATGAGTGCTTTTCATGGAGAAAATGCATTGGCCTAACATAGTGCATGGATCATTCTACTTGGATTGGGTTATTCTTCGAAAGGCTTATCTTAGACCAACAATTGTTCCCTTTTTATAAATCTTTTCTTTTACGTTATATTTCAGTAAATATGAAAATGGATTGTTCCAGGGTGTGTCCGGCTGTCCCTGTCTTAATTTTTTTATTTTGATATTTCTTATTTAATAAGGATTGAAAAACGAAATGATAGTTCACATGAGTTTGTGTTCAAACGGAAAATCCTCAATTTTTTCTGTCTCAGCTTCTAGGCGGAGAGGTGTACCATTACCACACTAAACTTATGATGAAAGAACCGAAAACTGGTGGGAAACATCTATGGCATCAGGATTATGGGTAAGTAGTTCTCTGGTGACAGGAGTATTGGTAGAATAGTCCTTTGGAACCAGAATGACATTAAAAAATAACCGAGTTCAAATGTATTTCTGCAATAATTTCTGCTTGAAATTCCAAATTTAATATGGTGTGCACTGACGTAGTTTCATTTAAGTTACGCATAAAACGCCATGGCGTACTCTCAAAAGTTGATTTTTATATTGAAATGACCCGCACTTCAAAAATGTTTAAGGAACGGCCTTTAATTTACATTTTATTAGTCCATGTTACTCGGATTTCGTATTTCAAAACGCCCCAGAAAACTTCAAATATTATCACATTTTCCATACCCTCCCCCCAAATTGGTTGATTTCTCGATAAATGTTTTGGGATGTATATACTTGTCTTCGACAGTGGGGACTCTACTTTAGTTATTCCTCTTGTACTTTAATAAACAGCTATTGGTACAAGAATGGGAATCTGAGGCCAGACATGATCACGGCATATATAGCAGTGGACAAGTGCGTCAAAGAGAATGGCTGTCTTCAGGTTATTTACAACATTTTCTGTGTAATTATTTTGTAAAAACAGAGGCTCATTTTATTGTTGAAGGGGCATACAGAAAAAAATGAAAACACAAATAGCCAATGTCTGCCATCATGATAAACCATGACATCTCATTTCTTCTCAGCCCTCAGCCTCAGGTGAAATAGAAAGATGCTATGAGTATCAGAATGAATGTCTGCTGTTTTATGATGTTTTATCATCCGAGAGTTTTCACTTTGTGCCATCATAAATGTTGAAGATCGTTCTTTCCGAAGGCGATTTGGGCATTCACACATAGCGTATATCATATCATGACTTCTGTAGGTTGTTGTGGGAACCCATAACTGTGGCAGAATAGACCACAACCTTGTACATGGACAGACTGTTGCAGATGACGAGAGAGTGAAACAACTTTGTGCACATCATGAACACATCTTCGTAGAGATGAACCCTGGCAAGTTTGTTTAGTGTTACATAAACCATGGGCTTTCAAGAAACCATGCATAAACATACAGTACATGTTATCAGTAGCCTGTTTAAAAGAATAAGTTGTTAATTTTATATATGAGTTAATGTTAACAATAGCTAATGAAGATCACTTGATTGCAACTACATCTGTATGTGGTTATAAGATGAAAATGTGCAAAATTGAAAGTCCACATCCTTATCGCCTTCTTCAATACCTCCATCGATTGGTTGATACCCATGAAATCCTGGTGGACTAGGCCTACATGCTATGAGCGTTGATTCAATTTAATATCCCTCGTTTTAGGAGACTGCTTGTTCTTTCATTGTAACCTGCTGCACACAAGTGATAAGAACGACAGTGATTTGAGGCGATGGGCCTTCCTCTGTTCCTACAACCGCGCGGACAATGACCCAGTGTACAAGCATCATCATCCTAATTACACACCTCTGGAGATGGTAAGGCGCGAGGGATATGTAGCTAGGTGGCGCAGTGATCAAATCCATTCACTAGCACTGCGCCACCTTTCGACAGAGCCCATAGTGTAAGCCCGTTAATAGCATAATGTAGTAGTAGCATAGATGGGAAAACACACTTCAAATCGAGGCGACCCCTCAATTTGTTAACAGGGCCAGCCGGGCCAATTACTGTAGTTGTGTGCTAGATATATATATTTGATATAGCGGGAATTAACCGTTGCAATGTATGAACAGTTCATGTATTCTTTCAAAAGTTTTCTGAAAATATGATAATTAAATCTAGCACGCAGTCTACGGGTGACACCCGATTAATACATGCAGGGCTCCCAGAAGGTCTTGTCGTTCATACTCAATGAAAACTACGTCAGAAATAATTTGCGTTCTAAAGTTTAGACAAAACTTTCTGGACACCCTGTATGATATGTCTGCACACAATTTAAGACACCAAACCTTTGTTTTAGGTACCGAACAGTGCGATTAAAGAATGCACAAACTTCACTGATTTTACCGGAAAAGAATTCATGGATCCGAATTCAGACAAAACTACAAATGCGTCGCTATTTAAGAAGAGTGGTTACCATTAGACTACTCTAAAGAGGTTCTGAGAATAACTCCGTATCTTAAATGAACTTCATTAAAATTCCTTCATTTAGTCAAATCTTCGAGCTACTCAGATTCGACCACAAGTTTCTTCGTTCTGAAGGGTACATTTCTTTAAAATGTAAACTGTGTAGGTCTACAATGCTACATACCAATTATTTTTTGTTTTAAGGTACCAAACTCTGCCATTAAGGAATGCAAGAACTTCACGGATTTTACTGGAAAAGAATTCATGGATCCCAATTCAGACAAAACTACCAATGCTGCTTTGAAAAAGAGTGGCTATCATTAACGGCATGGAATAGAATATTTTGAAAACATTTAGTCTCATGGTTAGACTCCGGCCAATATATACATGTACAGTCTAAGCCTGTATCGACAAAAACTATTATATAGGCTGATATATGCAAATGGACATGAGTTAAACAATGTACAAGTGAGAATGTTAATATAATACAAAATATGAATATAAATACAAGCATAATATAAATAGTGCAGTACTTTTACAGGGTGGTCCAAAAAAGTGAACCCTGCAACAAGCTATATCTCAGTTATAACTTGCATTTATGGGCTCATCTTCTAACATGTTATGGATGACGGTCTAACGTTTTGATCGGTACCATAAAATTAAGGTCACTCGCAATTAAGTCTTGCAGAAATTTAATGGCATCAACAGACATGCCTGATAAATGGGTGATGTGCTCAATCCATGCTCCACAGTTCTGGACAGCTGCTGTAACGTAACTTGATGTGAATGTTGAAGTTCTTTACTGATCAAAAGAAATACATGTACACATGTACAGTCAATCCACATCCACATGGTACCTATGCCTCGGGGATCCACCTACACTCCTCATGAAACCCACATGGATTCCATGTGAAATCCGCATGGATTTTAAGCACGTTGATCCATGGAATTGTTAAGTTTTTACACCTTTATTCACGTGGAATCGTTGCGAAATATCTCAATTAAAATATGTGACAATGGGATCTATGTGGATCAAATTCACGTGGAAATAGTGTGGATTCCACATGAATCTACGTTGATTGTCACGCATATCCATGTGGATCGTATTGGGGGTCAACATCTTTTTCCTTGAATAAAGAAAATGCTTTAAAACACCCCTAGATATGCTGGAACGAGCAGTGAACAACTTCAACATTCACATTGCAGCAGTTTCAAGAACCCTGTGGAGCACTGAGCACATCCTCAATAATGAGGCATGTCTGTTGATGCCATGTAACTTCTGCAAGACTTAAGACTAAATGACCTTAATGGCATCGACAAAAACTTTATACCTTTCTCTAAAACATGTGAGAATATCTGCAAGGGTCCACTTCTTTGGACCACCCTGTACATTCATATTGTGCGTCACTAAGTTATCTGATTGTTTCTTCAAAATGCATGAAGTACACGTTGAAGCGTTTTTCTTTTTAGCAACAGCATCTTAATATTATCCAGATTTCTAGATTTCAATGCTATTTTATTAATTTGTTACAGTCTCGAACTTTTTTGTGGAAGGCGGTTGTCAGGTTGGGACATCCTACCTGTTGTCCTTGTATATAGTTACTGAATGTTTTTTTTACTTAGATGAAGAAAAGATCCTAGGTTTTGTATATGGTTATCAGACAATTTTCTGATATTTTCTTCATCCAATATCAGACCTCGTATGAAGCGATTTATATATTGATTAGAATATTGAGTAAATAAAATCTTAGAATTGGCTTTTGATGCCCTCGCTTATATTCATATCGATATATTTACTTAGCGATCAACTAGTGCCGAGTGTTATAAAGAGTACCGTCTGTAAATAAAATACGTCAGAGTTGAAGAATGGTTGTCGATATTTCCCATTGTCATTGCATACAAGTGTTAAATGTTTTCACTTGATATTCTTAGATCAGTCTATAACTTGTACAAACCAGAGCTGGTAATGTAGCAACAGGGTCTTCGTGTTGAAATATAATAAGTGGCAAACATTTACAATTATTCATAGATACTAAAAGATAATTGCCTCTCCACTGGAACTGCTCGGTAAGTACATATGAAATAACATTGCTGAGAAAATGGCGAGTGATTCTTCGTTTTTATTTTGATTGCTCTTAGTATCATAAATTTAAACTTTAAGGCCTACATTCCGCTGTAGAGACAGGTGTTCACTTGAGAAAGGTGGCCACTAAGACAGGTTTCACTGTATGTGTAATTGCATGGTCTAAAATCGTAATTTAATAATCTACTTTTAATTATTTTTACAGGTCCTGAACTCTGATGTGTGTTTTATACTGTAGTGTTATAGATTCGTCGCCATGATAGTGTCAGTATTTGGAGCAACAGGTGTCCAGGGCGGGTCTGTGCTACAAGCACTCTCCCAGGATCCCTCTTTCACTGAGGTCCGCGCCCTCACTCGTAACTCACAACAGGCAGATACACAATTGAGAAAAACGAAAGGAATCAACTTTGATCGTGTTTCGGTAATCCAGATCGATTTCAATGATATTTCATCCGTCAAAAATGCAATTAAAGGTTCCAATTGTTGCTTCGTTGTGACCAATAGTGACCTTAGGGATCCGTCAACGATGAAAAATGAACTGGTCCAAGGGACGCTTATTGCAGACGCGTGTAGGGACACAAGAATAGAACATGTAGTATTCAGCACTCTCATGCCAGTTCAACGGATTATCGGGGTACACGCACGACATTGTGATTCAAAGGCCCAGGTCGAGGACTATATGAAGCAGATAGGGCTGCCATTGAGCTGTATCATGTTGCCGTTCTATTTTGAGGATTTCTTGGATATATTCAAGCCGAGGAAACTTGGGACTGGTGTTTATGGCTTCGGTGAGTTGATTTTCGGTGAAAAAGAGTATGCCTCACGAGTATTGTAAATGTTTATCGTTAGTTTACATTTGATGTACCACACGGCAGCTCCACCATATGTATGCACTAGAATATCATGTAGGCTATATGTTAGCCTTTAAGTCTTTTCCAACTAGCAGTACATATAGAACGGCTCTCTGGATCAATTTCACCAACATCGGCTACATTAACGATAGAGTCACATAGAAGAGAAACTGTATTTGTAAATGGTGGAATTGTGTATTCATTGATGGTTAATCTTTCGTGTAATTATAATTTTACCCGGCAGCTCCACCTTCGACTTCAATGTACACCGTGTTGGCTTCATTTACAGTTCCATTCTTAACCGGCAGCTCCACCATTAACACCTATTATAGTATAGAACAATTCATACGTATTATTTATTATACCAGGTATATAGTTTCATGACTGTTTCATTGACGTTTTCAATGAATCAGAAATATTGAATCGCACTGTCTATTAATTATATTTTAGATATTCCCATGTCAAGAGTGCCCATTGGACTTATGAGTTGCAGAGATATAGGCGAATGTGTCAAAGAAATATTCATGTGCAAGAACAAGTATCTAAACCACACCATCAATCTCTGTGCGAATGTTCTTACTGTAAGGGAGATCGCTGATATATTCAACAAGCATCTGGTACCAAACTCCTTCAAAGACACCCAGGTTTGTTACTTTACGCCATGAGCCTTTGAATTATAAATGAAAATGACAGTACAATGTTTGGTTAGGAGTTTTCAGAATTTCGAAACACAGATATTTGAAGTTTTCCAACAAGCTTCTCCAGACTCTTTGTTAAATACTAAGAAACGTATACTTTGATATGGTTCATTGCCTATCATTAAAGTGTATCAACACATACACTGTACCCCTTGAATAAAACAGCTTCAATTAAAATCGTAAAGAACTGGAAGGTGACTCGTAAATAGAACAAACATACTGTAAATATTAAAGCTTGGAAAGTTGCTGCCCGGAAAGCGAAAATATTTCAACTCATTCACCATTGATGCCTTGCTTACTAGCGGTCAGCAATTTTTATTTTTTAAGAAAGCTGTCTGTTTAGTGATTGATTGATTGTCCTACAGGTAGTGTATTTTGCTATGATGTTATTTATGTTGGGAGTTATCTATATTGTTATGCGTTAGTGGTTGTGCCACTTTAATGTGAATCTTGTAACATTTTTTCAGCTGACACTGGACAACTATCGTCAGTTAGGATGGCCAGGCTGTATTGACTATGGGAATATGTTTGATTTCCTGATCCGTGTGGACACTACACACAATGTCCCCCTGACTGAGAAGTTGCACCCTGGGCTAAAGAAGTTTGAACAATGGGTGATGGACAATCGGACTTATCTGTTGCATATTCTTGAATAATATGATGGTATTGACATCTTTCCTTCTCTTACAAGAGGCTTCTTTGTTGCCACCCTTTCCCTTGCTTGTAATATAAGAATTGTTAAAAACTAGACTTATGTGCTCTCAAAATTATTTTTGAGGAACTGATAAAGTGATAATAGCTAGAATAAATATTAACCGGATTCAAGCACAATACTAATAAGTTACCAATAAGTTATTTAATGATTTGAAGTGCATCGATACAGAATATATTGTGCTTGGGAAATTATATATTGGCACGAGACGAAGTTGATCGAATATCGAGCGCACAATATATCCTGCATTGCACTTCACATCATTCTATAACGTTTTTATCGTGTCATCTTAGGCCAATGCTTTTATACTTAGGGAGATAATCGCGAATCCTTAGGGAATATTCTGTATTCTCTGTATTCTTCTGAGATTGTCCCCACCGTGCCACTACTTTCTGTATTGCTACGGAGATGACCAATGGGGACAATCTCAGTAGCAATTCAGATCGGTACGGCACAAGAACTGACAATCAGAGCAGTTCATTTTACAGATGATACGATAAATGTAAGTATAGGCACGGCCTCGCTGAAAATAGTATGAAAATAGTATGATATAAAATATAGTGACCTCCTCAAAACAACAGCTGTCTCAACAAACACGTGTATTTTGTGACTTGTATTATATTTTTGAACAGAAGTGTATATTATAACATAATACAATGTTGTATACGTGTTGTATATAATAGTAATAGATATACTATGGACTTGTTCATGTAACCTGTACAAAATATTACAATATGTACAATTCTTATATAAAATAAAATCAGTTACAATGTTTATTTACAATAAAACAGTAATTATGTACAATAAATTACATGTAGTTTAAATACTTGTGGACCATGTACAACATTATATGCAGTTTATGCATGTACAACATTACCTGTATATGCAGATTCAATTTAGTTTATACTATGTTGTTAACAATGAAATAATGAAATTTTGATAATTACAAACTTTGGTAAACCTTCTATACACTCACATCTCCTGTTGATAAAATATTTCAGAACATAGGTCATTAGTATTTTTCAAGCTTTGGTTTCCGAAAAGGAAATTTCACATTATAGTCCATGTTCTTTGTTAATTGTTTAGAAACTGAGTCACATTTCACTTGATACGAATCATGTAAATAATGGTCAAGTCATGCTGCTCTTGTGTCCTAATGGCAGCAAAAAAGGGAAGAAAATACAATTTTCAAATGAAGAAGATATATTGCAAAATACAGTAACCGCATATGCAATATCATAATAGCACGAAACAATGTTTTGAAAATAATTACACTTTTGTTTACAAGAAAATTGTCTTGTAATTCCCAAGCAGAAAATCACATCCTTGAGTAGTTTATCAATACACATACCACCAACAAACCAATATCAATATTATTGAGTTAACTTGTTCAAATGATCTAAACAATAAGAAGCCTGGTGTGTATACAGTGCATAAAAAAGTATTGATAAACACATTAACTGTATACTTCATAACTTGTGTACTAGAGTAGTCGTTTAACAGGGCAATAGATGGTGAGCAGACTTAAAGACAAAACAGTGAAACTATATTCCTTATGAAAATAATCTTGCTTTAACATGTTTAATAAAATGGGTAATAAATGATGTGATTAATACTAAAGTACACGTGTCAAAAATAGCCATTTGCGCATGCTGAATAAGGCAACTTGCAGTTTACTACTCAGTCTACAGTCCAGATCATCTACAGTGAGTCATGTTCAATATTTGTACCAGCATTTCACAAATTCTGCAGGAGTATTCTGTGTCATGATTGCCACTACATTTTCATTTGCCAATTCGTGTAAATGATAAAAACTAACCACAATAGTGGAATATGCAACATGTTAAATGCACCAATTGAAGAAATGGTAATTTTACACGTTAATAAATCTAGCATGTGTTACAGCATATGTGTACTCCATATAAGGAAACAGTCATTATCCACACATAGTCCATGAGCTGCTCAGAGATTAAAACCAATGCCCTCTGAGATGAATCAACGACATACTTGAATTTCCAAGCTCTATATGATTTTTAATTTTCGACTCCCTGCCTTTTTTTAAAGTATTCCTTATTGATCCATTCCTTTATTTAAAGATGACCCGCATATTGATATTCTATAGCTAACAGAGTTCTCTTTGTGCTTGGTGGCACAATGTGATGTATGAATAGCATGAATAGTGAATAACATGGACAGTGAATTACATGTGATGGATCATCCTAAAAAACTTTACTTGTTATCTTCTTTGCTGAGGTAATGGGTGAAATGAGTTTATCTGGTTTATCAAACTCTCTTCTCATTGATGCAGATTCAGGTAGCGTAGATCCACGACTTAGTAATTGGTCAGCAAAGAACATTGCCTGAAAGGGAACAAGCCAAAATAATTTGTGTGCACATGTTACACATCTTCCTTATAGGGTAATTCATCTTCCACATATTGTAAGGTAATATACATTCAACATAGGGTTACACACATTCCACATATAATATAGGGTAGTAATTACTAACTGTTATAACAGTTACACATAAGGTTATCAATATTTCATACAGGCTTATACATTTCAATGAGAACACGTTGACTGTGAGTGTGACATAAATGTTGACACTTACCTTGGGAGAGCTGACTGTCTGTATAGCTATTGATCTAGTAAGTACTTTCTTTAGTGTGCCTAGCCTTGTTGTTGGGGAGAGTGCTCGCACTTTCTCTATGTTTGAGGGTATTTTTACTTTAGGCCGGGGGATCAGGCCCAAGTCCCCTAACTGATAATGCGGTAATGTACCATGTGGTCCTCTGGCAATTGGAGAGAGTGGCATTTGCCTAGAACATAGTAATAACACAATTGTAAATATAAATGTGCATAGTCACATGTTTAAATATACATGTTAACACTTGGAAAAACAAATGATAACACTTGAATAAATAAATGATAATACTTGAAAATAGAAATGATAACTCTTGAAAATAGAGGCATTAACATGACAAAATGTCACCACCTGAAAAAGTGTAACAACTGGATTTATATATATGATGAATACAGATGGTGTAACCAAAAGTCGGACACAACAAACATACGGCAAGATGTCTCTTTGGTCTCAAAAGGTTTTTAGGGCACACAGACCATTCCCCTGATCCAACGGGGATGTATGGCTCTTGAAATAAACTCACCCCTTTTTAAGACTTCCGATTCCTGGGTATTCACTTGGACTTTTTGATCTTGCTCGTGGTTCCTCTCCAATGAATTCCCCTGGGGTAGGCCCCACCCCCAAGGCTGCTGCACTATTCAGTAAGATAAGCAGATGCTCTAACATGTTGTCACGCTTCTCTACTTTCTCTTGTTCAGCTTCTTCTAACTCAGCTGCACTTGGTTTCTGGAAAATCATTGATTTCTATCATAGACTATTTTTGTTGGAATGTGTAGAACTTACTGTACAAAAGTTATCTCATTGCACTTAATATCATAACTGTACAAAAGTTATCTCATGGCACATATCATTTGTATATTTCTGATGATCTGATTAATTTAATTTATATTTGGAAACTTTGCATACATTGATTTTTATACTCTCTTTTACTATATTCATATAAAATATTTATAACTTACAGATAAGACTATTCCTAGTGCATTAGCAGAGTCTTTCAGAATACGTTCTAATTTTCTTTTCCGCGCACTCTCATCTTTTAAAGTTCCCTTAGTAGCATTATATTCATCAGCTAAGCGATCATTCTCTGCAGACAAACTTAGGAGTTCATCTCTACAAAACATTTACAAGAAATTAGAATAAAAATACAACATAAAATGTTCATGTACCACATTGTAATTGAATACTGGCTAGCAGACAAGAGTTTACCAGAGTTTTTCACACATTGCAAAAGAATTTGTACAGTAAATGTACAATTATGAGAATGAATTTTTTAGGGTTTGCAAGATTTGACAGTTTGACCTGCATAAGCACCTGCCTTGCTATTCCGTATAATACAGGGTGATCATTAAGTTCTGGGAACTGGTCTGCCATTTCAAGATTTTTCAACCATTTGAGTTGAAATTTTCAGCAAGTGTACATTGTATAATTCTGAATTGACAAGCAATGTTTTATATACATATCACATCTACAATTTATTTTATTGTAATTACAAAAAAAGTAAAAGTGGTTCGCGGGTCAGCAAATTTTGACTGATGTTAATTTGAAAATTTCCTGCCAAAACATATTCATCTTGCCTAGATGGTTGCTTCAAACTACTTGTACTGGAGGCAGAACAGTACTCTTAAAGTTATTTATTCAGAAGTATTCTTCATTGCTGAGAGGATCATTTCATTTATGATTGTTTCCATTAGCCTGGACGCACATACGTTGTTGACAAACTTAGTCCATAAAGATGTGTTCCAGTCCTCCCTTTGGTATCCCTTGAAGATTTGCTTAAGCCGTTGAAATCAGTCCCTTATCGGAATCAAACTTATGACCTCTCATATAATGCTTTAGCATCCAAAATGTAGTGAAGCCTAATAGTGCTTCATCTGGTGAATATTGTCTGGTGAATACGGGGCAGTAATAACTTGTGTGAACCCTAATTCTTCGAGAGTAGTATGGGCAGCTTGAGTAATGGGAAGGAGCATAGTCATAATGGAAGATAACTCCCCGCTATTTTTGGTCATGATTGTGACTTTGAGATGCTGATGAATGGTACGAAAATAGAGCAACGTACACTCTTATACAACAATAAAGATGTTACTTTAGAAACTAAAGTTAGAAGTATTTGAAAAATATAAAAAATCACAGAAATATGTCCACCAAATAGGTATTTATTAACCATAGTTTTGGATCAAGCAAAATTTGATTTCATTTTTATTTTACTTGACCCGCGACGCCATTCGTCATGTTGCTATAGTAACAATTATTATCCATTGTGACATCAGATGACTATGAGACTGTTATATCTTACCCAAAATTACATTCCCCATTTACCTTGAAAATTTCAAGTAAATTAGTTGAAAAATAATGAAATGACAGATAAATTCCCAGAACTTAGTGATCACCCTGTACTATTCCCAGGTTTTCAATCAGCTGGCAACTTGAAATTATGAAATTGATGAGGGTAATTAAAAATGTATATTACTTGAAATACAATACCCTTATCTGACTGGCTGGAATTTGATATTTCATAGCCAAATGTGTGAATCCTTTTTTCAAATCCTGCCAGGGAAATAGCGAGAAACTGTGGAATACTGATATTTTTTGCCATTTTGGTCCAAATTTGGAAGAAGTAAAATATCCATTACTGAATTTTTCATCCAATGATCATCTGAAAATACAATGGTCCTTGATAATCCCTCCTTCGAATTATATCACTGTTTCTTACCTTGTGGCTTCAACTTGTTGCTTTAATAAATCTGCCTCGGCTTCTATCTCTTGGTACTCAGACTCCCTCAGTTCATATTCATTAATCATTGCCTCTTGGCCCTTAGCTTTTTCTGTTAACATGCGGATAACCTAAAAGCACAAATAGCAAAATCCTTACAGCCATTCCTCCAAATCAATTGGTGCATTTAAATCCCAGGCTCTAAAATCGGTTGAAACCAGAGAATTTTTGCCATCTTTTGAGATTTTACTACATACCTATACAACTTTAGATGCTCATCTTAGTAAAATTAGACGACAGAGATCATTTCTACACATTTTAAAACAATTTTTGTGTAAATTGATTGAAAATTGTTCAAATAAGAGCAATTTTATTGAAATATTTTGTGACGGATTTTCTCGTCACTCTGGGTTTCAAGATCATTTCTGAGATGATGAGAAATCTCGTCACTCCAGGTAGTCAAGAGGTTAATACAATTATGTAATATAATCATATGTAACTAAAATTAAATGTATTCTTACCTTTTGGTTACTTAAATTTTTCTTGGCAAGTTCTTTTTCATTTGTTTCTAACATTTCTATCTGTTGTCTATGCTTTTTCTCTTTTTGTTTTAACTCATCATTTTCTTGTATGAGTTCCATAGTTTTGTCTGACATTTTTGCCAACTGTGCATTGATAGAGACATTTTCTCTAATTGTTCGTTTGGTAGTTTCTGCCATTTGTTTATTTGACACTTTACGGAATTCAGCAGCAACTTGGTTGACCCTCATTACCATTTCCTTTTTTAACCTGAAATAATACACAAAAAAGATGAGGTGATGAGGATTTTTACTTTTCTTGTGTTTCTTCAAAATGAAAAAATAAATAAATTAAACACAAACAGTAGACTTTTCAGACTTTTTAGACTTTTATCACTTTTAATTTCTTTGAACTACATGTAAGTACATATGTGTTTATACATAAAGAACAAAACATATTGCAAAATCCCAACTCGTCTCTATCCCTTCTATAGTGACTTTGTGAATCCAATATAGAAAAAATTACATACATGTACCTGTAGATATAGACAAGTGTTGAATAGTCTATGTGTATATCCATTCTGTAATTTTACAAGAGACTCACCTGTCTTTGTCCACGACTTGTTTTCTCTCTAAGTTATATATGACATCTTTGTGTTCATTCTGCTGCTTTTGAAGCTCATCCTCCATCATTGCAAATTTGGCCATCAGGTCTTCCTTCTGGACTTTGAACTCTTCCAGTGACGCCAGCTTGCCACCTGTTACCCAATATTAAATTGTTTTTAAGCATTGCGGTATATTTAGAACATTTTTCTGAGCTACATAATATAACATTATCTCAATTATTTCAAACAAACAAACAAACAATAATGGATTTCTGTCTTGTACTATGCCAGTTTAGGAGACACCAATACATACATCCTTGTCAATTCAAGAAATATATTTGCTCTCCAATACTTAAGGTACACATTTCTAGAATCTCTTAATTGAATATAAAATGCCATATGCAAAAAATCCAAAGAATGAATGTGAAAATGAACATACAGATGTACAGTAAGTACATTGTACGTATTATACATTTTTATGTTATCCTTAAAGCCTCAGCTCAATGGGTACTTGAAGCCCCAACTAAAAACAGATCACTGTTACATCTTACCAAGAATCATGTTCTCAGAAGTGAGTTGATCTTTGGTCTCCTGGAACTCTGTCCGTAAATGCTGTAGTTGTGTTTCATACTGCTCCTTCTCCGTGTCCTTTGCTTGCTGTAGCCCTAACAGCCGGTCATTTAAGTCAGCAATTTCATCGCCTGGAAGTAAAAATAACATTCAGATTAAACTATGTTCTGTGATTTTGAGTAAAAAAGGGGATATATATTATATATTCAGAAGAACCTTAATATTAATACTGGCAGATTTACAAGGGAGTATGATCAGAAAAGATAATCAGAATTTAAGCATCACAATGAATATGCATGTCAGTGTTACTTTAGCCTATACTATCATTTGTTAATGTACAATGTTAATAAAAGTCTATTTTATATCAGTTGAATTTAGTATTTATCATGGTATTGTTTCATGTACACATATAAGCCAAATTTAATATTCCAACTTTCAGAACAATAGACATTTTGTATGTCATCCTGTGAAACCTGTAAAGTGGAACACCTCTAGAAGAAGAAGACCCCCGTTAGTGGAACACTTATTCAGAGTCTACTTTAATACCTTTCCAAAATATTTGTTATTTTGATATGTTCTGCAGTACATGTAAAATATATTTAAAAATAGTTACCTCTTTGTTCAAGATTTTTCTTTAAGAATACAACAATATCCTTCTTGTCCCTTGACATCTGCTGGAACTGATCCTTAAATTCTCCATTGGCAACTTCCAGTTCATCACATTTCTGTTGATACCTGTGAAATTATATTAAATTGTGTAATAGTTAGTGCTATTTAATAGGCCAATACATGTAGGTGGTATGATTTAAATACCTGGTCAAACTTTAAGTTCTACAGAAACTTGTTCCCACCTCATAATTCAATTTCTGGTTACTATAATTACTGGGTGAGCCAAAAAGGTAACCTAAACAAATCGTAATAACTCAATCATCCAGAATGCATTTTAAGCCATATTTGTCACATACTGAATCTTGTTAACATAATTATAAACATGACATATCAGTTTTTTGAATGTACACATGTACATACCTGGCAAGTCTGTTTTCAAGATCTCTAATCTGAATGAGGAAGTATTCTTTGCTCAGCTCGTTGATCGCATCAAAATTTCCCTTTCCAGTAGATGCTGATTTCTTTCCACTTTTCTTCCCACTCTTCTTGCCCTTCTTTTTCTTCTTTGGAGGCATTTTCGTCTGTTTATTTTATCTCTTATCAGCTACTACAAAATTCCAAACACAAATATACATGTATATCACAAATAAATACTTGCTTTGAACATGGACTTTCTGGAACCACACCCCCTCCCTACCAAAGATGTCGAAAAATGTGAACCTCCTAGAATTTTTGAAGAGTGACAGGTTTTTAGGAAAAGCTGGCAACAGGCCTGACATGTAAATTTGTACTGTACTATAGCATAGTCAACTGTCATATAGATCTATCCTAGCCTATAATCCTAGATCTTCTGAATATGACAATGCATTGAAAATCGAAACTTTTGACAGGCAAATGGTTTGAGAAGTGGAATATGAAGATAGCACCAGAAAACCTGTGTTATGTTCTCCCCCCCCCCCTTCCTCTGGTAAAGTGAACCCAAACTTTAATTGTTCACTTTAGGGGCAAGCAACGCTCTGTGGCATACTGTACTACGAGAATAAATTGGGCTGCCCAGTACATGTAGATGACTAACTGAATTTTGACACATTGAACAGAAGAAGAAGGCTGCTTTTGGTGCTCACGCAGGAATATTCAACTTCACAAGTACATGTAGCAATCTGGTTGTGGCAAGGAGGCGTTTACCACGCTATACAAAACGCTGGTGGTGCCTCACTTTGTGACTACAGTACATTGTACCTGTAGCATAAGTAGCGCCCTCGCAACAGTCGAACCACCAAATATATATATCGCCTGTGAGCACAGAATCCTTGGAGGTTATTAGAAGAGTCTTGCTAGTTGGCATACATCTCACGGCTAATCACAAGAAGCAGTCAGAAAAGCAACTCATAACATCTCAGACACCATCACCCAAGAATATTAAATGTGGATAGATTCAGAAAAACTTTAACAAGAGAGAAGACTTATATGCTTCAACATATAGAAAATACGACAAACACAACTACTGTTAAATTATATATCTGCTTTATATGGGCTTATTAGCCTTTTGCAGATTATTGACATAGGCTACCAGCCAGACTTTGCAGATGCCATTGTAGGCCTAACCTGTAACTGTTGATATTCATACAAAATCTGAGCAAGCCCAGCACATCATCAACTTTCTCCCTTGGAAAAATATATACATTGAAGAAAATTTACCTTAACACACTTCATATATTATTGTACCATACTCGATTGATTTAAAAGAAAAATGTAGACAACTTATTGAGAAATAGAAGGTTATTCTTACCTATATTTTGTACCTTTGCCACACTTGTTGTTATGGCCTGATGACGTCATATCAATAGCAACTGGTATGGCGAGGATTTTCTGCGCTTTTTCGTATTTTAATAAAATTAACTACAGTTGGATTTATGATCTCTATGAATGATAAAATAGAGAAATAATTCACGAATCTTAAAATAGATCGTATTGCTTATTGAATTATTCACTTATTAAAGCTCAAAGGCAGTGCAATGAAATATTTTTCTAGATCACGTGAGAGTCATGTGACCTAAGATGGCGGACAAAAAGAAATGGAAAAAGATTTTGTATGAAAATCAGGGTGTACCGGACAATTACGTTGATGAGACGTTCTTAGATGAAATGAGAAAAAATGGTAATGTGTTGCTTTATTCTGTCTTATAATAAAATGAAGACCACTGAAACAGCAATCGAGTTTATCTGATTATCAACATATTATCGCCCATTTGTAAAATTTAATAAAAACAAAGTCAGATTCATAATCTTATAAAGTAGGCTACTTTGAATTAGAAAAATAAAGAAATGACATGATATTACACACATATCTACTTTCCCATTGTATTCCTACCAGATATTCTAAAAGAAGACAATGTAATGATACTTTCCACAGGAACCTGTATCAACACCTGACAGTTACAGTGACATCTATTGGTGACAGAACCCTGGGAATAAATCTCTTATACAACATGTAAGGATAAAGTGATATTTCCGGGGTTTGGTCACCAATAAATGTCACTGTCAGGTGTGATACAGGTTCCTGTGATACTTTCCTGAAAAAAAGCAAGGAATTGACACATGACTTCATACTTCAGACTTTATTTTGTACCAGAAAATAACATGTGCAGGTTTAGCAGTTTTACCAAAATGTATTTTCCAGCTGTGCCGTGGTACTTAACAGGAAATGACAAAGCAGCAAGTGACAAAACATGTGGCATTTTTAGACATTTTCTGAACAAAGATAATTAACAGAGTTCTGTTTTGACCTCCAGTCAATTCAAATAGTTATTTACATGACCAGGATCACAATTTACATGGTCAGAATGACCCTAAACATGTTAAAAAATTAATCAAGATTTCTTTATTCCAGTTTACACTAGAGAATATGAGTACTGGAATGTTGTCAAGGAATCGGGGACTTTAACCCAACAGGCAAGCAGGTATTGTATTCCGGTAAACTGATTATAAGAGGATGACACAAAATGAAAATGGCTCTATAATAATGTCTCTGAAAATACTTCTTTTAACATGTAATTTACATGTGAGAATATATAAATATCACACATGAGTATGCAGAATGTGTACATGTAGTTTTTACAGTAGTAGTAATTGTTATCAGTTGAATGATTCACATTCCAAATTCCAGAAGATGCAGACTGGAATGGAATTTTTTTAAACAGGGTGCCAAGCCCATGAATGAAATAAAAATATATGAAAATAAAATATAAATGTACATGTATGTTTATGTAATTTTATCAAGTCTTTAATTTGAATCTTGCAATATTTCAGTGTGTGCATCTTTGTCGTCATCTTCATATACATGGACAATAACAGCATTAAGCCAGAGATCTTATTCATTGTGTCTTCCATCCTGACTCTGATTGGCTACATTGTCTACCATGTAATAAGCCATAACAATGGTATTGCACAAGGGAACAGTCGCACATGTAAGTTTTAAGCCGAGTGTTCTCCCCAGGATTTTTCCTCAAGGGTGTCAACATTCACCAAAGCTGTTAAAAATATGCTAATTTTTCTCAGGTCAAGAAATACTTTGTTTTTGTTTAAACTGATATGACAAAGGACCAGAACCCGTCTTAATCTCTTCCTCATTAATCATAAAACATTGAACGAGTAAGAAATTTTTTAAATTTTAATGCATTCTTATTCATATTGTCTAAAATTGCCGCTAATGCTTTTTATAAAACATTGGCAATCAATTGCATGTCAATTATTGTTAACTAAAGGAATAAATATAAAAAAAAGTAAGAAATCACTGTATAAATAACAAAACTGTTTTTTTTGTTTGCGGAAAAAATGATTCAAAGCTACATGTAGCTGTTTGGCACAGCCCCAAATACTATATTGTGTATGCCAAATTGGGAAAGTACTGTACAGTTGTGCCCTTATATTTGTTAAGCACCCCCCCCCTCCATCCTCCTCTACGACTTCTCTTTTCATCCATTTAAAGACTGCATTACCCCTTTTTGAAATGTAGCTCTATAATGTAGTAATATATGCTTTAATTTGTGTTTTCAGGGTGGGATGATTTCAAAACCTGTGTTATCTTCATTGGATTTGGCTTTGGTCTATCCCCTGTGTTGATGACCCTTACTGACACTATTAGTACAGATACAATCTACGCCATGACTGCATTCATGCTGATTGCTAATGTCATCTTTCATGACTATAGTGCAACCGCACCAGTGTGAGTATATGACAGATATTGTATACAAGAAATGTTATATGTCATTGACCTCACAAGGTTTCTTTCCTCGGTAAGGTGCTAGATCCTAATTTGATCTGTTTTAAACTTTTAAATTATTAGATAAAATAATTTTCTGAATTTCGACTTAGAGTGAATACCTGGTGGCTCCAATGGTGGGAAATCATAGTATATATGTATGTCGTAATGGAACTATTTTGACAGAAATATGTGTTTGATTGTACATAATTAGCCAAATAAAAATGAAGCACACCCTTTTGCAAACATAAATTAAGCATGCACTTAAAGGGGCCATATGTCTCTTTCTGGTCTAAAACTGAATAAAACTTTATAAATTATAAATGGTGCATGCACCCATTATAATTTTTCCATCTCACACTATTGACTAAGTGAGCAATTTTTTCAAGCCTTGGTATTTTCGGATACTAAGAGATTATGTATCAAAGTCTGTTGATTTTGCGAATTGCAGGCTAACCTTCACTTAAAGAGTATATGTTTGATTTTGACAGTGTTTCTGGTGCACTCTCTCTGAATGCAGCCATATTTGCTTCAGTGTGTCTAGCCTCAAGACTACATACCACATGGCATGCATTTGCCACTGTCTCATTCGCAGTAGAAATATTCGCCTTGTGGCCAGAATTCAGAAGAAAATTAAAGGTACAGTGAAAATGGTTTATAAACTCCTCTCAAAATAAAAAACCTTAAAATATTTCAGTTACTATTTTTGGATTAACCTTGAAGGATGGTCCAGCTATTTAGCTTGGAAAGTGCTAAAGTAAAAATAGCCTGCCACACATTCTTGACATTAGATTACAAAAAAAAAGATTCAGGGGAGGGTTTTAAATGATTTGTCGCTTTTTAGAAAAATGTACAATACAGCCAGGTTACCATGACAATTACATTGGGAGTAGCAACAAGTGTTTCCATAGCAACAGTGTCACTGACGGGAGCTGTCATATTCAGTCTGCTGCACATATTTGTCACATTTATATGTCCTGCCTGGCTTATTAGTCTTCAACCATATAAGAAGTAAGTGAAACAAGTTTACCAGTATGCTCAGTCGTAAGTCAGTTTCTTTTTTATCAATTTTGCAACATTTTTGTGTTCTTATCATTACTCAGGCCTATATATCAGGCCAATCTTTTTAATTGTCCAACAGTCCTGTTCAATCTAAAGTGTAACATTTGAGAATATGTTTTATCATTCATTTACTATTTGTCATGACTTTAAAAGTTATTTTAGAGATTTTTGAAAAAAAAGTTGTCAGCTTCAAATATTCAAAGGACCTTATACACCCTCCATTGGGATCTCCCCATGGGAAAAAAATAATTCATCTGATTTTTCAAAATGAGTATTCTACTTCAATTATTACATTTATATGCATGTCAAAATCCATTTACATCCTACGCATCCCTGCATCTTATCCAAATATGTTACTACATAATGAAATATAATAGTATAATCTTTCGTTTTACAAACTTGTATGATATTTGATAAGTGTAAAAGTTGTTTTTCGAGCATTTTTCTATAGCCATTTTGTAAGGAAAAAATTATGAAAAAATGTACAATCTTTTAATTTTAAGTATAACCTGAATCGATTGCAAACTTCATCCTGCACATTTGATGAGATAAACCATTTGTGTCGTATTGTGAAATTATTAAGTTTGCAATCGATTCAGGTCATAGTGTACTTTTGGTATTTCTGTGATAATCAATGGAAATCAATGGCCTCTATTGGGATCTGCTGATATCCTCATGTTAAGTCAATGGTGCACAGCCCCATGTAAGTCAATACAACCTTACTGAATGAAATGATCCCTATCTCAGCTTATGTGTGTCCGAACACTTTAATATTTTCCAAAGTATTATATGACATTTTATTCTTCATGTTGCACCTACGAATGATTCATTTTGACCATAGGAATATTTGCCAATAATTGCACCTTGTCCTTTCCTGCCATTTTTTTAAAAAAAGTTGAAATATATAATCATCAAATATTCCTCTATACATTACAAAAAAGATGGTCTTTTTAACAGCAATGCAAAGATTGAACAAAGGACACACTATTTCAATAATAAAATGCTATATTTAATTTGCCGATTCAATGTTTTGGCATATAAAAAATATTTTGCAACCTTAGTGATGTCATTATGACTCACTCAGATGGCAAAAACTTCTTGAAAAAAATTGAAAACTTTTCTATGTCAATCTTTTCTATATATCGTAACCTTCAAAAATAAACAAATGTTGATTGTCTAACCAGGTTAAATATTATGTTTTAGACATTATTGTACCATTGGTTTCTATGAGAACTAACATTTCGAAATGCATTTTTCTCTGAACCATTTTCATGCATTGATGAGTTCATTTCTCGCTTATTTATAAACCGATTTTCTTAATTTTTTGGGCAAAAAACATGTGAGGATGAATGCTATGCATTTCAGTAATATTTATGGGCCATGGGATGAAGCGGTTATAGAGAAGTGAACTACATTCCACCTACTAGAAGTGTAATCACTACAAAAGATTTCAATGGAATCAAACTTCCAGTAAATGATAGAGCTGCCGAGCCTATGTATGGTGGAACTGTTGTTTGGAGGTGATGCTAACATAAAGTGAAGCTGCCTATGTATGGTGGTATTGCATGCACAGTGTATGTATTGCAGTGCTGTCTTTGACAGATGTGCTCCTTTATATATGTATGCTGGAGATGCTTTCCTATGGAGTAGCAACCAAGTACCCCGGGCCAAGTACACAGCGTGGTTGTGTTTGTATCCTAGGCTAAAAGGGCGATACAAATCATTTTTGAATAAAGATGGCATGTTAATCGATCTGTGAGAGAAAGATAATACTGGATTATGTTGCTGCTGCCATCTTTTTATAGGCCCAGAACCTATGCTTTGTATTTAAGGCTACGTACCTGTATTGCAGACCAGAGGCCTCATTATCATCTGGTCGCAACGCAAAATCGCATGCGAATCGCATCGCAAGACATCGCAACGCAACTATTTCCCAAAAATGTTATTATCATTCCATCGCATCGCAAGTCTGACGCAAAGTTATCGATTTTCTGATCGCAACTAAACAAAAAGTTGCGACGACGTTTACCCTGTCGCAAATCAAATCGCAAATCTAGTTCATCTTTGAGCGTTATTTTATCTATGTTAATGGATATTTTGTGGTGTTTTATATCGGTCATTTCACTACCTGTTAAGTATTAATCAATAGTATCGAAGAAATTGTTCAATTTTATTTATTTAATATGATTAAAATATACATTTAATTGAGCCTGTAAATCCTTAAAAAATTACATTTGTTTCTAAATATTGCGGACGCATCACATACTGTATACGTCTTAGATTGGTGCCTGCAATATTTCGTGCTCTTTGGAGCATAGGATTTTCGCCAATTAAATATTTATCTAGCTAATAAAGCTTGTTTGGTGAATTAATCTTGCCACTACTACACTAATGTTCTGAGTATTCCTAGTGTATATGTACCTCACCTACATCGTCTGCAAAAGTACAAGAACACCAAGATTTCACATTTTCATCCCGACCCTGATTCAAACATGATTTGCTTTGATCACAATGCAAAAGACGTGTTTCATATTTTGTTCCAAAGGAAAATAAATGCAATACACTGGAGACATATTTAAACATATATCGATATGGAACCCACAACTTGCAATTTTCTTGCATGTGTATAAAATGTAAAATATACACCACCAAATAGAAAACTCATTAGCTGTTATCGTTTCATTGTCTGTTGAAAAATTATGTTGACGGATTTTAGATAGAAGCATTGTAGAACACATACAACAACGACCAAAAGTTCATTTTATTTCAGTTAGTTTCAGTAAAATGACAACTTCCCGTTTTAACAGTTATTTATTTTCAGTGATGTGTGACTTACATAACGTTTTTTCTAGTCCTCATTTCCACACCAAGTGAACTTATTTTTTCAGCTACCCTTGCCAAGCAACTATCCTGTGACTGTATTGTTATTTGACAGCTAAGTGGTGCCAAAAGAATATTTGCATCCTTCTCAATGAGAGATACTAATAATTCTTGTTCATCATTTGTCCAATTCCTTGCCCTCGACATGTTTCTTCGACTACCGTCTGTTCAATGTAAATCGATTTGCATTTTGGCGCACATATGTCTTGCACAAGACTTAGTGTAATGCATGCGCAACCAATCAAATCATATCAATTATTGGATTTCTATCAATTTCAATCAATCAATGTCAAAAACTAGCGCCAGTGTCCTTTTAAATTTCGCGCCAAAATACACTCTAAACTTGCGATCGCAACTTACGTTTTAATTGTTTTGCGATTGCTTTGCGTCTGCGATTGCGCTCAATTGATAATATCACGCATCGCATGCGTTACGAATTGCGATCGCAATCGCATCGCAGACGCAACGCAACTATTTGCGTTCAGATGATAATGAGGCCTCTGGTGCTGAATAGCTAGCATACTACTGTATGACTATGAGATATCATTAGAAATATCAAAGGGACCAAAAAGATGCATATGTACTGTATACAAGTATGTCTATGAGATAGATAAAGCAAGAAAGGACATGCTTAATTAGAATTCTTCGAATCATGAGATTTATGTCAATTATAATATATTTTTATTTGCATTTGTTTCAGAAGCCATGGGCATGATGACAATTATTCAAGTCCATGGTCAGGACAAGTCCATGTATATATAAAATAATAATAATTCCAATACATATCCTGAAAAAATCAGTTTGAACATTAAATATTTTTTGATCATTATCCTTTTGATGCTTGGTCTTGATAGATTGAAAATGTGTGTTCATTCCAAAAAAATATGTAGATGTCGGTATCTTTTGCCCAATCAGATTTCATGCTTTTTTGAACTTACATGTACATTGGGAATAGAATATACCCGAGTGGAGTCATTCGGCTTGGAGATTCCGGAACTGGATAAAGTATATTCTACCGCTTAGGGAACAGTAACGTCGATTCGTTGTTCGCAATATATGTCATATTACCCCAAGCGGTAAAATATATCATTGGATCGCGGCGCCACACACGATATAGGAACTCTCTATCAGATTGTGCTGTTTTCATGTCAGATGTCATACTACATGTCGATTTACGGTCGAAATGGCAAAGCAATTAGTTTTTAAATCTAAAGAATATCGAAATTGACATCTGCGGTCATTTTGAAAGATACATGCAACGACCAGAAATAATAAAGTTATGAACACAAAAGCATCCTCATGCTGGACATTCATTGATGTACATGCCATAACATCATATATTCAAAACAATGAATATGGGGGTGTTACAGCGAATATGGGGGTGTTACAGCTTATCCCGTTCTTAAAAATGTAACTTACTAATCAATACAGTCTGTTTTGCTTAAATGTTCATAATGTTTCTTTCAAATATTGACATATATAAAAGTCCTGTTTTATTTGTTGTTTTGAGTTCAGTTATGTACATTCAGCCTGCAGTGGCATCTCACAGATGAAAGATTTTTTCGTAGTACAAAGGAATGGATACCAATGACCATAGAAATTGCCAAACGCACACCGATAAATTGAAGGTTCAGCTGCCGGTTGACCTATAAGAATAAAATTAAAATTAAAGATGGGTGCTACGTGTATGTGCACATGTATCTATCACGTTGGCTTTAAATGTAGTTATCATCAATACCCGATATGGCGTGTCTATTATATTAACAATTGTACAAGTATATTTGTGGTATTTTATGCTTTGTGGTTGTTCGTTCTATGAACATTGGTTTCTTACGAAGTTTACGAAGCTTTTTGCATTTGATTCGTTATTGCAGTATTGTGTCGACCGTTTAGTTGTCCTTGTGTCAGCTTTGACTTTTCTATCTGGTATTTTAATTACCAACGCCATGTACACGACGTTTAGAAACAATAGTGGCCATGTAACTTGATGAGTTTACCCCACATATTGTGTCAGACACATTTCTTAATGTCTGAAGAAATCGTAGTTACATCATGTATGATGCTAATGGTTGTAATCGAATACTGATTGTATACAAGAGTGTGAAAAACAAATAAAGATTCCATTCTTGGCAACCTAAACAGTTTAATGACTGGAATTATGTGATAATATTTGTACAACCTAAACAGTTTAATGACTGGAATTATGTGATTATATTTGTATCTCAATCTGCAATTAAATCTGCATCTGTATGATGACTAAGCCAATGATTTCACTTAACCGTCATCCTAGACTTACCTTCTGACTAGGAATGACGGTCAAGTATGGCAGATAATGGCACAATAGGGAGTTTAAGCTTGCAATGTTTTTCACAACCTAAACGCGAACGGAAAATATTTAAGCGATGTATGTGTATGGACGATTGGCCATACGTATAGGTTGGCGTTTCGATTTTATATGCTAGCTTAAACTCCCTATTATTTCTATCAGCCTCTGCCTATGGATATTCGGGTCTGAAGTGGTCAGAATAGGACCTAAGTATTCAAGAAAACTAAAGCCTTGCATACATTTTAATTAAACTCCATCAGGCATACTTACCTTGTCTCCAGAATGTAAAGCCCAATGTTTCTCCATTATACCACTGCCACTGGCTCTTGGTGGAATCGTAATGCAAGCCAATCCAGAACTGTTCCCGTAGTCTCGCTATCAAGTATGAGTTCTCATTCATTGAGTCGATCTTAACAAGCGTGGCTGTGTTATTACTAGAGTGGATGCATTGCCCCGCTGCCACGTGCCATGAAGTCTTGGTTGTGTTGAAGAGATAGCAGGACTTGCTTGTGCCGTCATGGCTATGGTATTCCCAGCCAGTGGGACAGCTTGTTCGACACGGCGGTCGGTCTGAAATTAAATAATAAATTAACCTCAATATCGCCGAAAAATCTCAGGAACGGGAACAGAGAATAACAATCCTTTTTGATGGGTACATCATGAATGTGTATGTCCATTGTAGGGGATTCTCTTAGGTGATTTCGAATTCTTCACTATTCTCATATCTCTGTTTCCGTACGCGTGTATGTGAATAGGATGAGAAGAACGCGCAAGTTGATTAAATAATATGGTGCCGATTTTATGAAAGAGGTGATATGCACGTCAGCAAATAGTCTGCAAAGCGAATTTCAATTAGTTTTGTCTCCAGCAGCCACTCGCCAACTACCCTTTGCATTTGTTCGACTAACTAGACTCTGGTAGTCGACAATTGCTTGAACCCCCAAAATATCTTCAAGGGAACTATTTTCGTTTATATTACACGTTGTTAATACCCTACGGTCTGAGCTGACGGGACTCGCAAGCAGGGTTAGAACCTCACCATTTTGGCATTCTGACACCTGCAGCCCTCCTGCCTGTTCCAAGGCTCTAATGCGTTCCTCTAATTCGTTATTGATAGTTGCTTGAACTCTTAACTCGGCTTTCAATGTTTCTAAATTCTCCAGACATGCTGTAGTATGCGCCTTACATGTATCCGTAATATTTGTCGTTCTCTGGGCGTGTACTACCCCTTGCATTAGGATTAAACCTACGAGAAGGAGTTGTGTCGGCGAGACTTCCATATTGTATGTGCATTTGAAGGAAGCGACGCAAACAGTCTTAAATACAATAACACAGGCATATGTTTATATTTATCTCTTGTCGACCAGATCACTACTTTCGTGCTCATCCTGACTGCGATATCTGTCACTTTCCGTAATAAAATGGCGATTAGAAGATGGTGTCACCTATACACAGTTTTATATTGCTTCGATTATGAGTAATGTGATTTTCAAGTATTGTTCCATTTCGATAACCACGTTACTAAGTTCGCCAAAAATATAAATACTACGTGATTAAAAATATGATTTATAGACAAGGTTAATGATATTATTTATTTTTGAATTTTATTTTGAGCTCATTATTCCAACGAACATGCCCTATGTGTATTCTCGGATACTTTTCACATCTTTATGTTTTCAAACTCGAAAGGAACTGACAGAAGGCTTTAATCTGTTAATTCCACACGATGCCCAATTTGGGATACCTGTCACGAGGCAGTTTTTGCCAAAAGGGAATCCGTTTTTATCGTAAAAATTGTTTAAATGAGGAGTACCATGATTAGATGATATTTTGGTTGGATATGCTACTCCGTAGAGTCGCTCGTTTTGTAAGCTTTTCATTTACCTAATAGGATAGTTTCTAAATAGCAGAAAAATCAATGAAATCTCGTGCTGCCATCTTTTATTCAGCTTTTAACTCTGGCTAGAGCTCCATTCACTTACATGCTAAAATCTTGGAAAAGTGGCTTAATTTCATGATTTATCAAAGTGTGTTTGTTGAATCTGTATAAAACTTGAATGATATACCACATGATGACCCTGTTTATGAACATGTTGTGATTAAACATGCTAATGTTGATTGACATACAAATAATCCACGGTTTTAAAGAATTTTAGCATTGCATCTATGGACATTTGGCCCAACTTTTTTTAAATTGTCATAGAAAATTATTCAAATTACATAACTGTGTAAATCAAAGCTATTTTAGGAGAAAACATTCCACTGAATTCAAATATACCATTTAAAAGAAGGTAATGTAAGTCATTAGAGGTCTAATATGCAAGTCTCTTAAAATCTCACGAAAAACGAGATTTAGCGAGATTTCAAAAGCTATATGGAAACTATACTATTCAGGATGAAAGAAAAGCTATATTTATAATATCGTCTCATTAAGCTGGATACACAACTTTGTGAATTAAATTCTACCAATATTAGCATAACATATTTTTGGTTTCGAGAAATGCCTTGTCGATGTTCGAATAGAACGTAATAAAATACTACAAACAATATTTTTAAGGGTTCAACGTACGCCTACTCGTACGTACATGTACGGACTCTATATCACCACCATCTTGTTTCGCACACGAGATCAATGTATCTACCCGATGCCAGTTCTATCTTAATGATATCATGTTACATTGTTACAGACATGAAGTATGACTGCATCCCCGATGATGTTTGTACCAAGCAGAGTCAGTATTTTCACATGTGAGGTCATAATATCATTCGATGAGAGTCTATGGCTGTAACAATCATAGACTTATTATTCCATCTATTAGACGTAATTATTTCGGCTTGGAGCTTTCCTAAATGTGAGAATCATGAACAAGGATGTCAATTTAGGGAATACTAGGATGTATACTGTAGTATATCATATCATATTACAGAAGTTCATTGAATTTCTTTTCTTCATCCAAGGACTTTCAACTTTTTATAAAAGTTCCATGAGTGCCACTTCCTCTGGCGATTTACGAGTATACCTTTATTTGAAGGAACAATATTGATAAAAAAAAGTGACTGACTGTTTTATGGCATCAAAATCTTAACTGAACTCTATTATATTCCCTAAATTGCAGTAGCTATGACATAAACTATTATCCCATGGCTTCAAGGATTTGGTCTAGATCGAATTCACGTGAAGATTTATTTGATATCTTATTTTAGCAAACAATCCCCAAATCATCGAATATCACGGGGTTTTCAAAAAACTTAAGTTTTTTTCAAAATTTTTCAACTTGTTTTCAATTTTGAAAGCAGATTTTTTTCAACATTTTTCGCTGGGGATAAATGGACAATTCTATGGTTTTTCAAAATATCAACTTTATCCACTCATGGATATAGAGATTATCCTATAGGCCTATGAGGTTTAGGATATTGGGATTATCCCGGGGCCAATATAATATATCTGCCCGAGGGTCGTAGGTCCCGAGGGTGGATATATATTGGCCAAGGGTAAATCTGCCCGCTGATGAAAATATAAGTTTTTACAAACCGGCTTTATTGACCTGTAGTGTAACACGTCCCACTGGCGGGTCTGGGGGGGGGGGCTGGGGCTGCCAAATTTGTGTTTTACACTCTGAAGATAAATGTCAATCACTGAAAGGCATCTTAAGATGGAATTCTGTCATACGTATGACTTTCTAGGTCCGAAATGGAGTATTTTGTATGTATTTTGCTTTTATCGATGTCTAAACGGCCCGGTTATGACACGAATTCACATCTTGATTTACAAGCCAGGTTTCAGTTGCTCCACCAGTGTTACAACTATCTTGGAATTCGAATCTTCACATTTCCAAATTTAGAACCAACTATGGCAAACGAAGTATTAAAACCCTGTACAACTTTTTAACAGATGCACCTTTTTTCATTTAGCTATTCTACATCATTAAAATGTTTTATTATATCTTTTTACATCATATTTATTTCTTTCCCAGTTTGGCTTTCATAATTTATATTTTGAGACACTTTGTAACATCAATAATAAATGTAACTAACAATGTGCCATTTTTCAAATATTTTAGCTTGTGGTAAGACATACACCCACTAGGGTGTCACTATAACTTATATGTATAAATGTTTATATGATTTTAATAAATAAATAAAAAAGAAATAAAAATAAAAAAAATAAAAAGATGACGAATTCAAGTACTTTCAGAACCAAATAATTAAGTCTAGGCCTGATGAGGGCAACCGCTTTATGAACTGCTGGACATCTAGACATAAAGGTATAGGCTTCAAAGAACATATTTTGATTTGATTTGCATGGTTGATTTTTTTTAAAGCCTACGATAGTGTTGAATTCGAGTATATAGAACATGTGTTGAGACTTTTTAATTTCGGGGACACACTAATTAAATCGGTAAAATTATACAGATATAAAGAGTTGTGTTTTGAATAATAATAGATCAACTGGCTGGTTCGATATTAAAAGATCATGTAGGCAGGGGGACCCCTTGAGTTGTTTGACATTTATCTTAGTGATAGAAGTCCTGGCAATTAGAATTAGACAAGATCAGACTATTAAAGGGATCCGCTTGGGAAATAATGAGCAAAAGATCGAGTTATTTGCTGACGATACAACACTGACAGTAGATAGCAAAGAATCTCTTAAACTGGCTTTAAACATTTTTGATGAATTTAAAGATATTTCTGGATTATGTATTAACAAAGAAAAGACAGAATGTATGTATATTGGTTCAGAAAGATCTAAAACTGAGGATAAGTTATACGGTTTAAAATGGGTTAAAGATCCAAGTAAATTTCTGGGAATTTGTGTCTCATATAATAAGAAATCAAATGATTTTGTTAACGTTGAGAAGAAATTAGACTCGCTTCAAAAAGTATTGAAAATGTGGTCAAGAAGAAATTTAACGAGTTCTGATAATCAAAACGCTTGGTATTTCTAAACTGGTATATTCCATGTCAATGACAAATACCCCAAATGATATATTAACAAAGGCACAACAGATAATTTATTCATTCCTATGGGGTGGAAAAACGGAAAAGGTTAAGAGACGAACTTTAATTGGTGATTACGACGAGGGTGGTCTAAGAATGATTGACATGTTTTCAATGGAAAAGCACTTAAACTGATATGGCTAAAAAGATTAATCGAACATCGACAAAGTCATTGGAAATATATTCCAGAATTGTATTTAAACCGCTTGGGGGAATTAAGTTCTTTATACAATGTAATTTTGATATTAAAACAATAACTCACGACGTGCCAGAATTTTACTAAAATATTTTACAAATTTACTCTGATATAAGGAATATGCAAGCTACAAGAACTAGTTCTGAAGTTAAAAGTGAAATACTCTGGAATAATAGATTTGTCCTAATTAATAACAAAGAGGTCATAAATAAGCATCTTATGGATAATGGGGTCGTTTATGTAAATGACCTCCTAAATGACCAGGGACATTTTTACAGTATTATGATTTTAAGGCAAAATACAACGTACAACTTAATTTTATTGATTATTATGCTATAATATCAGCTGTACCGAAGGAGTGGAAACGTTTATTGAAGCGAGACTTAACTTCAGTCTTTGAACCGAGCCTACAAACGGATCTTGTGCATTTAACACTTGGCGAAAAACAGCAGTGTCATTGAATGGTTTAACAGTGAAGTCTGATTCAAAAAATATTAAATAGAAACAAATATTTGGAACCACTGTATAAAAATGAACATGATCGTGAGTTAGGAAGAATAGATTATTTTAAAATGGCTTATAGCTGCACGAAACAAAATAAAATTCGACAACTTCAATTTAAGATTCTACATGGTATTTGTACCACAAATGCTTACTTAACGCAGATAGGAATTAAACAGGATGCTAGATGTACCGTAGTTACTGTCCATTAAGAGACACTTTAAAGCACAAGTTTTGGGAATGTAGGCGGGTTCAGATTTTTTTGAAAGCTATTAAAGAGAATTTGGGGAAATTATTCAATGTAAATCTTAATTTTAATGCCCATGATATGGTGTTCGGAAGATCTGTAAATAATGAAAACACTTTGCTAAACAGGCTATCACTAGCAATCAAATATTATATATATGCAAAACAATTTAATGAGGTAAATCCCAACTTGGACGTGACTCAATTTGAAAATACCATGTTTATATATATACCAGAACTTCTGGGTATGACTGTTGCGAATGTCTGAATGAATGGAGGTGGTGTGAAAGTGGTTTAATATTTCATCCTTGCCTTGTTTAATGTATTATTTTATGTTTGATTCAATAAAAATAAAAAATAAAAAATAAAAATAAAAAATAAAAAATGGAACATCTTTTGATTTGAAAACGAAGATCTAAATAGTTTTCTTATTTGATAAATTGTATAATAATTATTTGATATATATATCAATATATATATATATTATATAATTATTTGATCAATTCCAACAATTTAGAATCGTTCATTGCATAATAAACTGATAAATGTTATAGCTCTTAGACGAAGGTTCGGGGTCATTAGTAGACTTAAAAAAGCTTTCGATGGCAAGGATTGGCACTAATACCTACATTAATTTTTAACCTTAGAAGCTATTAATTCTGATTGACGTTCATTGTAGCGACTTCATTTGAAAATGAGTGTAATTGCATACTGTAACGATGGTTACTTGGCCGAAATCGTTTATTTATTGCAACAAAAATAGCATCTATGTACCCTGTCTATCCTACCAATTGAAAGGTCATTCCGAGTCAAAACGGACACCAGTACAATTATAGTCCTCTGTTCTAAAATACTGTCAACTGCATGGTTTACTTTTTCGAAGATGCGAAAGTGCTAAATATAATACTGCTAAAGTAGCAACAGTTGCAGTGTCTCATAAAAGTCGGATTTTTTCTTTACACAACAAAAACTTGCTGATCAAATATGCATGGCTTAATGGACCTGCTCAAAGCTTGAAAATATAATATGAGATCAGAGCTAACCGCGTATAACAATTTAAGAATCGACGGTATTTGCTGTGAGAAAACACAAAGGACAACATTTAAACGGTTTGGTCAAATCTTCAGCAGGAATGGATGAATTTGAATGTTAAGATATCATGTTTAGGTTTGGATTTGTCATATCCTTTACGCTGGGTGAGTTTGAAATTAATAGTAAATGTAAATTATACATATAAATCTACTGTACAGTGTACTTATACAAATAAATATACTATTTTCATGCAATTATTGATTAAACCATGAGCTATTGTAAATTCAAATAAAAAACATAGAAATAATAAGTTATAATTGAAGTTACAACTATTGATTACAGTCTTCGGGGTTGTGTCCATTGGGGTCAACAATACCACTAACACACGGTCCCATAAAGGCAAAGAACTCCTTAGAGACATTTTGAGAGATTATGAGAAGTCAGTAAGACCCATAGAACAAGTTGACCAACCTTTACATGTATACGTGCAGTTATCCTTGCAACAAATATTGAACCTGGTAAGTGAAGTGAGATACATTTACGACCCCCTCCTCCCCATAAAATATTCATTTAACTGATTATTTGTTAAAGCCTATCTATGCTCGGTAAATGAATCCGAAAAATCTGTAAGAAATCAAATGTTTTGGGGTTTGGTTTCATTTCCTGTCCAGTGTAATTTTCTTTTACTAATTTTCTACTACTTGTTCATTGATTGATGATTTTTGAGTCATCACTTCCTGTGAATCAATGGGAAAATTCCGTTTGCCTCACTTTTCATATAATGAATAAAGAATATGGTAATGAATATGTGTACCGGTATGTATGTTTACAATAACTAAAAGTTTTGGCATTCTAGGATGAGAAAAATCAACACCTCCAGACGGGGACAATGTTAACATTGGTGAGTACTCTAAAGGAATAAGGGACAGAACTTGTGTTATGCTGCAACAATCATAAGACCAATGTTTTCCTTGATTTTATTTTCTGAAAAGGTTTACCAACTGTTTAATAAATGATCCGAAGCTGTGAAATAAAATTAAAATAAGAAATATTGAAGAGTAGAGTGCATTTGCATGAACTTATTGGACGACCTTGTATATTAGAGGATCATTTCAAGAAAAGTGCTCGAAGTGCAACTCAATATTAGATCATGATTTATAACACCTATCATGTCAATTATAAACTACTATTATAGTAATAAAATAACACTTCGATGACACAAAAGATTGTAACAATGGTGAGTTATTTGTTGCTAGGTAACGAGCATTTTCATCACGTTCCAATTTTCGATAAAAGGTTTCTAAATGTTGTATATTAACAAATTCAGTTTACAGGGTGTCCCAAAATTGTATCCGAATGAGACGGAAATAACTCTTCCTTCATCGAAAAATGCTAAAATTTTCCCGTAATAAAGGAAATTCATCCCCAAACTTGTAGTTAATTAAACTCATAGAAATTTGGCAATTTCTTGACATGTTCTAGATTACATGTTCTAGATGACCTCAATCTTGATCAATACGGAGCTGAATGCAATTCCGCTCATGGAAAATGGATTGGTACAAAAACAAACTTTTCTCTGCAACTAATAAAGTCACCCGGTTTAACTTTTAGGTCTGTAGAATGATATTGTCTGTCAGATGACAACGTTTTAAGAATTCCGTCATCACCCACAGCTTATACATGTATTTATCTCGGTACAGCATAGAAAAATGGGTGGTGGTACTAAAACGAGCTTTTCGCTTAAACTGAGTAATTTCGTGATACTTTCAAATGTTCATGATAACTAAATTGTCTGCCGATTTCAAGAATATTCCTTTATCAATCACAGTTATTCCGTGTTTGTCTCGGTACACCTATTGGGACACCCTATACATGTCTTGGGGTCATAATTGATGACATGGTACTCATATTATAATTGCTTCATATTGAAAAACAGTTATCCGCTCTGATATTTTAGATGAGGTCAAATGTTGTTCCAATAATAATGCGTTCACACTAAACCGACAACTTTGAAGGTGTTCACATCGAAATGAAATATTCCAACTCATATTTGCATTCACATGGAAATGACATTGACAAGACAGTCATTATTCATTGGAATGTTCATACTGTACAAGTGACGGCATTGGGGGTATTCACATTGAACTGACATGACAATTAGTTCAAATGACAATACATTCACATTGAAAAGGCGGTCAGATAGTTCAAATGACAGTACACTCACATTGAAATGTCGGTCAGATAGTTCAAATGACAAGATGGTCTACTTTAGAATGACAATTGCATGTTGAGTTGTTCACACTGAAGTGACAGCCAAGGAGACCACGTTGGCAAAATGACACGATTTTCACTGAAATAGCAAGAAGGTTGTTTTGTACTGTGAGCAGTCATAAAACCATGATTTCTTACAGAGATGGCACGATGATTACCTAATGTGGAATCCTGAAGAATATGGTAACATCACATATCTACCGATACATTCCAGCCTTATTTGGATACCGGATATTACTGCTTACAACAAGTGAGTATGCAAAAGTATCCTTATATCATTTTTGTTACTGTGCGTGAACGTGTTATTTTACGTTCACGTACAGGTTTTGAAAAATGATGACTTTTTTCATCAAGATAAGTCTTCAGAACGCGTTGACGTGTACGTGTGAGGACGGCTTTTGACATTTAAGTAAGGAACATAAAAAGCTGCGAAACATTGACTGTCAGTATAAAATACAGGATGTTCCATATGTTTCAGGAATGATGCTGTATTTTATTTGTTTTCTTTTCAAGCTAGCTGAATTTTTGACAAAATGTGTCCAAATATGTTGTGAATAAGTTGAGAAAGTTTCATATCATGAAGACCAGTAGATTTAATAATATGGTTGCTATAGTAACCCAGGGGTAAGGTAGGTGGAGCAGGTGTAACAACGCACAAAACATAAGAAATATTTGTAAAAATAGTCGTTTTTTGTATGAAGTGTGAGTAAGTATTAGGTTGTCATAGGTGCATCAAATTTGTCAGAAATTAAGCAAACATGAAGGTCGATTCCTGGATATTAAACAAATTGTCATCATTGATGACATCACAATTGAAACACCTGTCATGTCATGAGTCACAAAAGCGAATAATCACAGGTCATTTTGGCTGAGCGGCCAACTTGAGAAGTGAAAATGTCACCACAGTTTCCCTTCCAGATTTGAACGTGCTTGTACCACTAGTACACTCTAGAGGTTGCCAATTGCCATCATTGAGTCCCCAAATCAACTCCTTAGGAATTCAATTGTGTCTGTTGCAGAAAACGTGTTTTTCACATAGTCTCATCATGATAAACCATGTCATCTCAAATCTTCTCAGCCCTGAGATGCCATGATATAATGAGCTTGATTTGGCGATCCAGGAGAGCCCAAAATTGAGGATTTTTGAGATCTTTCATCCCAGCTCATATTTCATCTAATTGGGGTCATAAAACTTGTGAAACTATGCCTGTTGTTATATCTGCTGTTAAATACAATGCCTATTATGTAATGTATTGACATTAAGGTAGATGATTACATGATAACAATCACACTTATTGAAGTTATAACTCTTCCCATCTGATGTGCTCAGATCACAGAATATACCTCATAATATCAGAGCATGTTACAAGTGAAACAGAAAGATGCTATGAGTATCAGAATGCATAGTCTTGGATTGTTGTACATTGCCTAAAGTCGAAGTTTTCCCTTTCTGTTGACATTTTTATTCTTTAAGATGGGCGTTCAGCCAAAATGGTCTGTGAATTATTCTCCTTTATGACTCATGGTATGACAGGTTTTTCGATCGTGATGTCATCAATGATAGCAACTCTTTTAATATCCAGGAATCCACCTTCATGTTTGCTTAATTTCTAAAAAATCTGATGCACCTAGGACAACCTAATACTTCCTCAAACTTCATACAAAAACGACTATTTTTAAAAATATTTCTTATGTTTTGCGCGTTGTTACACCTGTTCCACCTACCCTACCCCTGGGTTACTATAGCAACCATATTATTAAGTCTACTGAGCCTAATGATATGAAACTTTCTCAACTCATTCACAACATATTGCAACACATTTTGTCAAAAATTCAGCTAGATTGAAAAGAGAACCAATAAAATACAGCATCATTCCTGAAACATATGGGACACCCTGTATTTTAAAATCGGTCGTTTTAGGAATAAAAACAGACCTTCAGAGGGTTTGCATTGGTTGTTTGTTCGACATTGTTTCTTTTCAAGTTAGATTATGGTTTGGATATAATTGGGGTTCGACCAGTGGATTTAAAAAATGCTTCAACTAGTACTAAATATACTCGCGGTTCTTAAATTAAAGAAGCGAGGCTACCCAATATTTATACAGCAAATCAATTTAAAATAATTCAATTATTTCAGGATCGAACCCGACACCACGCTCGTTGACAAGGGTATTGCAACGGTATTCTCCACAGGTCATGTAACTCATACCCAATACTCTCTCCTAACTACAGCTTGTGATATTGACATGACTTACTTCCCATACGACGAACAGAAATGTAATTTCTCACTCGGATCATTGACAAGCCAAGGCAACGATTATATAGTCCTTGAAATGGAAAAGGAAGACCCCATAGACCGGGCCTACTTTTATCCCAATGTTGAGTGGGAAATCCTGGATATTCATGGGGAAAATAAAAACGATTCAATGAGAGAATACGTTTTGATGCAGCGAGAACGATACTGTTTATGCGAAAGGAACGTCTCGAGTTCGTGTAAGTGTTTGATTTTTTTCTTTTTACGAAACAATTAGGTTCTCTTTGAAATACAGTCCGTGTTCTGGCAAAAATATGTGACAAATCGTATGCAATTCAAAGCATTGAAATCATTTAACGAGGCTAAGTGTCAACATCGCCTGATCGTTTGGAAATTCGAATTAAATAACTTAATTTCCGACGATTCTGATGATGACTTTAACTATGGAATAAAAAGAACATACTATGATTTACTCGTGATATGATTTTAATCCACTCATGGATATTGATATCTGCACTCTCTCGCTACGCTCGCTCGTGCAGATATCATATCCATTCGTGGATAAAAATCATATCACTCATAAATCATAGGATATCCTCTATATCTAAAGTGTACGACGCTGTATTTTGTCACTGTACGTTGTCGATGGTCAGGAGAGAGTAAGATGAGCTGTTCTAAATATTGCCCGCCTCCACAAATAATTATCCAGTCATAGGTAGGTGCGCACTTTTAAATGTTGCATGCCCACATCCACAAATAATTATCAATTCATAGGTAGGTGCGCTGTTTTAAATATTGCCCGCCTCCACAAATAATTATCCAGTCATAGGTAGGTGCGCAGTTTTAAATATTGCATGCCCACATCCACAAATAATTATCAACTCATAGGTAGGTGCGCTGTTTTAAATAGTGCCCGCCTCCACAAATAATTATCCAGTCATAGGTAGGTGCGCAGTTTTAAATATTGCATGCCCACATCCACAAATAATTATCAACTCATAGGTAGGTGCGCTGTTTTAAATAGTGCCCGCCTCCACAAATAATTATCCAGTCATAGGTAGGTGCGCAGTTTTAAATATTGCATGCCCACATCCATAAAGAATTATCAACTCATAGGTAGGTCCGCTGTTTTAAATAGTGCCCGCCTCCACAAATAATTATCCAGTCATAGGTAGGTGCGCAGTTTTAAATATTGCATGCCCACATCCACAAATAATTATCAATTCATAGGTAGGTGCGCTGTTTTAAATATTGCCCGCCTCCACAAATAATTATCCAGTCATAGGTAGGTGCGCAGTTTTAAATATTGCATGCCCACATCCACAAATAATTATCAACTCATAGGTAAGTGCGCTGTTTTAAATATTGCCCACCTCCACAAATAATTATCCAGTCATAGGTAGGTGCACAGTTTTAAATATTGCATGCCCACATCCACAAATAATTATCAACTCATAGGTAGGTATGCTGTTTTAAATATTGCCCACCTCCACAAATAATTATCCACTCATAGGTAGGTGCGCAGTTCTAAATATTGCCCACCTCCACAAATAATTATACAGTCATAGGTAGGTGCGTAGTTCTAAATATTGCCCACCTCCACAAATAATTATACAGTCATAGGTAGGTGCGCAGTTCTAAATATTGCCCACCTCCACAAATGATATTCCACTCATAGGTAGGTGCGCAGTTTAAATATTGTCCGCCTCCACAAATAATTATCCAGTCATAGGTAGGTGTGATGTTCTAATTATTTCACACCTCCCCAAATAAGTATTCAGTCATAGGTGGCCAGTTGTTCTAAATTTGATCAGGATGTAATACATATTTTGTCAGCTAAACCATAAAATAGACTTGCGTTTAACAAATTACAATTCTTTTCCTTTGAATTTTTCGTATTTGATAAAATCGAATCTAAATTAATTTATCTATAGGCTATTCCTTAAACGTAATGGACTGCCACGTGGATTGTTTTGTTCATGTTTATTCAGGGTAACACAAAACTACTTTTTTTATTTCAAATCTCATTCATATTTCTCACCTGTCTCTCCAATTGTTTCATGGTCACCTTCAGGACCCTTGCTGCCTCTGTCACCTTTAGGTCCCTCACTGCCTCTGTCACCTTTAGAACCATTGTTCCCTCTGGCACCTTTAGGTCCCTGGCTGCCTCTGTCACCTTTAGAACCATTGCTCCCTCTGGCACCTTTAGGTCCCTGGCTGCCTCTGTCACCTTTAGGTCCCTGGCTTCCTCTGTCACCTTTAGGTCCCTCACTGCCTCTGTCACCTTTAGAACCATTGCTGCCTCTGGCACCTTTAGGTCCCTGGCTGCCTCTGTCACCTTTAGAACCATGGCTGCCGCTGTCACCCTTAGCCCCTGTGACGCCCTGGTCCCCCTTGGGTCCTGTGACTCCCTGGTCCCCCTTAGGCCCTGTGACACCCTGGTCACCCTTAAGCCCTGTGACACCCTGGTCCCCCTTAGGCCCTGTGACACCCTGGTCCCCCTTAGGCCCTGTGACACCCTGGTCCCCCTTAGGCCCTGTGACACCCTGGTCACCCTTAGGCCCTGTGACACCCTGGTCACCCTTAGGCCCTGTGACACCCTGGTCCCCCTTAGGCCCTGTGACACCCTGGTCACCCATAGGCCCTGAAACACCCTGGTCACCCTTAGGCCCTGTGGCGCCCTGGTCACCCTTAGGACCTGCGGCACCTTGATCACCCTTAGCTCCAGCAGTCCTTTGACTCTACAATGGAATAAATATAGATATGCATCGTCACGAATCAGGCATCACCAGGCACGAAAGTAGTGTGCATGCATTTTTGGCATTTTAAATAAATGTAAGTTTCGTAAAGTTTTGTTTACTAACTTGTAACCACTTTTGCTTACTTGTAACCGAGTGAAATTGGTGCTTAATTCCATAACTATTTTATTTAATTCAACAGTGTTTTGATTTTCTCGATATGCATTTTCCTTCAATTCATTTATCTCCTGGTTTTCTCGCTGTATAAGCTCCTTCAACTTGGCTAGTTCTTGATGTTCTCGGTGCATGATTGCCTTTAATTGGTCTGTTTCCCGAGCTTTCATCTTTATGGTTTCTTGCATGTGTGCTATGATATCATCACATACTGGCGTTAAGCTCTGAAACGTGGAATATTTTTTAGTGGTAAGCTGACAATTCATCGAGGTTGCCATAAGCACGAGGACTACTCCTAGATAAAGCATGTGTTTGAACTCCATACTTGATTTTTACAATACAGTATAGTGCTTCATATTCTGAAACAAATCTTAATTAACCAATCATTTTAATAAGACAAACACTTCAGTATCACATGAGCACGTGAAGCCATTGTATGAATAAACAACAAAAGTTTCCTGGTTATTAGACCAAATGACTCGCTTAACCTCTTAGGATTGTTGTATCCTGTCATTCTGATACTCATAGCATCTTTCTGTTTCACTTGTAACATGCTCTGATATTATGAGGTATATTCTGTGATCTGAGCACATCAGATGGGAAGAGTTATAACTTCAATAAGTGTGATTGTTATCATGTAATCATCTACCTTAATGTCAATACATTACATAATAGGCATTGTATTTAACAGCAGATATAACAACAGGCATAGTTTCACAAGTTTTATGACCCCAATTAGATGAAATATGAGCTGGGATGAAAGATCTCAAAAATCCTCAATTTTGGGCTCTCCTGGATCGCCAAATCAAGCTCATTATATCATGGCATCTCAGGGCTGAGAAGATTTGAGATGACATGGTTTATCATGATGGTATCCTGTCTGTATATAATTTCATTTGGAACCATAGGTTCTGGGCCGATATAAAGATGGCAGCACCAACAGAATCCAGTATTATCTTTTTCTCGAGACAGAGAGAGAAATAGAGAATATTCATAAACATATCTCGATTACCATGCCATCTTTATTTTAAAATTATTTCTATCGACCCTAGCCTATGTTTGGAACAGCATTAATAGAATTAAACAATTTCAGGTCTATCTGAGAAATTCCAACAACCGAACTGTCCAATTTTCAACTACTGAACTGTCGATAGTCCTGGCTATAGTTTCTAGCATTGCTAAGATCAATGTAGTTTATACACGATCAAAATATAGATCCAGTGTTCAGTTTTTAGACTACAATCAATCTCTTGATACCATACTTTTACCAAATCAATATACACACTCTTGTCTAAAATGTCCACGATTATAGAAATAATTCAGTACACAAATATATAGAATAAGTAGAAACAAAAAAATCTAAATGATTTAGATATTTATTCATTTGCTATTTTATATACAGACGTACTAATAGGAGTCCTGTGCAAGGTCACCAAAATTAATTATGGAACCATTATATTTTGGTCCGTGTATTTTTAATTTCAGGAACATATTTGGCAGTTCTGATGGTTTTTACATTTCTATCAGTCTGTGTTACGGTCATCAGTGCTTCGATGATGTTAAGGGGTCCAGCAACAGGAAGACCTCATAGATGCATAACGAAATATTTCGTATTTGGATGCATGGCTAGATTGTTATGCTTCAGGGATTTTGCATCTAAATCTCTCCCCGAGTACAACACAAAGAAAACACAAATTAAAGTTTGCCCCTCCAAATGTCGAATTTTAGGAGTCGAATCTAACTCTGTAAACCAGGAAGATGAGATTCAAGAACTAACACTGAGTGGGATCCACGTTAATGGAAAAACATTGGCGGCTGTATCAAAGGACAATGTTAAAAACCAAGGTGAAAATGAACTGCAAATTGAATCGAATGTTCCTTTGATTGAGAGAGAATGGAGAGTAGTTTGCTACACATTTGATAGATTTATGTTCGTTATGCATGTAATTTTATTGGTCCTAGCTTTTTACGTTTTTTATACGATTGACACGGATGATATATTTACAATTGTTGACAGTTTTTGATTTTCTTTGACTAAGGACTACTAATTGCATGATTCTAGCAACCAGTATTATTGTCCGATTGCCTTACAAAGTTATATGAGCGCTAGCTTCGATTTACAGCAGATTTGATGATATAAGCATTCCTGTGTTCCTATACTATTTTTATGATATTGAACAGCGATGATATTGAATAAAAAAATCTTTAAAAACCCTTGTATGTTCTTTACCTGAACATATGTACATACAAAGCATATGTTTAGCTACTTTTTACACCTGCAATTAATATTTCTCTTTTGTTTACATATATAATCATATTTAATTCAAAAATATGTAATTCGAATTGTCATTATCATTTAAGTTCAAAATGTTGTCAAAATTGGCCAGCAAGTTTGTCTGAGACAACTAGTATCCCAGGACTTCAAATCTTGATGTTTATCTCAACATTAAAGCTATATAGCCATAGCAAGTGGAATTTTCACCAAAAACAATAGCTGGTGCTTTTTGGAAGAATATTGATATAGAAATTTTATATTATCTAGGTATATAATAAAAATCGATTGACTCGTCGACCTCTTTAAGAAACTCGTTGTGTGTTTGAAGCTTTTTCAATGCACTTTTGAACTGCCATTCTTCCATGTTTTTTCCCGTTAATTTGGAAATTTCATTTATCGTGTCTCTATTCTGGATATTCAATTTTTCAGCCATGGACTGGACCCAGTCTTTGGAATTTCTCTTATTTATCAATTTATCACAATCAGCAATATGTTTGTCAATGTTGCCATCCCCATAGTATGCTGTAAACCCTATTTGGCATTTCATTTTAAAATCGTTGAACCATCTCTTGCATGTTTTTCTGAGGAGGTCAGTACAAGACTTTTGCCTGTTCAAACATGGGTTATTAAATGAATAGAGAAAGAACTGACAACCTTTCTTTATTTGTCTTTTACAATCCTTAAACCCTTTTGAATTTTCAAAGATATTCAATAGGTCTTCTTCTGTATGAATGTAGCTCTTTCGATTTCTTAAATCATCTATGTATGACTTACGGAACTCTACAAAGTCTTTTCCATTTTTAGTAGTTAGTCCTAATGCGGCCCTCTGATTGAAATTGTCGTTTTGACCTTTTGGTAAATTGTCTTTCAGATCATTAAGATATTTTTTTACTTGTTCGTTTGGCTTTCTTAACTGTAGAGTATCCGGAATTCGAAATGGTGTGTGTTGTGGTTTGCATAACAGTTTTGGAGAACGACGGCAGCGTATTGTTTTCTTTGTTCTTTTAATGTCATCGGCTTTGTTGATTGCATTTTCAGCCTTTTTTGATATCTTATTGCCAACTCTTTTTAGAGACTTCATAATAGAATGTCCAAAATTTTGAAATCGCAATTTTATCTTTTTTGGCAAATGTTTAAGTTTATTTTGCAAAATGGACGGCATTGCTTTTAAATTAGATTTGCTCCACTTTGTTTTTTTCATAGCAGACTTCAATCGTGATACAGTCTTAGAAAGAGCTTTCTTTGAACCTCTTAAAGCTCGCTGTGTAATGGATTTTAATAAAGCCGGTGCCTTTTTCAACGCTTTTACACCAGTCTTCAATGTCATTTTGGTAGTAGACATCACCATATTTAGTTTTAGTTTTAAAGTTTTCGTTAATCCGTTCTTCAACAAACTCTTAAAACCGGATTTAGCTGCTTTGATGGACAATTTTATCATAGATTTAGCTGCTTTAAATCCAGCCTTAACTCCAGCTTTGAGGCCTGCCTTGATCCCAGCTTTTAAACCAACCTTGACAGCTGTTTTCACACCATATGCAATTGCCGACACTGCACCCATTGATAACGCAACTGCAATGTCTATTATTATATCAAGAGCAAAATCCCTGAAGGCTCCGAGCGCAACTTTTGGACAATCCTTGATAGCGTATGTTACACTCCGAAACAAATTGTAAAGCCATCCAAATATTGGTATATACCCAATAACCTCTGCTGCTGTTTCTTCTCCTTTGTTGTAGCATCTACTACATCTTAGAAGTTTTTCATCCTCTTGAACGGCTTCCAATGTATTCCAGGCCCATTTCTGTTCGTCAGTTCCTTTAAAGTTGGCGACTTGAATATAATTGGAACTGTACGTCAAATATCTAACCATGTTCGAACTATGCTCTAATCCAGATAAGATTTTGTTATTACCCCAAGTCCAGTGCTGCCTTGTTTGATGATGCGATACCATGTTCTCCATATACACCATATGTCTACCATATTTCACAGATAGCGCTCTTTTAGATTTTGCATTGACAATATGGTACCCTTGGCGAATCCATATATTTGCTTCACTTGGGGACTCCACTGTCCTTACTCCTGCATAATTGCCTATATCAGTCAAAACTGGGCAATCCCCATGTTCACTCCTTATTACGTACAATTCGCCATTTTCACGAGTTTGACATTCTAACTGCTCTGGATTCTGAACACCAACTTGTTTATCCACCTTTATCCATTGTTGTCTGGCAGTTACATCCGGGTCATAGGATGATAGCAGACGATTAAGAGTTATATCCCCAGTGCCTGTTTCAATACTCACAACTGTTTTAGAATATTCATGAATAAGTTGTCGTGAAGAGTACCTCCAATTTTGAAGATAATGATACTTTCTATCAGTGAGATAAACATTTTTCCCGTACCCTGTGAGATATAAGCCTGATCCGACGTTTCGTATTCTCTTTCCATCAAGAGACCACAGCTGGTGTGTAACGAGTGCCTCTTGAACAGGGCGCACAACTACTCTTCCATTTATTCCAGTCAGAAGCTCGCATGGGATTAATGGATTTTTAAGAAAGAAATGACAAGTAATTTTGTCATGGAAATTAAAGTCATCATCCATTTCTATAACTTGCCATTGCCCTTGTACCGTAGGCCTATTCGTGCTTCCAATTACTGTTGGGACTTCCGCTTCATCAAATGGAGACAGATAATACGAGGTTCCAAAGTCGTCAATAGAAAAATTACCATTTGCAAGTCCGCTCCATTTTTGAAGGCGCGAGTATTCATAAACATGCCACATGATTGCAACTCTGTTTGAACGGATTCTTTCGTTGTCTAACATCAAAGCAAGCCCAGATTCCTCATTAATGATGTGTTGATTTTCAAAAGTCCACAATTGTTTCTGTATATTATCTTTGTCAAACACTTTAAAGACTGGTGGTTGTCCTATCTCAGATGTTGCGAGGACTAAACAAGGTTTGGAACTGTGTTTTATGAAGAATCTTTTCGGTCTGGGATGAGTGTGGAAGGGACAGTGTGTAACAGTAAGATCATTAAAGACTTTCTTCATTTCAAACAGACTCCATGATCCTTGCGTATTCCTGCTGGCCTCTCTGTATTTTGACATCGCTTTGACAATACCATCTTGGTGAATATCAACGGATAGATAGTTACTGGTATCACCAACATTGGACACCAAACGGTCGTCAATTAACTCCAACATTTGGCCCGAAGTGTCATCGCTCTCTTGCAGTGTAACTGTATTGCCCGAAGTAGTTAAACGAAGGCCTGTTTTAAGATGAACCAGATTATTTTCTTTCCAGAAGAACAGTTGTCCATCGACCAATTCATGCAGAAGCGGACGAGCCTTTAGAGATTGCCCCTCGTCATAACCAGTGAGAAATTCGCAATATTTGTGATTATTACGGATGAAATACACGCATACAAGTTCGGCTATGTCATCCAATGCTTGTTCATGCGCAAGGAACTGCCATTTTGAGTTTTCTGTTGTCAGTTGATTTGAGCAGACAAGTTTTGATGTAGTATCTAGGGGTTCACTACCTAGAGTACATGCACTATCCAATGCTAAAATAGACTCATATTTCCTGGAAAATAGCTGTGAGCGTCTATAAGCGAACGTGTCATCTAAAATAACATCAAAATGTGATCCACGTTGTTCGTCCTTTGTATTTATTTGGAGTGAGAGTCCTGTTTCTAAGTTTATCAAATGTCCGAAGTCCCAATACCAAAGCTGCAGAGTGCTTCTTTCTTCATCAAATGGTACAAATGTTGGTGATTCCAGTTTTTGTCCTGCAGTGAGTAGGTCACACGGCCTTGATGATAATTTAATGAAAAAATATTCCTTTGTATTAGACGAAGTACATGATAATTGTTCCGGTTTGTTAAGTGCGGACTGCGATTCAAGAAACACCCAATCCTCACTTTTTCCCCCTTCTGGTTGCTTCAGATGAACACTTCCGGTGTTTGTATCTACAGTGAGATATCCGCCTGTTTCCTTATTCATCAATGAGCTGTTCACGTATTTCCAAGTCAAAGTAGACCTGTTTTCAGATTCAAGGTCTATTACGTCCAGTTTGTTTTTTGTTGTACCATCCTGTCTTATTCCAAGTGTAAGTCCAGTTTCAAGATGATATATAGTGTCGTTTAACGTATACCATAATTGTGATTCGAGTGTATCCACTAACACAGGAGACATTCTAACTTCCATTTTACTCTTGTCCAATGTTAATGACTCGCATGGTACGAGCTGATTTTGTATAAAATACGTACATACTAGCTTAGACAAGTAGTCAGAATCAAACGGTACCATTTCCCATAATGCCGACGATAATTCACTATCATTACATTCGACCCGTGGCTTCTTTGTCGAATTATCACTTCCAATAGAAACGCGGAGTTGACACTTTCGGCTGGGTGAAACTATGGTCTGATTGTCATGTCTAGTCCACTCATCTCCAAATTCGGTAAGTGTCACAGATGTTGATCCTTCTAAGACTGTCAGCTGACCACCCGATCGGTAATGGATCAAATTACCATCTCGCAAAAGCCACAACTGGTCTGCAAGTTTGTCAACATTGAACGTAGAAAATGTGATTTTAGCTGGGCCGTTAAAGTCATCCGATTCAAATGTTAGCACTTTACATGGTAAATCCTTGTTTTGTATGAAAAATAGTTCACTTCTACACTTTATTTGAACATCCGTGAGTTCAATTGGCCTCATTCCATTTTCAGATAAATTTTGCACACTGGAACCTGGTACTAGATTTGTCATTTTGTTATTCTCACCATAGTACCAAAGTTGATTGTATGAAAGATCATTCGTAAATAACCATGGAAACTCCTCACATTTTGGGGCCATTGTTTGAGCCGAGGCTGATGATGCTAATACATATAAACACGTGATGTCCTCAAAAAACGTTGGAGAGTCTATTTTTATTTTCTTCCATGGGTCAGTTTCGTTCGTTACGTTTCTGTTCCAGTTGTTCTCCATACCTTTATTATAATCCGCCATTATGACACCGAGATGTAAAATTTCGGCTCCATCAAATACCCATGTTAGAGCATTTTCCTCGTAAAAATTATCCTTATCCAAAATGCCACGATTCATATCAAGTTCTTTCAGAATGGTGACATTCTGAATCCCAACGTTAATGAAATAATTCCCCTCTTCGTACCAAGAACAATAGTCTGGGTTTTCATGGTCATAATGTTTTAAAACTAAATCAATTGTATCAGTTGGGGTAGTGTCCATCGTATTGTCCATGCTGGGTAGTAGAAGTATTCCTACTCCGATGAAGAGGGAGAGAAATATACCTACGACGAAAACAGATCTTGCCAAACGTTTAGACTCGATCATTTTTAATGAAATAGATGACATTGTTATTCCTGCAATGGCAACTATACTTGAAATAATAATCGGAAGCACAGAAATGAGCGATGGGGATGGCTTGTGTTCATCTGAAGCACATAACGTAAAGCAATGTCTCTCTTCATGTTGTATTACGAAATAATTACGTTTTCCCTCGGAGCATGAAGTAAGTTCTTCTTTTTTCATATGGGTAAAACTCCAGTTCCCGTTTCGATTGCTGTCGTTCCGTGATTTAACAACAACGTTGTCACCGATGTCATCTGGAACAAGTTCGATATTATCATCAACTGCCGTCAAAATGTTGTCCTGTAGCGACCATTGTTGGTTTGCCTCTAGTCTCTTAAAATCCAGAATGATGTGACTATTTTGTTCTGACGTCAGAAAAAGGTCTCTGGTCGCATGGACAATAGAGTTCCCATATTGATACCAGAGTTGATCTGTAATGTTATTGTAATCGACATCTGCCAATATGATGCTAATCATGCCTGTTCGAGAGTCATCTGGTGTCAGTACTCTGCACGATTGCCTGTCCTGAATTGTGAAAAAAGACAAGTCCTCTCTATCCAAACCGGTACTTCTACGGTTTCTTTTCATAAGATCATGTTGTGTACGGTCGTATGCATGCTCTTTTTCTTTATACGTTCTAGCGACTTTTATTTTAGCATTTCTGTGTGTCGTCTCGGGGTCAATGAAGGTCGGGTGTTTGTGGAGTTTACGTTTCTTTACATCTAAGATACTATCCTGATATTCTGGAAATACTTTTGGCAGTTCATTTGTAAACACACGCCGTTTCTTCCTAGAGTTCTCATGTGATCCTTGTTGTATAAGCATGTCCGAAACGGTATCATACTCCATTATTATATCATCAAGGTATTCATCCAATCCCGCCCTCGAGAACTGCGCCATGTCATCGTGATTATTTAACTGGTTAATTACATTATTCATTTCCTGCACTCTTTCAAAGTTTGTTGTCACAATTTCTACTGCCGCCATTTCTTGGGCATTCTCTGGCCCTTCCGGGTCCACCACATCGTCCGTTGCCTCAAATGTGTCGTTAGATTTGCCAGCTTGGTGGATAAATGTCAGATCTTCGGAGCTTAAATCTTGTAGAAAAGACACTATCTCATCGTAGTCGATAAGTTGCACCAACTCTTCCACACGTTTTTCCATCGTTTCGTTGCAGTCGAGCAAATAATAACTCACTGACGAGAAGATAAGGTACATAGGGTAAATCATCTCTTGCTCTTTCCAAAATGTTTTTATTCTAGATTCTTCTCCAGAATGACAGGAATGGATCCAGGTCATAACTTTTTCGGTCACATTGCTATCTTGTTCTTGCATTTTACGCGCTGTGTTTCTGATGGCGTGTATGACACTAGCTTCATCACCTATCGCGCGACGATCTCTGTTTTTTTGGGTTGGCTTCGTGGAGTTTTTTAAATCCATGTTAATTAAATTTTCAGAAAATGGATGATTCTTCTCTGCTAATTGGGGCACAAGATGCACGATTGTATCTTTTTCAATTGTTCTGCTCCCAATTGCAATTACTGGGTCATTTTTCACCATAGTGTCAACCATTTTCAGTTTGTTTTTCTTGTTTCTGAAGACACTACTTTCTTGATTTGTTTTGGTGTCGTCTTCAACATTATGTCTTTGCTGCTTGCGCATGTTAATGATGTTCAACGCAAGGATGACATCAAACTGCTGAAGGAGCACAAACACGCTCCAAAACACTGCAAAACGTTGCTGCGATCGAGCCATCTTTCCATGCAGCTGTAAAAATATATGAATATATAACTATAATAAATATCCGTCCAAAGAAAATTGCTTCATTGCTCAGCTTGAAAGGAGTCATAACTACTTTTGCTGAATGAACGATCAATTTTATTCAAAAAGCTCACGTAATTATTTTGACATTACAGAGATAGGGGCATCTTAGGATTTTAATGTTGAAACCGTTGGAATCGGTTCAAAAAGGCACACTTTTGACCCATCGTGGGAGAGCTCTAAATGCCATATTGCACTTCAAAAAGAAAGCATGAGATTACAAAGACAGAGGCATCTTAGGATTTTAGTGTTGAAACTGTTATTTAGAAGTTTTAAATCACAAGTGCTTGTAATTGTACTTCACTCCAAAGACCATTAGGAGCTTTAGTTTATAATATGTGCAATAAGAGATCTCTTAATATTGATAGGCTATAATCACTAAATGAGTATGCATGTCACCTAAGTTCCCTTTATAAAATATTTATTTATTTAAAATGTATCTAGGCAGAAACTCCTTGGTTTTATGATGCCTCTTTTTAGTGCTTTGAGCTATCGACCTTGGGGAAGATGGTCTCAATTCATTACTACAGAGGTGTATATTATCTATGGGGTTCTTGTTTTATTTATTCACTCATGCAACTCCCATTTAGTGCAATATATGTACTTATCATTCAATATGCATCTCACATTTAGTGCAATATATGTATTTATTGTAATGTTTGTCCTCAACCATATGCATTATGTATTTCACAATTAGTGCAATATTCATATTAATTGAAATATTTGACCATATGCAACATACTACTTACATTTAGTGCAATATATGTATTTATCATGCAATATGCATCTCACATTTAGTGCAATACATGTATTTATTGTAATATTTGTCTTCGATCGTATGCATTGTGTATTTCACATTTAGTGCAATATTCATATTTATTGTAATATTTGACCATAGTGCAACACCCTACTCACATTAAGTGCAATATATGAATTTATTGTAATATCAGTCTTCGACCATATGCATGATACAATTCACATTTTGTGCGATATTTATATTTATTGTAATTTTTGACCATATGCAACATGCTACTCTCATTTAGTGCAATACGTGTATTTGTTATGCAATATCCATCTCACATTAGGTGCAATATATGTATTTAATATAATGATTGACAATATCATTCCATGAACTGCTTATTTATGCCAAACTGATTAATCAGACAATTTATATTTATTTATTTATATCATTGGTTATTATTGTATAAATTTTTACCAGAGACATTTTTTGTCTCTGTCTTTATGAATGTTGACCCAAGCTGCCCATTGGGGGTAGTAATGGGTGACACTCAGATATAATGTATACTGTGTCTCATAAGTCGGCACCGGCTGGTGATGTTACAAAATGTTGTTTTTATTATGTATTTTATATGTACGAGGGAAGATCCAAAAGTTTCCGGCCTAACATAGTTCCCGATGTCTGAGAGCAACCATTCTTCACAGTTCAAATGTTGCTTATGTATGAACATAATTTATGCATATGATTAACCTCTAGGGGTCACATCCTCATTTTGAGAATATTCATAATGAGGTATGGTCACAGTGGCTGCACATCAGTGATCACAATGGAGAAAACTGAATATAGAGCTGTGATAAAGTTTCTATATCAAGAAGAAAATGGAGGGCAGGAAATCTACGATAGACTTAAGGATGTGTATGGGGAAGGTGCTCCCTCCTACTCTACTGTAAAATTTTGGGTGGCTGAATTTAAACGTGGACGGGAATCAATTGATGATGCACCACGTTCTAGAAGACCTAAAGATGTCACTTCAGATAGAAATGTTGATCTTGTACATCCAACAATATTGGAAGATAGGCGGAAATCTATACGTGAACTTGTAGAAGAAACTGGATTATCATATGGTACCGTTTGTAGAATAATCCATGAAGATTTACACATGCAAAAGTTAAGCTCAAGATGGGTGCCCCGTATGCTCACAGAGGACATGAAAACAAAACGAGTTGCTTTTGCAAGAGAGCTTTTGGACATGTATAACACTGATCCACAAGGTTTTATTGAGAGAATAGTCACTTGTGATGAAACATGGGTGCGTCATTTTGAGCCTTCAACCAAACATGAGTCAATGCAATGGAAACATATGGGGTCCCCACCCCCAAAGAAGTTTCGCACCACCCCATCCAACAAAAAGATGATGGCCACCATTTTCTGGGACTGTGAAGGTCCTATCTTAGTAGACTACCTTCCAAGAGGTACTTCAATGAATGGAGAATATTATGCTGCTTTGTTGCGTACTTTAGAAGCTAAACTTGATGAAACCAGGCCACACAAAGTCCGTCTTGGAGTTTTGCATCAACAGGACAATGCACCTGTTTACACAAGCCAAGTTGCTCGTGATGCAGCGGAAGAATGCCATCTGGAATTATTACCGCACGCACCCTATTCTCCAGATCAAGCACCCAGTGACTATTACCTATTTGGGAAACTCAAAAAATCTCTACGAGGGCAACGCTTTGATGATGATGATGAGGTCAAGATAGCTGTTAACCAGTGGTTGGAGTGTCATGCTCCTGATTTCTTCAGAACTGAACTTGAGATGCTGCCAAGAAGATGGGCCAAGTGCATCGAAGTACAGGGAGACTACATTGAAAAATGACACAATCATTTTGAAAATTCATCAACTAGAACTATGTTAGGCCGGAAACTTTTGGATCTTCCCTCGTATATTGTAATATCAGTGACACAAAAATAAACTATTTTAAACTAAACTAAAAAACTAAACTAAACTGTATTCTAACAAGCCAAATGTTCAAAAATCTAAAAGGGTTGTCCAAATTTTTTACTCATAGCGGGGGAGCTCTAAATGCCATATTGCACTTCAAAAAGAAAGCATGAATTTTGGCACATCTTGAGTTATCACCTTCCTGAACATATTCCAGGTTGGAGACATTCAAAATTCAACATGGCTGCAAAATTATTCAAAATGGTCGACAATGCCAAAATGCCAGTACTGTATCTCCAGAACTGTTGAACCAAGAAATTTGTGTGACCACTCAAAATGTTCGAAATAGCCACAATATTACGGGTCAATAATATATCCTTATGTCCAAAAGTCAGTGGTTTTTAAGATATTTACCAAAAACTGATTTCAGCATGGTACTCCTGCTACACATACATGATGTGGAGCATTTGCATGGAGGGGGCATGTTATCAGACCTGGAAAGTTTGGTAACATATTACTTGGCATGACTATTTTCCACGGGACAAGGTATCACCTTTCTTGACAAAATCAATGGGAGACATCTGAAAAAATTGACAGAAGCCATTTTGTTCAAATTGGCGGAGCACGTAAAAACAACCATTTTCGTCAATGCACAAACATTGCATACATGTTATGTTGCCACAGAATTGGTTTAAATACATAAAAATATGAGTATGCAACTATGCAACTCAAGTTCTGGCAAAATGTCAGTCATCTATTTATTTTGACAGTTTCCTCTTGAAGCAGTTTGATTATTGTGTCCATGGAAATGATACATAGACAACAGATTTTTGGCACCATGACCAGAACAAAGCAACCCAGACAAAGTTTGTCAAATATGTCACTTTATTCGTGATAACTATTGATGACATGAATAATCCATTCTTGGAGGTATCTGATGAGTTTTTACCCCGGATAAAAAGGTTTTAATGGGCTCTCTAGTGGTGGAGACAGTAGAAAATGTTGAAAAAATAGGAGATGATCAATGTAAATATTACTTGGAAACGTGGTTATTGAAGAGGACTTTCAATATCAATAAACCAATATAGTGAAACAACCTTGCTCACTTTGCTCAGCTCAAAAAAGGAACCTAACACGAGCCTGGCAAGAAACAGCAGCCCTGAAAAATGAAAATGGACTTTTGGCCAGTCTGTACATAACATGCACTCACCGAAATGCTGATCTAACAGTTTTTCTCTCAAGAGCACCCGCCATCAATCTGAAGGTTTGGCACCAAATCTGATATTAAATGTCAGTCATATAGACATCGTCATGAATGATTTCCAGACAGTCTGCAGGCATCAACAAGAGCTGTGAGAGACAAATGAGTAAGGTGCATGGTATATGGTGTAGGGATAACAAGTCGGAACTGTTTTGTACCAATAGAAGATACATTCATTGTCACTACATAGGTCAACAGGTCATCTACAACCGTGACCCCAATGACGATGCCATCAACATCTATCGCCCGATAACCACGACAGATACAAGTATCTTTTACCATGCTCAAAACTGTGCCAAGCAAAATATGTCAAACACCTTGTTTTTACTGTTGATTCGGATGTTGTAGTTTTGACTGTAACATGTGGCTCTAAGCTACAAATAAATATCTGGGTAGCCTTTGGAACTCGAGCCAAAATTAAGTATACAGGGTGTATCAAAAAAGAGTGCAACAAGTAGTTATCTCGTAAAATCACAAAACTAGTGATGACTACATCAATTTCATTCAATGTACCATAAAGCCACCTCTCTCCTCTTTGCAATGATATGTCATTCATTCACATGTGGTAATGGTTGGGTGAGAAATCCTTCCATTTGCACAGTGGGTCAAAATCGGCTCTGCACCAAGTTTTAGATATTGCAAAAATCAGTGCAAGGGCTAAGCGCCAATGGAAGTTCCCCTGACTTGAATTGTTGTGACTTTTTCTTTTGGAACTATCTCAGGAACATCTGTGCCCACAATTCCTTCACCAGATAGTGCAAAACCTCGAGAAAGAATTGCCCATGGGATGCCTTTCTCTGCTTTAACCCACAGATGACTCAGGGCTGAACCCTGCATGACGTGGACAGGTGAGCGCATCTTTATGTGCAAGGAAGTGGTGGCAATTTGGAGGAGTATAGGATGCATTCTTGCAAGAGTATGAGTATGAACGCTTTACTGTCTATGCCACACCTGTCACACCTTCTTCCAATAGCCCCTATGACCCTTGTACTGACTTTTGCAATGTTTGAAACTTGAGTCTGAGCTGAATTTTGCCCCACTTTTAATGTGCCTCACAAAATTAATGATTATTCGGTCAGCCATGACTCCCTGTGAATGAATGATATTCCATTGCAAAGAGAAGTGATTTGGCTTTTTGGTACATTGAATGAAAAGGATGCAGTCAGCATTGGTTTTATGTTTTGTTCCAGTATTGCATCGGGCTCCGTACACTGACTTTTGCGATGTTTATAACTTGGTCCCAAGCTAATTCTGGCCCACTTTGCAAATGGAATGATTACTCGCCCAACCATGACCAAATATCAATGAATGATATATCAATGTAAGACACGTGGCTTTATGGTGCATTGAATGAAATCAGTGCTGTTATCACTGGTTTTGTGCTTTTCCGAGATAACAATCTGTTGCGTTTTTTTTATACGCACTGTATATCAGCCCATGATATTGTCAGGAGCCTTGGACCCCAGAAATATATTGCACTGCCATTGTTCCATGCCCTCATTGGATGCGATACAATGTCATCATTATAGTTTCAGTAAAAGAGTAGGGCTGCATGGAATGCCTATGATTGGATGACACCAGTCTTAGTAAAGCTTTCGAATAAAATGGCAGGCAAGGTGATACCTTGTCCCATGGAAAAATTCATAAGGAATATGTTACCAAACTTCCCAGGCCCGATAACCCGCCCCCTCAATATAAATGCCCAACATCATGTATGAGTACTAAGGAAGAGTACTTACCATGCTGAAATTGTTAAATATCTTTAAAACCATTGACTTTTGAACATAATAACATGTTGTTGACCCCTAGTGATATGGCTATTCCGAACATAATTTTGAGTGGTCACACAACCTTCTAGGTCCAATCGTTCTGGAGATATAGTATTGGCATATTGGCTTTGTCGGCCATTTTGAATAATCTGGCAGCCATCTTGAATTGTGAATGTCTCCCATCGGGAACATGTACAGGAAGGTATTATCTCAAGATCTGCCAAGTTTCATGCTTTCCAACCAATCCGAGTTTTCAAATCACTTAGCTTCCCCGCTATCAAGACTAATTGTCAAGCAGAATTTCAATGGCTGTTGCATTGTAGTGGCACTTTTAATTTGATTTGTCTAGACTAGTCACTGTTTACCGTGTCTTGAATTATTTTCAAAGGAAGTAAACATGAAAATGAAGAATGCTAAGGCATGCTCGAATGTGTTGCATTTTAAAAGAAAACTGAAATATGACTCTGTTCAAACAGTCAATATAATTCGCTCTATTCATTCGAGTTTTGAACCCCAGAAATTATGAGTCACTTTCCTTTTAAAGGGACGTCGAATTTTTCACATCGGCGGACCATAATAACAGAAGAAACTCTTTATATATATTTATTTATAGCCATTCGGCACTATATTTTCTAGTATGTTACGGCAATACCATTTACCATTAATTCTCATAATAGCAGAGGGAACTCGTTTACGATATCCCAGCAATGTTTACATAGCCGTAGGCAGCGGGGGTTCGGTGGGTTCGAACGAACCCCCGGTCAGGATTTCCCAAATATTATTTTGCGGAAAAATTCATAGCAATAACCAGATACATTAAATTACTTTGTAATTTGAGAACTACATATATGACCAGTAAATGAATTGATATTTGTTATTGTGAACACGAGAGCCTTATTTTGTTAAAACATGTCATAGTGAAGTTACACTTCTCTCAAGAAGTTTGGCAATCTTAGATTCAGATTCAGATTTCAGATTCAGATATTTATTACTATTTTGAAAATTATATATGACATTCAATACAACATGACGCTCTCAAGAGCATATATGTTGGTTTTAACTGGACAGAAATGGGTCAGTGACGCCAACAGGTAAGACAAATAAAAAAATGGAGTGGAGAAATACCTGAGAATGACACTGGCCCAAGTCTGTTGGAAATCAGGCACGGGGTTTGATCGTTTAATTTTGGGAAAATCCCATAGCATGAGATTTTACATTTAGAAATAACAATAATGTCGCACAATTATTAAAAGCTGCTTCTTCTCGGACAAAATAAATCATCTTGGGCAATGGCTAAATCAGTCTTTTGTAGAAAATTTGTTTAAGGCCAGTTTATGTCCAATACGATTGAAAGTTATTGAAAACAAAACAGACGTGCCATACTCCGAAAGATTTTTACAACATTTACAGTTTTACACGAATGAATATCTGGAATAGTCGTGATATTGATGAAACACACGTTCTTTCAAATGTGTACATCTCTGTTTTGTTTAATTTCAATTAAAATTTAAAATATTTCTTGGAACGTCTCCGGGGCTGGCAAATCCTCCAAACCAAATCAATTGCGTTAAATAATAAAAACGTTGTGAATGAGTTATTTAAAACCATTTATAAACACAAGCATTTGTTCAAACCAGTATTTATTTCCCATCACTTTTTCAAAGAAAAATCAATCCATTGCAAAAAAAGATACACTCCACTCATCTTAGAGATTATATATTGTTATCGTTTTAGTGTACTTGCTCTCCATTTTCACGAAAATCAAACGTTGGTAGGTCATGTTAATGTCATTCATGATATATTTAGCGAATAAATTACATTATAAAAAACAATAAAAATCATAATAAAAATCATATGGTAACAATATTCCTGTAAAATAATGTAGGCCTATTTTGTTATCAAGCCGTCTAGCTGAACTTAACAAAATACGTTTCATATTCGAACAGTCGCTTGAAAATGATAAATGATCTATATGCTTCAAAACGTTTTTATTATCAATTGCAGTTGATTTGGTCCGGGGGCTTACCAGCTCCGGGGACGTCCAAAGAAATATTTATAACTTTTTTTTAAACAAAGCATAACCGAGACTCACTTATTGAAATAACAGATGATTTCATCAGTAATACGACTATCCAGGATAGTTTAAAAAGCCTTCGTGTAAACGTGAAAAGTTATCATAGAAGAACGATCTTTCAGAGTTGAGGGTGTCTGCGAAATTTTCAATAACTAAGTGCATTTGATCCGAACTGGCTTCCAACAATATTCCTGTAAAATAATGATAAGCCATCGCATGGGGTGATTAATGTTGTTCAAGAAGTAGCTTTTAAGTTAAAGAATGAATTGTGCAAAATAGTTGATATTCCTTGGTAAAAAATTATGCTCCAGGGTCTTCCCAAAATTAGACGAAATAATGGTGTATTCGGGGCAAATCAGATTTCAGGATATATATTCAGTACAAGAGTCACCGAAAAATATTTTGATGCAGAAAATTAAGTTGTCTAACCTTTTTGCAAGGTGCGTGTTTATTTTACTTTGTGAACAAAGTTACAAAGTCATTTTTGAAAATCATTTATACGTCCTGTGTTATTTCGATGGGAAAGGTTTCTTGATAAAGTCTATTACTTTCAGACTTTGTTTAGCGTAAAAAGAGTCATCATTTTTGTTAAATAAAATTCAAATTCAATTGTCTACATAACTAACTTAATGAAGGTATTAAATGATGTCAATTTATATTTCCACTCCCAAAGTAGTTTTTTGTTTACAAATTATGCAAATAAGAATTCAAACTAAGGATGCTTTAACACATAATCTAATGGGTTTTAGTTTGGATTGCCAAACTTTTGTAGGGAGTGTAAATTGTACAAATTGCACAAAAATGTTTTTATTTGAGGAGCCCCAGTGAAGGGGGGGGGAGATTTGTGAATAACATAAAAATAGAACCCCTGGTCACCAAATCCTGGCTACGCCACTGGTTTACATCCTCGCGCCAAAATCAGTAAACTCGTGTACTTGTACTCTGGTAATGTTACAACTCCGGGCCATTTTAGAGGTTACACTTATGTGCTTGTACTTTGGTAATGTTACAACTCCGGGTCATTTTAGAGGTCACTTATGTGCTTGTACTTTGGTAATGTTACAACTCCGGGTCATTTTAGAGGTCACTTATGTACTTGTACTCTGGTAATGTTACAACTCCGGGTCATTTTAGAGGTCACTTATGTACTTGTACTTTGGTAATGTTACAACTCCGGGTCATTTTAGAGGTCACTTATGTACTTGTACTTTGGTAATGTTACAGCCCATTTTAACAGATGGAAATCATGTACTTACGTTACATCCCCGTGTGGTGTGGACTGTCATTTTAAATTGTCAATACTGACCACATCAAAACATTTTCCCATGTTTTTGAATAACCCCAGGGTTCAAAGAAGACATATTATATATAAATGATCTAGTATTGTCTGTTTGAAGAATTATATTTTCAGTTCATAATGATCTGCAACTTGATCTAAAGATTTTCTGAACCAAAGCTTTTTCTGTGAATATCAAAACAATATTAACAAGTTATATTTTGATTTTAAGTATATAATGCTGTTAATTACCGGGTCACAACAAATGAAAACATGATTTAAACTCACACTATTCCCCAATTCGAAACTCAAGTATAATGTAGTTTCACTGTTTCTTCTCCATGAAATTCAGGCAGCTCTGTTAGATCCCAGTGTCTGTCAACTTCATTAGACTTATGTGTCTAGCCTCAGTTGAAGGATAACTAGCGAGGTTTATTTATTAACTGTTTGACCACAGTGTGATATCTCAGTTTTCTTTTAAAACGTTATAAGGTCATCTTTATAATAGGATTGACTTGGTAAATCCGTTGATAAATCTTTCACTTACCGGAGTATTTATGCGTCATTCGCGAGCTCGCATAATGATTGAACCTGGTCATGGAAATTCCAATTTGATTCACTCTGTGTTCGTAAAAGGCGTTTTGTGTAGATAAACTTACTTTGGGTATACACGTTTAAGTTTATTGTTCAATTCAAAATATTCACAAGCTTGTAATAACAATGTCACGCAGCGCGCATATTTAGTTTAAAGGTATCAAGGTCATGTGAAAGTGAATGAATTGATAAGTGAAATATTGAAACATAAAAGTTAAAGCGAAAGGTCTGCAGAGTAATACAATCGATAAGTTGTATTTATGTGTTCTGCAAGAGCTGACGAAATTAATCTATTCTTAACTTCATTTGGTAATTTCTTGTGACTGACCAATATCCAGCCAACCTAATACGCAAATGCAAATAAAGGCTGTCGGCTACCGGATTAAACTACTATTTTATGACCAACTCATTTAAAATGGAATTGTAACAGGTAATATACACATTCAAATGAGTTGCCAATAAAATAGTAGGTTAATCCGGTAGCCGCTAGCCGTTAGTTGCATTAGCAGACTAAAAGATGTCATGGCTATGTTGTGCAATTTTGAAATAATCTTATTAAAAGATGTCGTATACATCTGCGTCTTGTCTCACAAAAAATGAAAGAAATAGAATTTGTTTTTTGAATTGTTACCTGAGGCCCAGGAATACGTTAAAAATACAAAAAGGGTAGGATTATTTCAGACATCGTCACTTTTCAGGTATTTTCATTCCCAACATCAACATTTAGGCGATGTTTAAGGTCAGGCAGTTTGTATACAAATATGTGGAAAATTAACACGAATCGCATCTGGTGACAGGTCATCTCAACCCCAAGTCATCTCAACCCAGTCCAACTCAACCCCAAGTCAAGTCAACCCCAAGTCAAGTCAACCCCAGTAAAACTCAACCCCAAGTCAACTCAACCCTGTAAAACTCAACCCCAGTAAAACTCAACCCTATTCATTTGTGCAATGTCTACTTTAATTTTTTTATGATGAATAAGTTAAGTCATTGATTTCTGAAAATCAAGAATTTTCATGATCCTTTGAGTAGAAAGTTGTAAAAGTATTCCAAAAGAAAACGATTAATTAACTATAAATTAAATTAAGACATCTTTTGAAATCAAATTTTAGATAATTTAGAAATAATCAACAAATAATGTAATATAACTTTTTATTTATATGAACATGCTTTAACAAAAACATTAACATTTACTAATTAATATACCGAAATCATATAGGCGTAGCCAGGAGGGGTGCGCACACACCCTCCCCCCAATTTTGTAGGAAGTTGCATCATTTTTTGTCAAAACATATATTTTTTGGGCTCGCTTATGCCACGATCGGCAGAATTATTTTAATGAAATAAACTTTCTTATAAGTTCATCAATATATAGAAATATAGGGGTTGAGTTTTACTGGGGTTGAGTTTTACAGGGTTGAGTTGACTTGGGGTTGAGTTTTACAGGGGTCGACTTGACTTGGGGTTGAGTTGACTTGGGGTTGAGTTGGACTGGGTTGAGATGACTTGGGGTTGAGATGACCAGGAAGCTCGCATCTAATCTCACAATGTAGAATACCAAAATTGTCCCCGAAAGAGGTTTACAGTAGGCCGCCGAATAACCTTTTATCAAGAATATATAGTTTCCGATATCTAAACGTGTGATATCACAAACTTTAAAATAATGTTAATGAGTAAATTCGTTAAATTTGTTTCCTTGCGTTTGATGTTCATAAACTCAATAAACATTTAATAAAGACTTAGATTTCAATTTTATCTTGGCATAATTTATGATCTGTGTACTCTGTACTATATATAGTTGATGCATATGTTTTAGGCTAAGTTTTACGTAGGTGGATTACTGTAACAAGGTTACGATACCTTCAAAGTTTCACCAACTATTAAATCATGTTCAAAGTATACATCTGCGTCTTGTCTAGCAAAAAATGAAAGAAATAGAACTTTTGTTTTTGAATTGTTACATGAGGCCCAGGAATACGTTAGAAATGTTTAAAAAGTCCGCTTGTGTACTGAGTTGTTAATGCGTGGCCTATACATGTATAAATATATCTTTTATTAGATACTTATATGTATAAGAATAAGACTGATTTTCAAAAGCTTAATGGATAAGAATAAGACTGATTTTTTATTAATGGCAGTATACCCGGGCCTCAGATTGTTACTGTACTACATGTAAATAATATGACATTTATACAAAAAGGGTAGGATTATTTCAGACATCGTCACTTTTCAGGTATTTTCATTCCCAACATCAACATTGAGGCGATGTTTAAGGTCAGGCAGATTGTATACAAATATATGGATAACAAACATGAATCTCATCTAATCTCACAATGTAGAATACCAAAATTGTCCCCGAAAGAGGTTTACAGTAGGTCGTCGAATAACCTTTTATCAAGAATATATAGTTTCCGATATCTAAACGTGTGATATCACAAACTTTAAAATAATGTTAATGAGTAAATTCATTCTCGGTGTTTTTTCCATAAAAATTGCAAAAATTTGTTTCCTTGCGTTTGATGTTCATAAACTCAATAAACATTTAATAAAGACTTAGATTTCAATTTTATCTTGGCATAACTTATGATCTGTGTACTCTGTACTATATCTAGTAGATGCATATGTTTTAGGTAAAGTTTTACGTAGGTGGATTACTGTAACAAGGTTACGATATCCTCAACTATTAAATCATGTTCAAAGTCACGACATTTGTTGATGACGTAGCGATGTTCTGAGATTTGTGTAGTACAGGTTGTAGTGTAAAATATGTAAGTTAAATACATAGCTCGCACATGCAGTAGTTGTAGTTTCTGGAATGAGAGCTAAAATCGTCCATTGGCTGACAGGACTAGCACAGGTCCCCTAGACTTCCACCAACGCGATCACCAGTTCTGACCTCGCGAACTGCGTTCCTTGCACTCGAACCACGATTCTCACATCGCGAACGTGAAATCTCTAGTCGCGCACCACTATTTCCTCGCTCCCGAACAGATTCCTCCACTTGTGCACAGAGATCCGTGCTCCGTTTTGCTTTCATATCCCCATGTACGAGCAGGGAAGAGAGGAAAGACATGTGGTTCATTCATAAACTTGACTACTATTCTGTTGTAAAAAATGCCCCGCCTATCCAATACTATCCATAGTAGCCATTATTTTTGACCAATCAAACTAGATACTCTGATATTTTATAAATCAATAAGAAAATATCTGTACACCTTATGTAAAGATTTCATGAGAAAATATCCAAAATCTTTCAAATGAGAACATTTTTCCGCGAACTTAAGTAAGAATATAGAACTATTTCTATTTAAAAAAAGTTTAAAAAAGAAAGATACAAAAAGCAAATTTTTTAAATCACTTGGTACTGCTGTTTTATGAATTGTACTTTATGCTTGCGCATGCGCGAATTAGTCATTAGGTTACAGCTTTGTTAATAATTAAAATTTTCGTATTTTTATATTGAAAAGTTCACTTCATATTTTGAAGTGCATCAGTGAACACTTACAAACAGAAGACTGCTTCAAACAAGAAGCTGAAATGCCACCAAAACATCATAGAAAACATAGTCACAGTCCTCGTCGAAGGAAACACAGTCACAGTCCCAAAGGAAGACACAGGCGTCGTAGCCACAGCAGTAGTTCGAGCGGGTCTGGCTCAGACTCAGATTGTGGAAGAAGGAAAAAGCATAGATGCAAGTGGAATGTAAGTGCATTTTTATGCTCATTTTTGGAATGTTTTGGATGGTGCGTGTAAATGGAAATGTAGCAAGCTAGTACTACCTATTTATTTTATCTTGATTTTCGTAGTCCTCCACAATTAAACAGCAAATAATGTCAAATGAACTATTCGTGTGTGGCTTCGTCATACTTAAAAGAAATTTTGATCATGACTTTGGTCTTTAATATGCGTGTTTTTAATTGATACAGTTCATTGGGTTTTATGTGTGTATATTTTCATAATTTTCATGATCATATATCCGTGTGCTTTGTTGGTATAAGTGACACACCTTTTAATGAACACTAGCAATAAAATGAAAAACATCGCTCTTAACAACTTCATACTTTTTCGAGTGTCGCAACAAATCAAACATACTTTTGTGATTATTGATCATTAAACTGTCGTTTGTACATATCTTAAAACGTCAACGTTAATAAAGCATTAGATCATATACACTAATACACAGTGCTCGAATAAACTATTTAAATCCACACATAGCTAGGCAAGGTGTGTCCAATTCCAGCCGATCCATTATATTTCATATAACTACATTGCATTATATAGCCAACAACCCTCTGAAGGTCATTTTTTGATTCTAGTAAAAATAATGAAATCGATAAACTGATCAATGTCAAAGTTGAGTAAAAATCTATAAATATTGTCCCCGGGATATATCATAGGGAATAACAAGCCAGGTGCTTTGGTAGGTCAGATGGTAAATGTTGAATGGTTGTCAAGGTGATAACTTGATCCTTGCATTGCAAAAAATTCCTTGAAACATATTATTTTAGGTCATTTCGTATATTTTAAGTGATGTTGTACAAAATATAATGAAATGTGTGAAAAGAATTTAACCCCAATGCATTGTGGCTAATTCATTCCAATCAGGCGTCGTTTCCCAATCTTAACACTCGATGCTACGCATCTCATGCAAAGTTTTAAACAACATCTTTGAAAAATAGTCAGTTCACAATGCACTCAGTCCAGAGCTCAAATCCTTCAATCGCAAGTCTGCAATGCACCCGACAATCTCTGCAATGCACGAAGAAATGTTTTTACAAACAATTTTGATTAAAAGCCTACTACTAAAAAAAGTGCGGATATGAAAAAGGGGACTGAAAAAGGTAATATCACCAAATCATAAATGAACTATATGGACCCCTGACTCATCGATGACAATTTTGTTTTTGAAATGTCTCGATTTGTCTTGATTGTAAATCTTGTTTGTTTTAGGGTTGTACCAAACGTAAGGGGTGTATAGGACATGTAAGTAGCTTATGTCGGAGTGCATACAGTACAAGACATGATGTGTAAGACCTATAACTGTGATATGCAAAACGGAGAGTGGTCTATCATCATCGGATACAACTCCCATATTTCATATTCACATATTGATTTGTTGAATAGATGTTCGCTATGCTCATTCGTGGAATTCCGAAATACCAGAGAGTCGATTGAGTATAAATACGGTATACAGAATGAACAATTAATTTATTGATAAAAAAATTAAAATGTTGAAAACTACAATACTCGAGTTTTATTCCGAATTACTTCAAACTCTCAATACCGTTTACTTTCAAAACATTCTTTTTTTATTTTGCAAATACACACCGGAATAGCCTGACAACGGTAAAGTCAGATCCCGTTGTCACAAATGGCGGACATAACCGTCGGTACAATTAGATTTTCATGAACTGTATGTTTAATAGAGCACCTACACTGGTGATCCACTCGATTACGCTGGTTACCGAAACGGTTCGTTTTGGTAACAAAATGTCGGAACGTCGAAGGTACGATTTTTCTTCACAAGTTGTAGGCGGAATTCCCACGACATTCTCATCATGAACGTGTATCAGTATCATATGATTAAGAAAATAATGTGCATATTTGCGAACAAATAGTTCAGAAGACAACAGAATCGTCGATTTAATTCCTCACTTAAGTTACATAAACGGTATTTCGAAAAACAGTTAAGATCTGCACTTTTAACCCATACCGTTTATGTAACTTGAGTGAAGAATTAAATCGATGATTCTGTTGTCTTCTGAGCTATTTGTTTCGCAAACATGTACATTTTCTAAAACATATGATACTGATACACGTTTGTGTGATAACATGTCGTGGGGATTCTGCCTACAACGCGTGAAATAAGGAAAAAAGAAAAGTCGTACCCTCGACGTTCCGACATTTTGTTACCGAAATTCAGATTCCGTTGTCAATAACGATATCGAAGACGCTATATTGTGGCGATTCACGACCCAATTTGATCGAAATTGAGATTTCATATGAAACATCATCACAAGAGCTTATTACATGCACAGAATTAGCGACGATAAAGTCCCATGAAATGAGGACCAAGTGATTAAAGAGTTGAAGCGACGGTTATGTCCGCCATTTGTGACAACGGTATCTGACTTAACCGTTGTCAGGCTATTCCAGTGTGAAATAGATAAAATCCAGGTTTTAAAGCCATCTCTGCGAAGTAAATAAGGACGATTTGGGATTGTATGGAAGTTCGGAAATATTATACTATACAATTAAATCAAGAATTAAAAATAACATTTTGTGCTAAATATGTACATTTTAAAAGAAAATGGTCGTTGCATAATTAGTTCATAGATATACTATTCATATTAATATTTCAGCAAAAACCCGGATGCGGCGACGGGCACTGTGGCGGTGGATCATGCGGCCATGGCAACCATGGGTGTAGTGGATCATGTTGTCATGGAGGCAATGGTTGTGGCGGTCACGGTGGAGGAAGTCACGGTTGTGGTGGTCACGGTGGAGGAGGTCACGGTTGCGGTGGTCACGGTGGAGGAGGTCGCGGTTGTGGTGGTCACGGTGGAGGTCACGGTTGCGGTGGTGGTTGTAACAATGGACGTCCTCCACCAGCCGTGTGCCCACCAGGTGGACAGCAGCCTGAATTTCCTCCCGGTGGAGGTATAATTACTGATTATATTCTTAATTGGACTTAGTAAATACAAGTTGTGTAATGTATATTTCAAATTAGAACGTTTGTTCTTGGCAATGGTCTGATGGGTCAAACTTTGAATAGTTTGTTGTAATGATGTAATATGATAATGTTGCCTGGTTGTCATTGTTTTAAAGGTGGCTGTGGCCCAATAAGGACAGAATTCGAATGGTCTTCCAGTGGTAAGTATAACAGTTATCAAGTTATAGTTCCGATCTCGCCGACATGACGCCAGTAAATTTTCGTCATTAACGATTAATATGAGATTTCCCAAACTGATTCTTATAATGTAGCAAACAAACGTCTCATTTTGAAACTATCTGTCTCTAGATCTGATTTCATAATATAAGTGAATATGCTTTGTAAATTGTTCGCCCCTACGATAACTGTATCCTTGTGTTAGCGAAATGAAGTGTCACGTCAAGAAAATAATACAGTGCAATTAGTCGATCATCAATCTGAATGGATCTAACTCAAAAAATTGATATGAATGTTAGCAATTTGTTGTAGTTTTGTATTCTTCTTTTGCAGGAAATGTGCCATTTGACAAAGTGAAGGACTTATTTCAGAAATAGATCTAGCAGTTTAAATCTGAAATCTTCTTTAAAATATGGCAGCAGAGTGAATGGAGAATGTTCAAATGATTTATGCAAGAAAACTCAAAAAAGATCCACAAATGGCACTAACTAATGGCCTAATTTTCAAGTTGCCAGCAGACATCCGACTGTAATTGAATGAAGGATTTTTCCTTATATAAAAGGACATTACTGTTAAATTGATGATTACTTAAAATCCGCTGTTTGCTAGAACACAAGAACAGGGCGATAGTTGCTACCAATTTTCATTCATAAACGTTGAAACATTTAACTGGCCTAATACATCATTTGGAATTATAGATTACTAGATTATATTATAAAATTAATAAAAAAGCAATTTAACAATTTCCATTTTGTAATGCTTGGAAGTGATTCATTCATTCTTAGAAAGAATATAAAAAAGTGATTCGCTGAAAACTGGATGTGATTCTTTCTACGTGGGTGTAACCTCACTCGCGCGTTGTATCACTTATTCCTTGTCAAAACATAACATATTGATGCATGATAAAAATTAAAAAAGCAGGGGTGGCAGTGGATCGTGCAATCGTCACATCGTCATGGTTGCAGCCATAGATCACAATACGGTGGTCATGGAAGTCGAGGTTGTGGAGGTCACAGTTGTTGAGGTCATGGTTGCGGAGATCACTGTTTTGCAGGCCTTAACAATGGACCTCCGAAAAAACGGAGGCCTTCTGTAAATTTTTATTTCTGTGTATTTTTCTTATATCGATGCAAAATTGTCATCTTAGCGTTCTATTAATGGTGGAGCGTTCCGAAGGGATCAAGTCCTCGGCCCTAAGGGATGGTGTTGAATTGTTGACACCTGTGAATAAGTGTAACCACCTCCCATTCCTCATATGTTCAAATCTTCACTTGCCTTTCAGTTCAGTTTTCAAAGTATCAACATTCTTAACTAATCAAATCATCATTTACTCCCTCCACACCCACATAATATAGCTTCGATTCGGTATTTGGCATACTTAATGGCCGATTAAAAACATATATTCAGTCGGAGTTGATGACGATTAGAATTAATGCGGATGATGATGTCTTCTCTGATAACGATACGTGTCCCCCGAGCATTGTGCAATACCGAATCCCTGTTGTAGCCTGTTAAAGATGTATTTCTTTTTATAATGGATGAAAAATGGCAGTATAACTAATTTTTTTCAAATCGGAAACAGACTTTAGATAAAACGTGGTCCAATAGAGAAATGGAAGTTGGTACCCTACAAACGTTTGGAGGGGAATGTACATACGTATCGGTATCAATTTCGATAATTCCTACATTCCCATGTGTATTTTTGGAATAAACAACATTCACAAGTGTTTCGAGCTAATGGTTAATCATTGCAATTCAAGCTCATTCAAAGGGCATACCACATCGTATCATATCGTTACATATGAGGCTGGAAATGGTTTAATTCGAAATCGAAGCAAAATGCCGCCAAAACACCATAGAAAACAAAGCCACAGCCCGCATCGAAGAAAGCATAGTCCTCGTGGAAGACACGGACATAGTCCCCATAGAAGACACGGGCATCGTAGGCACAGCCATAGCTCTAGTGGGTCTGACTATGATTCGGATTATCATGAACATAAATGCAAACATTCGGTAAGTTATTCTTACTTGAGGAGTTTTGGTGGTTGGTATACAGATGTAAATAGATAACACTTTCCTTAGAATAGCGTGATCATGAAAAGAGACTAGCTTTTCATGAGTGTTTTAAGGTGCGTTAAAGATAAGACAAGATTTTTTATAAAGTTAAACGTTGAAGCAATATTAGAGAGTGAAAAAAATCTAAGTGTATCCGTTTCATTGAGATCAATTGAGTCCGAAATAATGTTTACAGATTTTGCCTAAAATCTTACCACTCTTGTCCATATGACTGTGTCATATGATGTTCGATCGTTCATTGTACGAATGTATGAATTTCAACGCAATATATAGCGCTTCGTACAATTTGCAGTGTGACAAAAATCCATTTATTACAACCATGGTAAAATAAATTGCCAAAATGTGTAACATGTCTAAATGGGTTCATACATGGGAGTCCGCGCATTATACCGAAACCCATTATACCGACGCGCATGATACCGAAACCCATAATACCGACGCGCATTGTACCGAAAGGCGTTATACCGAATGCCATAATCACTGTTCCACAACTAGTTACTTTGACGGAACGTCAATGTAACAAAATGGATGAACTTCCTGGTTACGAATTTTTTGCTTTCTCGATTTAAACCTACTCAGTCAAGTTACAGATTATAATTTGGCCTAAAGCTAGAAAATATAGCATAGTTTTAATAAGTTTCTTCGATTTGGAATTTGTTTTGTAAATGAAGCTGTAATTCAGCCCCTCGCTTTTGTTACATTGATATATAAATTTTGTGTTTTTGAACATGCGGAAATATCTTGAACACTTTGAAACTGAAGTACAGTTCCTTAATAGGTCGTTCAGTTTTCTTGTTTTTGTTCTACACAACACTTGTGTTTATTAGCCACGCGTTGTAATCAGATTATTTCAAGCGTCGAAATAGCTTATTTTCCTCGACGTATCAACACAAACCTATTCACTTACCTTTTTAGTGAGCGATCTAGATGCGTCAATTATAATTGTTTTCACTCATCGGCTTTAGTGGCCCGCGATACCTTTTATTTCATTCATTTGAGACGCAATTGGTATATTGGCAACAAATCAAATGTTCTAAATGATTCGTCTTCATTTTGGAATGTTTCTCCTACCCGATATTCAAAGATGTGTCTTAAATATTATACTTTACATTGATCACGATTCTTGTACTTTCTGTCTTTACGACTCTCGTTCACATTTGCAAGAGTTGTTGACTGCATTGCCTTGATCGTTGGTCGAACTTCGATTCCAACTAAATCAGATTAATCAATTAAGAAATGTAATATCATGTTTAACCAAGCAAATAATCGTAACAACTACATTATTTTTTAGCAGTTTGACACCTAAGCAGGGTAGCCTAGTGGTGTAGACTGAGGCTACTTTGCGGTTGAACGTCGTGGGATACGGAGGTCCCGCGTTCGAGCCCCAGGTACGGAGTTGTTGATCATTGTCACTACGGACACCCGGTCCGAAGGTCCAACCGTTTACCGGCCCTTGGCATGGGTTGGTTCTCTGGCCGCTCTTGCCGGAGACAGATTGTGAGACTGTGGTTGGTTCCTCCACTAACGTGCTTTAGTAAACTCCGGGAGTCATATAGTATGGTAGCGGGCCCCCACCAAGGGCAGTAGTGGAACGACGCGAATCGGTCCCAGTATGGTTGCCTTGCAACTGAAGAGACTCGAGGAAATCATGCCATTCGCAGTGACCCAGAAAAGACTTTTGCTTCTTAATTTGACGTTTTAATTCATTTATTTACATACTTTATTCATATTACTCCCCAGGCAGTTATGATTTTTATTGGTCAAATGAGTGAACGAGACATATAGATACTATTAAATACATCTAGATAGTATCAGAACTATAATTCGATTTGTCGGACATATATAAAATAACACTTGAAAACACAACACACATAGCTGCAATATCCGTAGCATTTGGCACAGTCGATCCCCACGCTCAGATATCATTTTGTGTGGTCATCGTGAGATAAGGAGGTATGGTTGATTGGACCATGGGCTTTCAACAGAGTCAAGAAATTGGCATGGATACTTTGAGAAATGAGGAAGCAACGTGGGGTTTGCGGAAAAGACCGACCACCGACCACCGACCAGTCACTCTCCACTAGAGAAGGGTCGGTTACGGTTCGGTTCGATTAACCGCGGTTTTTGGCCTCACGGTTCTACTGGGACCGTCTGATCACCAAGAACCGAGTCCAAAACGGTTCCATCATTCCCGGGGAAATACTTTATTTTCGTGCAGTGTAACATGAATACAAAATTTTTGCGCAAATAATTACAGCTCTATTTCATCTAAATAGCGAATGAAAGTACCATTTAAACGACAATTGAACAACTTTAAACGATCCATACGGTAATAAAATCGTTTCCTTGGATATTTCATTGTTCTTCCACGTCTCGAGGGAACATAATTCTACTTGCCAGCGTGAATATATTTCGCGCGGAAACACTTGTGTTTTAAAAATGGCGGACAGTTTTCGAAGTCGGCAAAGAGCTAGTAAAACCATAATAGAGCCTTTTCCCGCGATGCCTAAGTTGGATGCTTGGAAGTATTCGGTTTCTACGATGAGAATACGTCTACCCTATGTCGGTTGTGCAAGTTTTCAAACCCTGTTTTGAGGCTACCTATGGAAAACACCGACCGGTCGGTGGTCGGTGGGGTCGGTCTTTTCCGTAAACCCGCATTGGTGGGTGGCTTAATTTTTGAACCAATTAGAGCCATGACTTAAACTCAACCAAGAACGGCAGAAGCACTCGTTGCCATAAGTCGCGCCCTCAAAACCCGGGTTTGCCGTCATCCAAACCCGCCTTTGCAAAAAAACGAACGGTGCATTATTTGACTCGTTCGTGTTATTTTCGAGAGTTTTCAAACCAGAATTTTCATTGCTTTTATTAGAAGGGTTCCTCGTAATTAACTCTTAACTATGGATATGTTGACTTAAATGCAACTGACTTTTAAAGAGATGTTTTGCGCATAGGGTTATGAATGAAGTAACTAGTATGATGAACCAAGGGCGTTACAATACCCGGAAAGTTATCGGTTCGTCCAGTACTTGTTTGTGATAGCGCCCTCTGTAGGTCACTGTGCTTATAGCCTACAGTAATACGGGGTAGGATATCGGGAATTCGGTCAGTTTCTATCCGTCGATTTCGCTATGAATTGAAGCAAGTGTGACCACTTTATCCACTTAAACAATTTGATAATTGATTAAATCTTTAAACAAAATCGATAAACACGTTATACACTTCCTATCTCCTTAGAAATTAGCATGTATTTATGGATTGTGTTTTCGAACAAGGCTCGACCCACACCAATAGGGAAATCCTTATGCTAATTAGTATGACGTCATATTTTCCTGGGGAATCCTAGATTTCAAAGCCTCAGTCTGTTATTGTGTCAAATGTAAATGCTCTTGGGACGCTCTTTTGCAGACAGAAAATTGACAGATTAGCTTTTAACTTTCAGCTTTGATGTTTAAATATTCTGTATTTCTACCGGACTTCTTGCTGAATATCATATAATGTTATAACTTGATTTGGATCATTGCCTGATTGATCATTCTGAAATTTTGATTGTGATTCATGATTGATTGGCAAGAAAAATAATTCCTATTGTTTTCCAGCGAAGTCAAAATGTTACAGCATGAGTTATAATGTCGAGTTTGCATCATGTTAAATTCTGCTAGTGATTAGAAGTCCATGCACAAGCATACACATAAGAGACAAACACACCCAGGCTCCAGGCCGTGGATGGAAATATAAAACTATTTAAGGCACAAACTGGTATTAATAGACCGATATGTAGTGTCTGCCATGTATTGAAGGTAAACCAATCTGTATTATTAATGTTTCTTCTATCAATACATGGGTTGTGCAATAGAAAAGCAATGGCACAATCAAAAATGTGCGTATCAATCGTGAATATCTCTCGGTTCAAAGCTTATTTCCAACAGAATCGTGTCAAAATATGTGTCTGAGTAACAGTTATACATTATAAGATCGCAAACTCTTACCAATTATCAGCCGAATGGCTCATTTTCAACGAAATGTCCTTAAGACAACAGCCCTGGGTCGCGCCTGAGACCAAAAACTACTTCAAATAGCCCTCCCCTAATTATATTGGATAATCAAGGAGGATTGGCTCCCAGAGTGCACCACCGATATTCTGTCCCATATATGGGTATGTCGTAATACAAAATTCGAATTCAAACAGCCGCCATTTTGTTCACTTCAACATTTAAATCGTGAATTTTGGTCTTATTTCCAAACGAAAAATTCCAAAACTCACAAGAAATGATCGAGATATTGGTTCGAATCTTTTGAACTGTTTATTTTGAATTTATAGTCGGTTTTAATTTCAGAAAATAACGACATTTCGACGTTTTCATTGTTGGAAAATATCGAGTTTCGATCCTGGGAGCCAATCCTCCTTGGGATAATCACATTTATGCGTGCGCGCGCAGCTCATCCAATGAACGAAACGCCACTTCCCGCTGAAATCACCGGGTATTGATCTTTCCCTTGGATGAACAAGCTCACTGGCGGATCTGGGGGGGGGGGAGACAGCCCCCCCCCTCCTTGGGTGGGCCCAGAAAAAATTAAGCCCCAAAAAGCCCAAAACGAGTGGGCCTTTTTGGGCCTTTTTTACTGTTTTGTCAGCCTTGAAATTTGCACCCCCCCCCCCTCCCCCTTTGTTGGTTTCTGGATCTGCCCCTGAAGGCAGTGGCCCTGAAGGCAAGGGGGGATTTTAGTCTGTAAAAAAATTTCTTAGCTTGCACCCTTAAAACCAAAAATTGGGTCCAATTTTTAAAACAAAGTTAAGGCCCATTTTTGATAAATTGGCCAAAAATGCCCTATAAAGGCCAAATTATGCCCAAAATACCCATTTCTTAAGGCCTTCCCAAAAAATTTGGGTCCAAAAAGTTAAAAAAATCTGGGGGGGGGCAGGTCCTAGTGTTTTT